GGTGCGCGTCACTATCGTAACCAATGGTTGGAGACTTTGGGTAACATGGCTCAGAATCGATCACAATGTCGTAGGTGTATACACTCACTGTCTTCCCTACCAATTGATTCTTTCTTCCTGTATTATGGGATTATACACCATCTTTCTTTTATATATTACTACTATTGCAGTAACTACTGTGAATTTGGTGTTTATCTTGTTGCGCTCATGAGGTGTGGCAACTTGGACCGATACATATATATGCCTTGTCCTATATTGTAGCTGACTGACTAACTTCATAGCCTAGTTCGTTTGTTTATTGGAAATGTCATCGGTGTATAAAAATGTTCTTTATGTCTTTTAATTTTTGTTATATTTTTCGGTTAATTATGTATACCATCTTCTCATGGTGTAACAAAACTTCAATAAATGAAGTATTTTATATATTTTAATATGTTGAACATAGTTTGTTGAGTTGATTCACTAATGAATATTCTACAATTCAATGTTTGTTTAAAAATTCCATGAGAATCGATCAAAGATAACAGTTTTAAATGATTGATTTGTAGCTGTCAAACTGTATCCTCAATAAAAAGTTTCCTTAATTCTTTTTCAGTTCTATTGATTATGAGATGGATCATAAAGTTAAAGTGGTTGTACATATTTCTGTTTTGAATGTTTTATGTTAATGGATCCAAGTTTTACAAAGCCAAGTTTACTTTATTTTCAAATTATTTGTGTTCTTTCTCACTCTTTGAACTAAACAATTGACTTTGAAATAAATTACACATTCTATAGTTTGTGTATGTTCCAAAATTAATTATACTTTGATACTTCAGTAATCAGATAAACAGGTTTATTGGTGTTTTACACAAGAAATTATATAACTGAGGTGATCTACACTGTTGTAAGTCTTCATACACTGTATTGTATTCACTACTTGAGCCCCCAAATGCCCTGGTATGGCCGAGAGTGAGGGGAGTCCGCTCCTCCTCTCGAAATGCTCTCACATGGCCACGCGTATACAGCCCCTGCCAGGGAAGTCCTACTCACTGCCTTCTCGTGGCATTACTGTTGTTTACGAAAATGAGAGGACGAAAAGCGAATGTCCAGCAGGGGCTTAAACTGTACCTTAAACCAATGGTGCACATGGGCTCCAGTATCCTTAAGGAACAAATGGCGTATGAACCAATCGTTGGTCACCGCCTACCATGGGACTGCATCTCCTCACGATGCTCCACTGCCTTGTGGATCAGATCTTCAGGTCGAAAGCTCGGAGTGTGGCCCCTTAAGAAAACCACCTGCTTCGGTTTTGGCACCTGGGCAGTATCACAGCCCTCACACATATCAAATGAGATCTGTGTGGCGCATATGTATTTGGTGCCTTCTTGTACCGATATCTATGTGTTAAAATAAATAAATAAATTCAGTACTTGCAACCATTTTTCCCGTTTATATAGTGAATGAGTATTGTATATTTGAGTGTAATTATCATTTTAAAAAAAACTTATTCACAGCGTTTACTTTTAGTCTGAATGTATTTTTCACTCGATGTCGGACTGCCGCTGCACTGAACACAACAGATAAGTATATGGATAATTCCAGCCTCTTGAATGAAAATTACAGGTCGATATCCAGCTGTCACCCCATTAAATACACGAGAGAAAAGAAGTGATCAGAGAGGTTGTATAAAACATCTCAATGTTGTAGATAACTTTAATCACTATGGGATTTGAATTGACAACTGTATCACTGTGTTAATGTGGTATGGCAATTCGAACTGATGTACGTACGTACATACGAAGTTCTACGTTGTTACTGACTGACTAACCAAACCGTGTGACAGTTAACGTGTGTTTTAACAGTAAAATAATGACCGAATTAGATTACATAGTCAGTGAATACATGCAGAGCAAGTGTAATTATGCTATTCTGTATTCTATTGAGGTTAAGCTTGATCATATACATATATATGATCAACATTTATCTTACTTTACTAAGCATGTACTAACTTGTCAAAAATGGTTTGTTTGTTTTTCAATGTTGTGTTCCATAGACACTAGTTTTAAAATGTGATTCGTATAGAAGTCAACCTTTTTTTTTAGTTTATAAAATTATTCTCTAATGATCTTGTTTAAGATTAGATATCTTTGGAAGGTTCATTATCGTAATTCTCATTTTTATTCTGATTGTTAGACATTCATTGCTAACTAATGGGATTATTATTATTGACAGTTTAGGGGTTGTGGATATTGTTAAGTTTTTGATAAGGGTCATGAACCGATTGTTGTTAGACCAGCATTGAAAACCTGGAAGCACTGATCGAGATCAAAAACTTGACAATCTCCACAACCCCTAAACTGATAATTACAATGTGCTCACTAGTGACTAGCTTCGTAATAGAATTCTCGAAGTTCTAGTGAGAATCCGTGACCAGTGGAGCTAATCCGTGTCGGGTAGAGACAGGTATCTACCTCAGTACAATAGAAGATAGTCGCGCAACATCGTGGATTGGTTGAGGTTATTATTATTACTCAGTTTTAACGATTTGAATTTCCTCTTTATTGTTATTGATCAGTCTTTTTTAGCATATGTACGTCATATATGAATTGTCTTGATATTGTCATTAATCACAAGCAATACTTTAAGTAGAAATGGATTCAGTAGCTAAGTGAATAACGCATTGGTGTTTAAAGCGGAAGATAATGGTTTCAAGTCCTAGAATGAGCATCAATACCTGGGATTCAAGTACATCCAGATAGTGACAAGTCCAAAATAAGATGAGACGCACATCTCCTATTTCACTGTTAACCACTATCCACCTCTGCCTGGAAACATATGTTATTTATATATTTGACATTGATATACTGGTTAAGTATGAGTGTTTTAACGTGAATACTTGAAGCAATAGATAATGAATTCGAACGCAGGTTTAGACAGTCGGGTAAGATCAATGGGCCCCCATCCCTCTACATAAATATTGTTCTTTCAAAATCCTGTACATAAATACATGGTGAATCAATTACATTAAATCTTTCATAAAGAAAGAACAAATATTGTAGCAGAATGTTGGTAACCTATAGAAAATATGTATACTTATTTCATTTTGATGGTTAATACTGTGGTTTTAGGTCGTTAGTAGCTGAGGACAATCCATAAAGTTTCGTTTGGTGCTTCGACGTTTAAGGAAAAAGCAACACAATACTGTTATATTCTTTCTTGTTGCTCCAATAATGAGGTTGGGTGAGGTAATCAAATTGGCAAACATCGTGAATCCACTTCAATAGACTAATCTACTCATCATTTATAGTTTTCCCTGCACTGGAGTTTAAACAAAGTCCCTAATTAAATATCATTAATAAACAAAATTGAAGTCATTTACTCTGGTAACATTTCCGACTAAAGAAAATGGCCACAAAGCATTAGAAATTCCAACTACTGAATGTACAGGTTCAAATTTCGCTTCACGTACTTCGACTCAGACAGTTGTATAGTATACTAATGCAACTAGTCTTCACATAGAGAGAACTCTCATACTCACTGCCTTCTCTCAGCATTACTGTTGTTTACAAAAAACGGATGTCCGGCGATCTAACTGGGTTAGTGGACACAAAGAGTTCAACTGGTTGAATTAAAAAACCTTCATTCCAAACCAATGGTGAAGATGAGCTGCTTCCAGTATCCTGAAGGAACAAACAGAGTATGAACCCATTACATTTGATTTATCACTGGGTGGTGATCAGTGTTATGTGTGTCAAGTTCTTAGTGCAGATCGAATGCTATCGACCAAGTTGCAATGTGGCCACTAGTCTAGATGACTCGACCACCCAGTGATCAATCAAATGTGATTACATCTCAGTCCTACAGGAGATTAGTCGGGGCCCGGATAGTTCAGTGGTAACGTGTTTGACTCTGAAGCTGGTTGACACGCGATCGGATCCGTCAGCGAGCACTAGTTCCCTCAAGATTATAAGTTCACCTTACTGACGAGTGCCAAATAGCACGAAACCCGTGTCCATGGTTTCCTGTTGACTACTTTCAATCACCATCTTATATGAACTGATCGTTGGTCACCAGCTACTATGGGACTGCATCTCCTGAATTCGCTCCATTGCCTTATGGATTAGACCTTTTTGTCAAAAGCTCCGAGTGTAGTCCCCTAAAAAAACCACTTGCTTATTATTATTATTATTATTTGAACACATAAATATTGGTACAGGGGGGCACCAAATATATATGCGCCACACAAAACAATGATAATTTGAAGAGAAGGAGAAAAGAGAAAAAAAAAGTAATGAACGTTGGGAATTATAAAAAAAAAAAGAGAGAGAGAACAATGGTGGGGGAAACGGAAAGGTACAATCAAAAGAGATCTTTCAGTTAAGGAAGATACAACCACTTTTTATGAAGAAAGTAAAAGAAGGTTACAGCACGATCGCCACTGGCTTCTATTCTGAGCCATATCTGATGTCTCTAGCCACTGCGTTACACCGTCTCTCGGACCCCAACCAGGGAGTCGTGAAGGACCATCAGAAGCTAGCCCTTTGCAGCTTTCTTTCATGCCACGACACCATGTCATATACTGACCACCTCTCCGCTTTTTCCAACCAGTCCCAGAGTCAGCAAATAATGCACGACGAGGGATTCGTAAGACATGTCCAAGCCACCGAAGTCGGTGTTTCAAGATGGTGACACCAATTTCATTATCGTCTCTGTGACCGAACACTCGATGCCGAACCTCTGCATTACTGACATGGTGTTGCCACTGGATGCCAGCAATCCTTCGGAGACAACGATGATCGAACACAGAGAGTCGTCTAACATTATTATTTACTTCTACTTGCTTCGATTTGAGCATCTGGGTAGTATCCTAGCTGTCACACAAATCGAGGGATTCTTTATGGGGGCGCATATCTATTTGGTGCCTCCTTGTACCAATAAACAAACAAACTCTTATCATAACTGAATACAATTATTTACAGAGTTAAATTATTATATCATATCCATTTCTTTATATATAGGTCAAAGTGAACAATCTGAAACGTCCTGCTATTACAGCTGGAATTTTCAATGATTTCAATAATCTTAATATTCATTCATCTAAAGTATCTATTGGTCCAAATCCTCCGAAAATTTTCAAAATTATTGATTTAACCCCTGAATCAATTGATGATACAAATTCATTACCAAAACTAACGGAAAATAATCATTCAAATCATGATATACATCAAACAGATTACATTTATGATATATACAAAATGATATCAACATCATCACCATCATCATCATCATCATCATCATTGGATCCAAAATGTTTATCATCGGAACAAACCATATGGTGTACAAATGATCAATTGATTAGAAATGCTGATAATTATATTCATGATGAATATAGTTGGGAATTAAATGAAGATTATTATGATTATACAACTGTTGATGATGATGAAGATGATTCAAATAGTGAATCAAATTGGCGTAATGATTATCCTGATGAACAAGACAGTAGTAGTAGTAGTTCATCGAATGATTCAAATTCACCATATTCTTCATCGAATAAGAGTTACAATAATGAAGATTCAGATTATTATTATTAACTTTTTCTTTTACTGTACGCATTTTGTTTCTTTTCTGAAAATATATTTGTATAAAGTTGTCTACTCCTTTTGTGATGTGCGCTACTTATATACACATAAGTAGTATATAATGATGGTTAGGAATAGAATGTATTTCCAGGAAGAAAGAACGGGAACGGAAAGCAATTGGTATGAAAATGCAAGAGCAATGAAACCTGAGACAATGGATTCATATTTTGTAAATTAAGTATTTACTGTATTGTTCTCAGATTTCAGTGAGATATTCTGTAATTTCGTGAAACAAATACATTCGATTGTCCCCGTTTGTTTGCTTATTCACTACATTTGATGTCGCTTCCAACCAGGAGAGGGGAAGGGTGCTGTTCTGCGGACGCCGATGCGGGTCTTGAGCTGAGGTGCCGTTTGGGGCAGTCTGGTGCGGAGAGGTGACATCGAGTGGAATGTCCTCATGGGGCGGCGTTGGTCGTATCGCATGCTGTCGACGGAGAGGAGCAGTGGAACGTTCGTCTGTTGGGCGGACATCGGATTTAGATAGCTCAGCAGGTCGCTGGAGCGCAGGCGTTGAACGTCCCAGGTACAGGCAGGTTGATGGGGATATGGAGGTCAGCGTACCGCAGATTCGACACTTTGACGGAGAGCTTGGCACAGACTGCAGAAAAGAGAAAAGTGGCACGGCGAGCAGAACCACTGCAAGAAGGACTGCTTTAAAGGGGGGGGGGGCGAGTGTTGTGTGCAATACCTATATATACGTAAGTAGTATATAACGATAGTTAGGGATACAATTTATTTTAGTAGAAGATCGAGAATGGAAGAACGGGAACGGTAAGCAGTTAGTATAAAAATGCAGAAACAGTGAAATCTAAGACGATGGACTGATATTTTGCAAAAGAAACAGTCAAGTTTGATGCAATGGATTGATATTTTGCAAATTAAAGATTTACTGTATGGTTCTTAGATTTTAGTGAGGTATTCTGTAATTTCGTGTTCAAATACATTCGATTGTCCCTACTCGTTTTCTTGTTCTACTGCGCTTTTACAATCTACTTTTCAATAAAAATCATCATTGTATTTTGTGTGACATTGACATACTGCCTAGATGTGTAGATCAGAGCAGGTAGTTTTGTTGAAGAATCACTTTCTGAACTATTTATACCTCGAGGTCTAATCAGGAAGTGACGTTAGGAAGTGCGATCCCGTGGTAATCGGTGACCAAAATAAGTTCGTACCCGATTATAGGTATGTCTGAACTGCTGTTTGTGTAATTTGGGACCATCGAGTAAGCGATACCGCGAGGTTGGGAATTGGATAGTATAAAAATATAGGGAATCGGTTGATAAGGTAATGGAATCTCATTAACTGAAGTGGTTGATACATGTGTTATATATGTCCAGTCACCTCCCATCTCGACGGGTGATGTTGGGTGTAGGTTGGCAAAATGTTAGGAATAGCTAAATGAATATGTTGCACCAGCCCATAAAGTCACTGCCAATTGGACTGAGACATGTTAACAGTCTATATTGCTCAGAATCGTCCCCAACCGCACAGATGCATTCACTCTGTTTTCCCTTGAAGCATTAGTCCCGAAATCTCTTGTGCCTTTTTTATACCTAATTTTTTTTTCTGCTACTAGTACTTTTAGCGTACCTGCTATTCTTGACTTTGTTTCTTAAAAATTTTTTATCTCGCTGTGCTAATGTCGTTTAGCAACTTAAACCGACGCACGTATGTGTCACATCCTACATTGTGTATGACCGATTAACACCTATAAATACCATATGTAACCGAGCTTCAGCAGTGTCTTGGACCTTGCAGTCACTTCTGGGTCATCAAGATCACACCTATTCAACATTTCTTTCCAGGTACTTCAAGAACAAATACCACTGTTAACTTAAATCATTGGTTCGAGTAGTTTATATATATGCTACGTATTCTTATTCGATCCAAAACCTAATTAGTATAGAAGTAGGTTTGAAATCTGTTACAAGTTAGCAGATGAGGATAGCATCAATTCACGATGTCATTGTTTACTGATCTAAACCTTATCAATGGTTACAAATTTCTGTTTAGCGTACACTTGTCAATAATTTGTGGTTTAGAATATTAAGTGATATGTCCTGACATATTTGCTTTCCTAATTTTTTATTCTTCAGTTTAAATTGCTCTTTTTGGACTGTATTTCTCATGTGTAGATTTTTGAAATCTTAGTTGAATTCATGAGTCAATTGAAGCTAGACCACCATGGAAAACTTGAAAGCACTGGACGGTCGTTTCGTCCTATTGTGGGATTCCTCAGCCGTGCGCGTCCAGGACCCTGCCTCGAGAGATTCGAACCCGGGATCTGTCAGTCTTGCACGCGAACGCTTAACCTCTAGACCACTGAGCCGGTCGGTATTCAACGATGTTAATGTCTAACTTTCACTAATCCAAGAAATTTCTCCAACAACCACCATTGTCATCAGTGAGTTACTATCTCACAACAGACCCAGTTCAACTCCATTAATCACGGCTTTTCACTAGAACTCCAGGATATGAAAAAAAGACAACAATTTCTCCATAAAAATATTTTTTCTATGGAAATGTCGTTTTACAATGAAAATGAAAATAGTAATCATATATTATGGAATATTTTTTATAAGACTGAATAATTGTATTTGGAACTGTGTAATTGATCAATTGATTAAATAGCCAATTTAACTTGAGGCATTTCAGCAATGATTGCACGAAGTGCTGATAAACCATAAAATGATACACAAAGTCTTCCAATTTCACTTAAACTCTCTGTTTCACCATTGACAGTTTTAGTAGCTGTAACTAGAAATAGGAGAAAAATATACACGAATAAAGTAAAAGGAAGAGATACCATTTATAAATGGTATTTGTTACAGACTGAACTCGGTTAAGGTACCATGAAAAACTAGGGAATACTGGGCGAGCTGCTCTTTTCTGGTACTGAACAATGCATATGTAGGATAATTTTTTTATTATTATTATAAGCTTTATTCAAAATTATATTTGTGGTACACTATTGAATTCTCAGCATAAAGTATTTCAACAAGTTTCCTTTTCTTATATCTTGATTGATCCTGACGATAATTATTGAGTGATGGCCAGTTAGATGTTAGGAGTTCGATAATCGACATCTGAATAATGTTCATTCGTTTCAATGCATATTACAAACCACCATGATGTCGCTGGTTGTACCTCTTTGTAATCCGTACAGCGAAAGGTTGTAAACTTTTCGTAAACGCGCCTGAATAGGTTATGAGCTCAATAGACATAATAGTGTGTCAAAACAAACAAGAAAACAGATAACTTGACGAAATATCTAAATGAGAGGAACAGATTTACAAGCAGGCCGCCGAGATATTTTCGATATAACATAAGACAGAACCTTAATCTTCAAATGATAATATTTTATCAGTAAGTATCCATTGGTCTCCGTGTTCAAGTTTCGTTCATTTTGGAGTTATAGCTCAATCATCAGCGTCTCACTGTCTCGCTTTGATATGTTCGTCTACTAAGCTAATATTCCACAACTTCAATACATTGGACGACACTAATTCTATGCTCATTAAGGAGAGTAGAATGTCCAGTTTCATAATTCGAATGGCAAATGTACGTACTTTGTTTAGTTAAAACGCCACTCAATATTGATAGGCATGAAAGAGAGACAAGTATATGGATGCATACAAACTGTCATACACTCACGCTTAAGGTCATACAGAATGATTAATAATGTACGTGTGTAACACTGAATAGCTACAATTTTGTTCCTCATAAGTTAGGTTTTGAAGATTGCACATGCTCAACGGTTAAACACCACAAATAACATACACTACAATGTAATTATTTATTTAAGCACATAAGGATTTGAACAAGGAGGCACAAATCGCTCGATTTATGTGAAGGCTGGGATACTGCCCGGATGCCCGAGCCGAAGCAAGTGGTTTTCTTAGGGGAGCACACCCGGAACCTTTGGCCTTTAGGTCTAATCCATAAGGCAGTGGAGCAACGTCAGGAGATGCAGTCCCATAATGCCTGGTGACCAACGATTGGTCCATACGCCATTTGTTCTTTCAGGATCCTGAAGGCAGCCCATGTGCATCATTGGTTTGGAATGAGGGTTGTCCAAGTGCCTTGAGTGAACCCCCTGTGTCCACCAACCCGGTTAAAGCGCTGGAAATTCGCTTTACGTCCTGTCAATTTCGTAAACAACACCCGGAATGCATTGAGTAAAACATCTCTGGTAGTGGTTTTATGCACGTGTATATGTGAGAGCATTTCATGAGGGAAAGCGAACTGTACCGCCTCTCGGTTGTACCAGAGCATTTGGGGGCTACTAGGGCACTTGTGGACCTACGATGTCAAATCATTAGTGATCATGAGATAATATTATTTGACGATAATGTATTCTATAGACGAAAATCAGCTATAGATCTATTAAAAAGGAATTAGAACTAACTAGCTATTTTGTTCTATGTCATTCATCATTACTGAATAGTACTTGTTTATCATATTACAAAAGTAGCATAATATTGAACAATTTTCCCTACTTGGTATATATAAATGATCTATATCACAATTATCTCGTATTATTTGTCTTATATTAATCATTGCATAACCAATCTCTTCACATTCAGCCGACTGTGTTGTTGTTGTTGTAGATGGTTCACTAACAAGAATAAATATTATATTACCATTATTTGGATCTTCTGGTAATAGATAACTTGCTAAATATTGTCTACGTTCATAATTCTTTGTATAATCAACTGGAAATGCTATAATATAAGGAAAAAAAGAGAGAATATACGATAGCGCTTTCAGTTAGTCAGCTTATAAGATGATAAGGTTATGAACTCTCCTAGTCTCCCACATTGTACGAGCATTCAATGTACCTAAATAAATGGTTGCTCTGGTTGTCAGAAGGGGCATCGACCTCGTGACTTCCGAAGGAACTCGGCTTTCATCATGAGGCGTCATAATTCTTCTAAACGAAGACCTGACTCCCAGAGTAGAGATTAAATGGTTTGAATAATTTTTTTCTGGCTAGCGTTTTTTTAGCGAGTTAGTTTTCTACGGGATGGGGTCGCTAACCCCATGCTCAACCCTCCTCCTTTATCCGGGCTTGGGACCGGCAGTAGCCCGCGGAGGGACTCCAGGCGGAGTTGTTTTATTCGTGTAGTATTAGGAATATCAGTGTGAAATATCCATCAGCAACTACCTACTGTAGGAGAGAATAAACTAGATTTCAAATGAAAAGGAAATAGGGAAAGATTATGGAAGTAGATAAGATATACATTACGGAAATCATCGTACTGTATCACGAGGCAAACCCTAATTTGGAATCCTAGAAGGAAATGGAAAAGTGGAAGGCAAACGAACACATTACGTTGGGAAATAGAAGTAGATATGAAAAGGATGAATAACAACTGAAAAGGATTGCCCAGGACAGGATTAGATGGAGAGTGCTGGTGGGTAGCCTATGCTCCTCGACGAGGAATAACAGGCATAAGTAAGCAATCTAAACATTTTAAGCATTCTTCCGTTCATTTAATGTGTCAATATTGAATATAGAAATGTGATTTTCACTAAGGACTTTAATTCAATTAAAGCTATCTATATATGTCTTCTGTGAACACTACTGTAGTGTATACCATATTGATGCATGAGAAAATCGAATAAAGTGGACTTTAGAGCCTGAAATGAAATCATAAATGAATGATCTGATAAATATAAAATAATACATACATTCAGATTTGAATACATTATGGGTTTATGAATTCTTATCTTATATCATCGTATATGGGCGGTGGAATCCGACTCACACGTTCACGTCAGGCCTCCTGAATAGGGGGACGAATGACTCATGAACTAACGTGATCGGTAACCCGGTTGGTGGAGATCGGGCTAATCACCCACTCCTACCGATACACACAATTCGATTATGAAACCCACGAAGAAACACAGCACAATCACATTTGGATTGGAAAACGACAAAAAAATTTTCAAAAGTAGTGCATGTAACATACGGAGTTGCTCGTCATAGGGCAAACTACAACGATTACAAAAACGACTATTCTAGCCCCAGTAGTTGTGCTGCGCATCGATGTGACCTGTTTCTCCCTAAAAAAGCCTAATAGGCTTCACCAACTTGTGTGGGTGAAGGGGGACATCATCATATATACTACAGTATAACTGATGACTTGACATAATCCACTTTCAGCTGACAAGCATCAAATATGATGAAATACAAGTCCTATATTCCACCGCTAGCCACATTTCATTTGTTCTTCATCAAATGATTACATAAAATCTCAACAAAGGACGTGTATATATTGGAACAATCTAACGAACAGATCAAGATCACTCGACCTCTACGGGATTGACTCCCAGAAAAATAGTACTTTTTACACAGTCGAGATCCCGAGTTGATGTAAGCTAGAACAGCATTATAAACGTGGAAGCACCAAATTGTCGTTTCTTCCCACTATACGACTCTTCAGTAATACGGGTCTCGGACACAGAACCTTCGACCTCGTGTATGAATGCTTAACCTCTAGAACACTGATTCGATGTCCAACGATTTCAATAACTAAATTCAATGAATCCATGATCTTAAACAACCTATCATATATTACCTGTATTAAATAACTGCCTCACAACCGACATGGATTGGATTTGACTAATTTCAAAAGTTATATTCTGAAGCTAATCATCGGTGAGTGTTCACACACGAGATTGAAGATCCCAAGGTTAGAGTTCTCGGTGCAAGATCATAGATCTACATCACTGAAGAGCCCCATACTAGGACAAAACACTCTTCCAGTTCTTCTAAGTTTTCAATAATGATCTACCTTAGATCCATTTATGATCTTAACTATAAAAAAGCACACATTATTCTTTAGAAATCTTCATTAATTTATCATAATTATATAACTTACTTTTACTATAATAGAAATTTGCTTTTAATATATGATTATTATTATCTATCCATTCAATTAATGGATAGGTATCCGTTTCAAATGGTTCTTTATAACCAAGAAATGAATATTCAATAAATAATTGATTGAATATTGATTGATTAATTTTTGATAAATTTGTTAATTGTAAACTATGTAATTCAATTTTTACATGATTATCATCTATAGAATTAGATTGAATAATGGATGATTGTTTTAAATGTGGATCATTATTATTGATAGCATTCTTTGAAAGAATATCATAGGATTCATTTATTCTTGTTCTTGGATGTGGAGTTGGAACTAAATTTAAGAAAGAAAGAAAATTCATTGATACTATACTGCTTGAGGTGCTCTAAATCGAAACAGATGGTTTTCGTAAAGTGCCACATCTAAAATCATTGACCTAAAGATTTGATTCATAAGACAGTGGAACAATGTTAGGAGATACAGTCTGATGATAACCAGCGACCAACAATAGATTTATACGCCATTTCTTCATTCAGCATACTGGAGCCCATGTACACCATTATTATGGAATAAGGGTTTTTCAATTCACTTAGATAGACCCTCCATGTTTACTAACTCAGTTAAAGCGCTGGAAATTTGCTTTGCGTCTTGTCAATTGACTTAGAATACGCAGATGACATAGTCCTGTTTGGTGAAAACGCTGATGAAATGCAGAGTCTTTTGGTAGCACTGAGCAACAATGCCAGAATATTTGGGATGCGCTTCCCTCCCTCTAAATGCAAGTTGTTGCTTCAGGACTGGTCTGCGTCAACATCTGAACTAAGAAAAGGGAGTGAAGTAGTCGAACGCGTTGACAACTTCACTTATTTTGGAAGTCTGATCAGCCCTAATAGGTTGGTGTCTGACGAAATCTCAGGACGGATTCGAAAAGCTCGTTTGGCCTTTGCCAACTTACGTCATCTATAGCGAAGGCGAGATATCCGTCTATCAATTAAGGGACGAGTATACTGCGCGGCAGTTCGTTCCGTTCTACTATACGGCTGCGAAACATGGCCTTTAAGAGTAGAAGATATTCGTAAGCTACTGGTATTTGACCACAGATGCCTTAGAAATATTGCTCGCATCTGCAGGGATCACCGTGTAAGTACCAGTGAGGTTAGACGCAGGGTATTAGAGAATAATGGTAAATCAGTTGATGAGGTTGTGAATTTTCATCGATTGAGATGGTTGGGCCACGTGCTGCGTATGCCTGAACACCGATTACCACGACGCGCAATGCTAACCGGTGTTAGGGATGACTGGAAGCAAGTTAGGGGCGGCCAAACCAAAACGTGGCATCAGTGATTGAAGTCACTAATTTCTGGTCTGAGCCATGTTGGTAGATGCAGACTGCCTGGTTGAGGTCCGCGTGACTATCGTAACCAATGGTTGTAGACTCTTGGTGACATGTCTCAGAATCGATCACATTGCCTTGAGTGTGTGTATACACTCTCTGTCTTCTTTTAAACTAAGAGATTAAAATCACTTCAAATCTTTCTTTCTAGGAACTAATTCTTTCTTCCTTTACTATCTCCTTATACACAATCTTTCTTCTATATATTACCACCACTGAATTAACTACTTCTATGAATCCGGTGTTTATCTTGTGCTAATGAATAAGGTGTAGCGACTTGGACTGATGGATATATGTACCTGGTCTTACGTTGTAGCTGACTGACTGACTGACTGAATTTCACAAATAATACCCCTGACTTGAGAAAGGTAGTGAGTTGGATTTTCTTGGTTTGGGTTGTATACACGTGGCCATGTGAGAGCATTTTGAGATGAAGATCTGACTCTCCCTACCCTCAGCGATACTAGGGTATTTGGATCTACATTGAAAAATACTCCAAACGGTGAGACTATCATTTGTGGACGAACTTTAAGCGACTCTACAGTAACCTTGAGTATCTCCACCTACTTACTTGGGTTAAATAAAGGTTATTGATTAGTGTGAGGGATTAAGATTCACAGTTCGATTTAATCTTTTCATCACGAGCTGACATCAACTAAAATGACTAATAAGTGAATGAATTTCGCGCCAAAATCTAAGATCTGCTATCTTAAATCTGATTGGTTCGTCTAGAAATTACAGTCATGCCGATTTTAGTTATTTAAGTGTACTACTCATGAGTAACCATTCATACTGTATATGATTATTGATTAATATTTACGTGAATAGGATAGCATGAAAGAATTAAGTGAAATCGTTTATTTCACATTAATCCTAGTATTATTGCTATTGTTATGTCTGCCGATATAAGTAGTATGTAACATCAATCAAAAGTGGAAAACCTGGCAGTAGAAGGCTGAGAAGATCGAACGGAAAAGTCCAGGAATGTAAACTGTGAATAATTATTATGTCAATGAAATAACGATGGAGTTTGAAACCATTGGTGAATTCGCTAATGAAGTAATTAATGTATAGTTTTCTCCATCTGATTGTACACAACTCTTTAACATGAATCGGTAACACAAACCAGTTTTCTTAGTCAGTCGTTCAGCCAGTCAGTCAGTCACAACGTAGAACTTCATACGTATGTACGTACATCAGTTCGAGTTGCCATAACCCGTAGTGGTAGAAGTAGTAAGAGTATAAGCAGTAATCGGAAAGATTAGGGTTTGAAGATGTTATTCGAGGAGTATAATTCGGTGAAATAAATTTGGAAAGAGAAAAAAGAAAGGGACATGAAGAATTCAGAAGATTAGAATTTGAGAGAACATAAATAGTGGATGAACGTGCATCATTGCAAATGATTGTGAGCCATGTCACATTCAAAGAATCTAACCATCTGTTGCTATCATCTCGCGGATACCAACAAGATAGTAGGTATAGACTTACCAACATGGCTCAATCCACTTGTCAGTGACTTCATAGATTTGTGCCATGTTTTGGTCTGGCCACACCTAGCTTTCTTCCAACCTCCTCCTATACCATAAAAAACCGCTCGTCAGGGCAGTCCGTGGTTGGGCATATGTAACACATGTCTCAGCCATCTTAACTGATGAATTTTTACTACTTCATCAATTGATTTGCCATCCTTACCTAGTACCCGTATCCTAACAACTGCGTTATTCGGTGGTCTCAGGATATACGAGCAATGTTTCGAGGACACTTATGATCGAATACTAGGAACATTTTTTATTTAGGTAGGAGAAATGTATTCAAAACACCTGTACTATTTTGCTTAAGGCGATCGAAATACGTGCTTGTTCAATTGGGTGAAGTTTAAATCCACTCGGTATTGTTTACTTGTATCTTTCAATTGTTATTTAGAACTACAATTGATCAGTCTCTTGTTGGCATATGTGCATCCTGTGTAGATTGCCTCGATGTAGCACCAAGTTACAAGCGTTATAAGCAAAGATGGGTTCGATGAGTCTCAAATAAGACGAAACACAAGTTCTATATTCCACTGCTAGCCACCATCCATCTTCGCTTATAAAACTTGTGACATCAGGCAATACCGAGGCAATCTACACAGGATGCACATATACCAACAAGAGACTGATCAATTGCAGTCCTAAATAACAATGAGAAGTTACAAGTAAAACAACACCAAGTAAATTTAAACTTCATCTCACTCCACAAGCACATGGCTAACAGGACTCAGTAGCTTAGTGGATAACGCGATGGCTTGCAATTGATTAGTCTCTTATCAGCATATGTGAATCCTTTGAGGATTGCCTCGATATTGCCTAAAGTTACAAGCTAATAGTGGAATCCAGTTTAACGCGCGTTTCATCCTATTTGGGACTCGTCAGCTGAATTTATCTGGATCTCAGAGTTCATGAGACTCGAACTCAGTACCGTTCACTTCAAACACTATCGCGTTATCCACTTAGCTACTAAGTCCTGATAGCCATCTACTTGTGTCGCGTCAAACTGGATAGAATAAGGGTTAACTGACAATTTTAAAGAATACTATTTCAAGCCTTCAATTAAAATGAACGTTTATTATAAGCTCCAATTCAACTAAATAGTCCCCGTATCGCCAATTACAATATAAAGTGATTACAATAAAATTCATTGTTTATTCTTACCAATTAATTTCTCTTTAGAATTTTCTAATTGATTTAGTATTGAAGATGATAATGTTTCATCAGTTCTTTTATTGATTTTTGAATGATCATTTGAATGAATTAAGATCTAATTTATTGATTAGAAAAGAATAGATTCAATGTTAATCAATGTGAAATACTCTCTATGATCGTTTTATTTTGATAGAAATTGTATTTGTATAATTTAGTCAATAGTATCGATTGATACTTGTAGATTACCTAGTTGGTATCCGTGAGATCGTAGCAATCAATGGTTAGAGACAATGAATGTGACATGGCTGAAAATCGTTTACAATAGTGTGCTTAGATGCATCTACTCTTTGTGTTTTCCCAAATTACAATCTTCTAAATTCTTCATGTCCCTTATTTGTTTTCTTTCCAAATTGATTTCACTAGATTATACTCCTTGATTAATATTTTCAAACCTTAATCTTTCGAATTACTGCTTATACTTTTACTACCTCTACCATTATGGGATTTGAGTCGACAACTGCATCTCTGTGCTAATATGGTATGGCAAGTCGAACTGAAATACGTATGTACATACGTACGAAGTTCTATGTTGTGACTGCTTGACTTGTATTACAAGGAGAAGTTGGAAAGAAGGTGAGTGGTTATCGAAAATCCATTATCGATTAGTTTTTCTACTTGAATACTATTGTTTTAGTGAATCATACAATGAGTTAACAGAATTCAAACAATCCATGAAATTGCGCAACCATCTTCTTCTGTCTCTACTTGACATGGGTTAGCATTACTGGTCACAGCTTCTCACTAGAACTGTGTCATTAGTTCGAATCCCGCAATCAAGATCGTGGATGCTCACTATTAAAGAATCCCACAATAGAACGAAATGGCCGTCCAGCGCTTTCAAGTTTTTCATGGTGATCTAACTTCGATTGATTCATGATCTCAGCTATTAGTATCACAAGAGTTGCTTCTCAAGTTTTTACAGTTATCTGTTGTCATCTTCTTGGAAATCGTGAGTCGGTAACTAGGGGGGAGGATACTCACTATTATAATTTTAAAACTATCTACGTCATAATTCACATAACTGATTCAGAATTAAAGAATCAATGAATAACTTTAAGAAATACCTTTTGATGAAAATTGAATTGTACACTGAATTTGACACAAACTAGTGTTAAGGAACTAAGGAGCACTGGACAACTATTTCTTCATAGCATAAGATTTCTCAGCTTATTATTCCACAATTGATTGATCCTATGAATTTCAGGTATCACTATGAATGTTTAACAATTAGAATCACTAAATCATTGTTCAATTATACAGTCTTTGTTATACGGTGACAATCAGCTCTAGAGGAGAAGGTTATGGGTATGAACTATTGAGTAGTCTCATACCAAAACAAAATAATTGTACGATAATTCCTGGTTATCAATGATACTCTAATGGAGATAAATCTGTTATCAATCTCCATAAAACACTAACTGAATAAACTGGTAAAAGTATGTGGTGTTCCTCACCTGGTTATCTGTTTTATTGTCAGTTATTTCAGGGACTTTAATAATGACTTGATCTAGATTAGTTGTATTCTGATTTTGTTTAGTTGAACTATTTGGTAGATTATCAGAAGGATGTAGTTTATCGTTAGATTGTGTAAACGAGACATCAGATGAGGATTTTGACTGCAAGTAAGTTTCCTTAGGAGATTCATATTGTGTTATGTAGGGTTTCTATGAGAAATGAAAAAAATTTGGATAAAAAACGTTATGTTAGGAATAGACAAACAGCTGATGATAAATGAGTGATGCGAATAACTGAATGTTATTTGGTTTAGAAATGGCTTAATTTTCTGAGGAAATTGATATATACTGGTGACTGAAAATCGGTCTTGATTTTCTGGAGGAGATAACTCGATGGTGTTTGAAGGGAACGGTGCTGGGTTCGAGTCCCGGAGTGAACATTAACTCGGCGATGCAGGTACGTCCAGTTGACGAGTCCAAAATAGAACGAAACGCGCGTCCTAGGTTCCACTACTAGTCACTATCGATCTTTGCTTAAAAACCTATTACAGATAGCCTGTTGTTGAGACTCATGATTGGATGGTTATTTTTTAATGTGGAATCAACTGTTAAGGTCGATATTATTGGATTAAGTGTATCAGGTTTAGATGTTAGGGTTAAGGAGTTTTAGGTTAGTATTATTAAGGTTAGGATCAACGGTTCATGAGTATAAGGATTAAGAATTAGGTTGATCCCTGGGTGGTAGGTGAACAATATCATGTGTGTCAAGTCTTTCTTAGTGCAGATCGAATGCTATCAATCAAGTTGCAATGTGGCTACTACTCTATGTGACTTGACTCGATCGAAACATAGGTCCAGGGTTTCCTGTTGACTACCTCTAGCCACCATCTTATCTTAGCATAGTGCACGCAATATCGAGTCCTCTTGACTAGTTGGCACATTGCAACATGGTCGATAGCATTCGATCTGCACTCATAATAAGCTGACACACATGACATTGCTCACCCACCACCCAGTGATCAATCAATTGTGATTACATCCTAGTCCCACAGGAGGTCAGTTGCGGCTCGGGTAGTTTAGTGGTAACGTCTCTGATTGTGAAGCTGGGTGACACCTAATCGGATCCATCAGGGAGCATCAGATCCCTCGAGATTACAGTTATACCTTGCTGATGAGTGCCAAATAACACGAAACCCGTGTCCATGGTTTCCTGTTGACTACCTCCAACCACGATCTTATTAGGAATTAGGGCTAAGAGCTTGAATTGAGGAATTTTACGGTTAGAGTTAGCATTTTTTAAATATGCTTGACTTCAAATAGTAGTGTAGCTTGATTTCAAAACAATGAACTTAAGTCTAAATATTTTATAGCTCTGACACTGAAGCTGAATCCTGATCGACTATTTTTAATTGATTAGTCATGAGGTTATCTTTTAAGATTTCTTAAGGTCGTCGGTATCGGATAGTTTTAATTATGAATGAGTTATGAATGTCATTTCGATTCATTTAGTGAATAAGAGCTGATAACTTTCCATTCTGTCACTGAAATAAGTAGTATGATCATGTATTTAGGAAGTATGTACTTCAGTAGTAAACTTGGACAATTGATTAATCAGTAAGTAATGATCAATGACATTTATGTCAAGTTTTTCTTAAAGCTAATTGAATCTAATCGAACAACATACGCTGTACCCACTAGTCTAAGTTACTCAACATCAATGTGAGTAATGTTCAGATGTATGGTGATGGTCAATAGGAAACCTAGGTTATGGCATTTGTCTCTACTCGGTGACTAAACCGCTGTAAATATATCTTAGTCCTACAGTAAGTCTATCATGGTCTGAATAGTTCACTGACAATGGCTGTGACTGTGAAGCTGGTTGACATATAATAAAATCCACCAAGGAGCATCGGTTCCTCTAAAAATACAAATACAACTTATTGACATGTGCTAAGCAGCATGAAACTTAGTTCAATCAGGGGTTTCTGTTGTCTACCTTCAACTGTAGTGAACAAGTACACGAGTGGGGGGCAATGGAATGTATTTGAATACAAAATTATAGAATATCTTACAAAAATCTGAGGACAATACAGTAACTACTTAATTTACAAAATGTCAACCCATTGTCTCAAACTTGATTGTTTCTTTTGCTAATATCAGTCCATCGTCTTAGATTTTATTATTCCTGAATTTTCATATCAACTGCTTACCTCTCCTGTTCTTTCCTTCTCGATCTTTTATTGAAATACATTCTATTCCTGACTATCGCTATATACTAATTATGCGGATCGGTGGTCTTGAGTGTTGTTAGAATAGTGAGGGCGGTTATCACTTCTTGGTCGCCCACACAGTGGAAGGGTTCTTCTGGAGGTACCTGAAAAAAAATTGGGTTAGAAGTAGCCTCAGTAACCTGAGAGTGTGACCACAGTGCCCAAGGAACAGCTATTCGAGGTCGGTCACACATTACATGACCTCACCGCCCGAAACGGATATTCATGGGATAAGACGAGATGTGCATTTTTAGGGTCGACCTTTTCTAAACCCAACCCTCCTTGCGGGAGTGCAGCATCACTGTCATGCTGGTTGTCTGAATAAAACACTTTACTGATGTCGCAGCTCTGTACAGTCAACAGTACGACTTCGCCCTCAGACCTTGTATTTGGTGCTTTAATCTAACCGTTCTTCAAACTATCTGTCTGACATGTAGCACTTTGAGGAACGATTGTTCCAGCCATTATAGCTCGATTGGTTCATCACGATAGACAAGGCCGACTATCGCATCAAGATAGCAACAACAGTCGGGCTTCTATGGATATAAGTAGCTCACACCACACAATCACCAGCTTATATAAACAAAATATCAGGAGTAAGCTTAAAAATAATTATTTATACAGAATTATTTTTAAGTTAAACAGATTACCTCTGCAGCTTGTTTCACTGGTTCCATTTCTAAATCTTTGGATTCTTCCCTATTTGGTTGGTTATATACCAGAGTCTTAAGATTGTTGGAAGTTGTTGTTGTCGTCGTCGTAGTCATAGTATTAGTAGTAGTATAAGGTCGTTGCCAGTACATTTTTAAATATAATAAACCACAATTAGGCTGATTTTTATCGATTTGATTGAATTTCCCCAATGGATTAGATAGTTGTTGTTGTTGTGGTGGTTGTTGTTGTTGTTGTTGTTGTTGTTGTGGTGGTGGTGGTGGTTTATTTGTGAATGCAGTTAATGGGAATATTTCAAATACACCATCAATTTTTTGATTTTTATTAATTAAACCAATTAATGGAATTATAGCTAAACCGATACAACTTGTTTCAGGTGAAGGATCTGAATTATCCACAATGTAAATGTTTAAATTCTCTGTCCTTAGATAACTGAAAATGAATTAGATTGTAATGAAGGAAATAAAATTGTAATCAATTATGTTTTTTTAATGGGATTATTTATTGAAAATACTGTTGAAATATTGCCCGAGTGCCCAAATCGAAGCAGATGGTTTACTTAGGGGATAACACCCGGAGCCTTCGACCTGAAGATCTGATCCACAAGGCAGTAGAACAACGTCAGTCGTTGCAATCCCATGGTAACTGGCGACCAACAATAGGTTCATGAACTATTTGTTTCTTCAGGATCTTGGAGCCTATATGCATGGAATGAGGGTTTTCTAACTCCAACAGGTGAACCCTTTATGTCCACCAACTCAGTTAAAGCGCCGGATATACGCTTTTCATCCTCTCAATTTCGTAAATAACACCCGTAGTGATGGAATGCAGTGAGTAGGACTTCCCTGTCAATGGTAGTACGCACGTGACCATGTGAGAGCATTTCGATGGGGAGATATGACTCTCCCCGCTCTCGGCCGTATCACAGCTCTTGGGGTCCTACTATGTCAAATCATGCGATAACATTATTCAATGATGCTAGAAGGGTTAAGAGGAAAAAGGACGAACATAGACGCTAGGTTAATCATACCGGTCGACCGTCATTAGTTTGGCACAGAACTAGAATTGCGTAAGTCGTATTACGATGGGTGAATAAATCACATGATAATTAGCCGGGTTTTAAAGTCACAACACAACCAGGTCTGATGTAAGATAGTAACTCACTGAAGCACTGGTGGATGTGTCGCTCAATTTCGTGGATTAGTTGAAGTTAGACATTAACACCGTTAAATGCCTGCCGGCTCAGTGGTCTAGTGGTTAAGTGCTCGAGCGCGAGACCAGTAGGTCCTGGGTTCGAAACTTCTCGGGCGAGGTCGTGGATGTGCACCGCTGAGGAGTCCCACAACAGGGCGAAACGGCCGTCCAGTGCTTCCGGGTTTTCTAATGCGGTCTCGCTTCAACTGACTCATTATCTTAACCAGTGAGATTACTACAATCTCCACAAAACCCATTCTGACATAGATTGAATACATCTTATCTTTTTTAATTATACTACTTATATCTTAGATAGTAGATTCATGAATTAGTATTGAATTCAGTCAATAGCCTACATCCGTACCATAGCTGAGAAATCCACTTTATTTATAGTACAGTTAGCTTACATTTTACAAAGTCAATACATACATATTTACTAACACAATGTTAACATATTCAACTTGATAAGTAAAACTCATCAGTATAGAGTTGTGGAGATTATTAGAGGTATTAATTGAGATCTTGAATAGATTGATATTAGACCATCATTCCGCTCTTGTGAGATTGTGGATGCACACTGCTGAAGAGTCTCACAATAGGACGAAACAGTTCTTCAATTCTTTCATGTTTTCAATAGTTTCCTAACATTAACCAATTCAAGATGTTAATCCAAAAGAAAAACAAACAAACAAACAAACCAACCAACCAACCAACCAATCCACTTACTTATCCAGTTTATCATTCATATCTAATAGAATAGTACGATAATCATTAAATATTGGTGTTACATTCTCTTTTATTATCATTGAAGCATATTCTAATTGATTATAAAATTGATATACAAAATAAATTGATGGTAAATATCCTAAATAATTCTTTGATAAATTGGTCATTTTCACAATTTCAATAGTAAGTATATTCTTTGAAGAATTGACTGATAATAGATCTGGTTGATTAGATGATATAGATTTAGGCAATTGTTGAAATCTTTCTTGATAAAGTCTAAAATTCATATAGAAATATAAAAAGATTAAAGTTGTATTATACTTCGGTGTGTACTACTGATATTGATCGATAATAAGTAGTGTATATCATCAATCGAGAATAACTGAAGTCAGAAAGTTAACAGGTTCGAACGAAAAAGAATGACAAGAAAGAATGATTAATGTAGTAAATGAAAGAACAATAAGGTTTGAGACGACTGATTGACATATTATAAAAGAAGTATTCATAGTATGATTGTCAGATTTCACTAAGGGATTCTGTAGTGTTGTACTTAAATGCATTCGATTGTTCCCATTTGTATTCTCGTTCACTACAATTATCTCAAATATATTTCATAAATATAAGTATGAATATTGGCGAGTAGTAAAATTGGAAACATCCATTTCTGTCTCTTTTGAACCTGTCAGCTGAAAATGCCTACATCCCAATAGTCAATGCTCACTACATGAGTCGAACGTAGTATCTTTACTATCAAGCTACCCATTCCCTAGTTTGTCCAATGGAACAAATTTGATGATCGTAATCCAATCCTTCATATCAACAATGACATTAGTTGGATGTTTTAGTATGAGTACTCATATTGTGTTATGTGCTACTGATGTCAACAGATATAAGTAATATGTGTATCATCAATCCAAAATGAAATGCATGGAGGTAGAAGGTTAGGAAGATCGAAGAAAAGAGAATGAGAACAAAGAATGATTGGTGTGGAATTGGACAGATAGTCAAATCGGTATTATTGTAAATGAAGTATTCACTGTACGGTTCTCAGATTTTACCAAGATGTTCAGTAATGTGTATGTTCAAATACATTTGGTTATTCTGTACTTGTGTTCTTGTTCACTACAATACTACTATATGATCATAATAATCTTATTGGATAGTATATTGAAACTTTGGGTCAATCAACAATACGCATTCAATCTTTTACTTAGTTGACAGAACTAAACTTTGTCGATAACCTTGAATGATACAAACAGAGGCTTTAAGAGTTAACTAATCAAATGAATCCTCTAACACAATAAATGATAAGATTACAATGAATATATATGGTGTTAAGATGTTAGCATCACAGTTATATTATCCAAAACATAATACGGCGAGATTATAATTTAAGGACGAACCAATCAGGTATAAGACAACAGGTCTCGGATCTTGGCGTGAAATTCATTCATGCATTTGGATAAATAGACTCTTGGCATTTTAGCTGATGTCAGTTCGTGATTCCTCACTATTCCTCACCATAACCATAAACCGTAAATCATAATTCTAATTCTTCACACAGGTTCATTACCCTCATTTATTATTTATTTTATTTTAACACATAGATATTGGTACAAAGAGGTACCAAATATATATGCGCAACACAAATCTCATTTGATGTGTGTGAGGGCTGGGATACTGCTGGAGTGCCTAGACCGAAGCGGGTGGTTTCCTTAGAAGGCCAAACCCCGAGACTTCGATCTGAAGATCTGATCCACAAGACAGTGGAGCATTGTAAGGAGATGCAGTCACATCGTAGCCGGTGACCAACGATTGGTTCATACGCCATTTGTTCCTTCAGGATACTGGAGTCCATATGCACCATTGATTTGGGATCCGGTTCAAGCGCCGAACATTCGATTTTCGTCCTCTCATTTTCGTAAACAACACCCATGATGCGAGCAGTCAGTGAGTAGGACTTTCCTGGCAGAAGCTATATACACGTGGCTATGTGAGAGCATTTTGAGAGGGAGGACGGGCCCATATCACTCTCGACCACACCAGGGCATTTGGGGGCTACCCTCATTTAATCTCAGATTAGTAGGTGGACACTCTCAAGGTTAGTTTAGCGTCACTCAAAGGTCGTCCATAAATTATAGTCTCATCCATCATATTTCCAACTCTAAACTTATGACTATAATACTCATAACAGTAAAACCTCTGAAACAACCTTGTCTCTAAACTTAACATCTTCGCTGTATATGATTTCTTAACAGAATCTTTATAATTCGACATTCTGTAGATGATTTTAGATCAAATCATCATCAATATTAACATAAATTCCGAATTTCATCCGTTTGAAAAATAACGTCTAGGTTCATTCGAATTGGGCTATTCTCTATTTGCTTCAAGACCGTCAATGTTGCCTGTTTTGACATCCCATTTTAATTTTAGGTTACAATAGAAATATATACATGTTAGATAGGGTTTTGTGAAGAATTCATGAATCAATTAAAGCTAGACCACCTGGAAGCATTGATAAGACTGATAGGTCCTCGGTTCGAATCTCTCAGAGTGGGGTCGTGGATACTCACTGCTAAGGAAAACATTAATATCTGTTACCAATTGATGCTGTTCAATGGAAACTATATTTATTGTTATATCATCAAGTCATATTGTATGCATATCAATTTGATTACCAATTATGTAATATAGTCTAAAATAGAAGTTTATTCTATAGACATTTAGGTAAGAGATTGTTGCGTATGCCTGAACACCGATTACCACGACGCGCAATGCTAACCGGTGTTAAGGATGACTGGAAGAAAGTTAAGGGCGGCCAAACCAAAACGTGGCATCAGTGCTTGAAGTCACTAACTTCTGGGCTGAGCCATGTTGGTAGATGCAGACTGCCTGATTGGGGTTCGCGTGACTATCGTAACCAATGGTTGGAGACTCTTGGTGACATGGCTCAGAATCGATCACAATGGCGTCGGTGTATACACTCTCTGTCTTCCTTAAATTAAGAGATCAAAATCACTTCAAATCTTTCTTTCTAGGAACTAATTCTTTCTTCCTGTACTATATCCTAATAGACAATCTTTCTTCTATATATTACCACCACTGAATTAACTACTCCTATGAATCCGGTGTTCATCTTGTTGTGCTAATGCGGTATGGCAACTTGGACCGATGCATATACGTGCCTGGTCCTACGTTGCAGCTGACTGACTGACTGACTGACTTAGGTAAGAACATCAGTTATTTGATGAAATAGATGTAGGAATTCAATTTAAAACCTGTTATAACGCTCGGTATTACTTCGTCTAATGTTATAACGCTTAAACGATTATCTACACTAGATCCTTCCCAGTGTCTATTCTACAGGACTTTAACACAACTTAGATCATGAACATGTAATCAGCCTGACTAGAACGTAATATATTTCCATACCAAAACCGACACAATCCACAACATTGAACAATCAATAATAAGTGTATGTGTCACAATAATAAGGATAAGGGAATATATAACTTATCTCACATCTATCAGACTGTCTACATGTCTGACTAAGCAAATAATCCATCATGATCATTGTCGCCCACACATCAAAACCTTTACGCTCAAATGACGTAGCCAGTACCTTTGAAAGACTAAGATCAACCCACGTGGATTATTACCTTAGATACTTAAACGATGGATATTAGATTGAATGGGATATTGACAAGAAAATACAAGGAATCTTTATTGAAACGTAAAGTTTATGGTGTAGTTGAAATGAATAAAAAAAATCGACTATCTAAACAAGATAAAATTCCATAGATGGATAATGGTTAACAGTGGAATCCAAGACGTGCATTTCATTCTATTTCGGATTCCTCAGCTAGATGTACCTGTATCTCAGAGTTGATATTCACTCTGCGAACCGAACCCAGTACTGTTCGCTTCAAACATCATCGCCAACGCCACTTAGCTACTGAGTCTTGATAGTCGCTTGCTTGTGCAGTGGGATGAAGTTTAAATTCATTTTGTATTGTTTGTTTTTTAAATCTACCTACTGACCTTTAGGACTGAAATGGATTAGTCTCTTGTTAGCAATATGAGCATACTGTACAGACTGCCTCGACATTGTCTTAACTCACAAGCATTATAAACAAAAGATGAAACGCGCGCCCTGGATTCCACTGATAGTCACTATCCATCTTTAATTAGAATGCTTATGAATTAAGGCAATATCAAGGCAATACGCATAGGTGTACATATGTCAATAAGATATTGATCAATTCCAGTACTAAATAACAATGGGAAAATTCAAGTAAACAACAATACCAAATGAAGATAAAACTCCTTTCAAATAGTAAGAGTGAACATCAGAAACGAGTAGTGAAGAATGACGTGTGAGGCTCATTGAAGCAGACTAAAAATCTGTTCAGAATGTCGAGACCTACACGGATGATAACTTACTTACTTACCTACTTACGCCTGTTACTCCCAATGGAGCATAGGCCGCCGACAAGCATTCTGCAACCCACTCTGTCCTGGGCCTTCTTTTCTAGTTCCATCCAATTCTTGTTCATTTTTCTCATTTCTATCTCCATTTCCCGGCGTAATGTATTCTTTGGTCTTCCTCTCCTCCTTCGACCTTGAGGGTTCCATGTGAGGGCTTGTCTTGTGACGCAGTTGGGTGTTTTCCTCAATGTGTGTCCAATCCACTTCCAGCGCTTCTTCCTGATTTCTTCCTCCACTGGGATCTGATTTGTTCTCTCCTACAGTAGGTTGTTGCTTATAGTGTCCGGCCAGCGGATCTGAAGTATTTTGCGTCGACAACTGTTAATAAACACCTGTATCTTTTGGACGATGGATTTCGTAGTTTTCCAGGTTTCCGCCCCATACAGTAGAACTGTCTTGACATTTGTGTTGAAAATTCTGACTTTGGTGTTGGTTGCTAATTGTTTTGAGTTCCAGATATTCTTCAGTTGTAAATATGCTGCTCTTGCTTTGCCAATCCGTGCCTTCACATCTGCATCGGATCCACCGTGTTCATCGATGATACTGCCCAAATATGTAAAGGTTTTTACATCTTCCAAATCTTCTCCGTCAATTGTGATTGGATTGGTGAATGCTGTGATGTGCCGGAGAATCTTGCTTTTCCCTTTGTGTATATTGAGACCTATTGCTGCTGAGGCTGCAGCTACACTGGTTGTCTTCTCCTGCATTTGTTGTTGCGTATGCGATAGAAGAGCCAGATCATCTGCGAAGTCTAGATCATCCAATTGCATCCTAGCTATCCACTGTATCCCGTGCTTCCCTTCAGATGTTGATGTCTTCATGATCCAGTCGATCACCAGCAGAAAGAGAAAGGGTGAGAGTAAGCAACCTTGCCTGACACCGGTCTTTACTTCGAACGACTTTGTCAAATGTCCTCCATGCACGATTTTGCAGTTTAATCCATCATAGGAATTCTGTATGATATTGACTATCTTCTGAGGCACGCCGTAGTGTCGAAGAAGCTTCCATAGGGTTGTTCTGTCCACGCTATCAAATGATGTTGATATAGAGTGATTAATTCCATTCAATTGATTGTTCCACAATGATCCGTAGAGTTGCGATTTGGTCTGTGCACGATCTATTCTTACGGAATCCTGCCTGTTGGTCGCGAAGTTGGGCGTCTACGGAGTCCTTCATCCTGTTTAACAATACCCTGTTGAAGACTTTTCCTGGTATTGAAAGAAGAGTGATTCCCCTGTAGTTGTCACAGTTGCTGAGATCGCCTTTCTTTGGTATTTTGACCAGAAGTTCTTTCCAGTCTTTTAGTACCTGTTCCTCATCCCAGATCTTTCTGAAGAGAGTTTGGAGTATCCTTGCAGTTGCCGCTACGTCTGCTTTCAGTGCCTCTGCTGGAATGCTGTCTAGTCCTGCTGCTTTGCCACTCTTGATTTGTCTGATAGCCATGCTGATTTCTTCAATTGTCGGTGCGCCAACATCAATTGGGAGGTCCGTGAGTGCTGCTTCGATGTTGGGTGGGTTCAGTGGGGCTGGTCGATTCAAGAGTTCTTTGAAGTGTTCTACCCACCTGTTTCGTTGTTCTTCAATGTTGGTGATTATCTTGCCTTCCTTGCTTTTCACTGGTCGTTCTGGTTTACGGTGATTTCCAGAGAGTTTCTTTGTTGTTTCATACAGTTGTCTCATGTTTCCTTCTCTAGCAGCCTTTTCCGCCGTCAATGCCAAATCTTCCACATATTTACGTTTGTCAGTTCTGATGCTCCTTTTCACTTGCTTGTTTACTTCTGTGTATTCAGCCTGTGCCTTGGCTTTTTCTGCTCTTGTTCGACTGGTATTGATCGCTGCTTTCTTGTTCCTCCTTACTTGAATCTTACCCAGTGTATCAACCGTGATCCAATCCTTGTGATGGTGCTTCTTTTGGCACAGAACCTCATGACATGTTGAAGTGATTGCCTCTTTTATCTCTTTCCAGTTGCTCTCCATAGTAGTTCCTTCTCCATTGAGTAGATCATGAAAGGCCTGGAACTTATTGCTGAGGGCTATCTTGAGTTTGTTGAGTTTGTCAGCAACCCGAAGAAAGGCGGTATTAAACTTTTGTGATATTGTCCGCCCCGTTGTCCAGTGCTTCTTGAGTTTCAATTTCATCTTGGCGACCAGCAAGTGATGATCTGATGCTATATCAGCCCTTCTCTCGGTTCTAATATGCTCTATCGTCCTCCTGAACTTTTTATTGATGCAGATATGGTAGATTTGGTTCTGCGTAGTGTGATCCGGTGAAGTCCATGTGATTTTGTGGATGCGTTTATGTGGGAATATAGTGCCGCCTATGACCAGTTTATTGAAGGCACATAGATTTGCAAATCTCTCACCATTTTCGTTCCTTTCTCCCAGTCCGTGTCGTCCCATGATCTCTTCATATCCGGTGTTGTCAATTCCAACCTTGGCATTTAGGTCTCCCATCAGAATATTCAGGTCTTTTGTTGGGCACTTCTCGACGATTGACTGCAGGTTATCATAGAATTGATCTTTAGCGTCTTCATTGTAGTCGTTGGTAGGCGCGTAGCATTGGATGACGTTCATTGTAATCCACGTTTTCTTTGTTGTGAAGGAGGCTTTGATGATCCTTGGTCCATGAGATTCCCATCCTATAAGTGCATTTTGGGCTTGTTTGGACAGCATCAATGCAACTCCTTGTGTATGTGGGGCATTTTCTTCTTCATGTCCGGAGTATAACAGCAGCTCCCCTGAAGCTAGTCGTTGTTGTCCAACTTGCGTCCAATGTGTTTCACTGATCCCAAGCACCTCTAAATTGTATCTCCTCATTTCTGCAGCAATTTGGAAAACTCTCCCAGTCTCCCACATTGTGCGAGGATTCCATGTACCTAAATAAATGGTTGCTCTGGTTGTCAGAAGGGGCATCGGCCTCGTGACTTCCGAAGAAACTCGGCTTTCATCATGAGGCGTCATAATTCTTCTAAACGAAGATCTCCTGACTCCCAGGGCAGAGTTTAAATGGTTTGAATAATTTTTTCTGGTTAGCGTTGTTTTAGCTAACCCCATGCCCAACCCTCCTCCTTTATCCGGGCTTGGGACCGGCAGTAGCCCCCGGAAAAGGGCTACAGGCGGACATAGATACATTTAAAGAATAACGCTGACTCCTTCAACCTGTTTTAAATATTATTAATTCAGTTTATAATAACAAAATGGCTAGTGTAAATTCTTCAAGAAATCTTGAAATCAACGACTTGTAAACAATTTGTTCATGATGTAAAACCATGTCGATCAAAAAGAAGTTCATGGTGTTCCCAGATGTCAGTCAGTCAGTCAGTCAGCTACAACGTAGGACCAGGCACATAGATACATCCGTTCAAGTTGCCATACCGCATTAGCACAACAAGATGAACACCGAATTTTTAGAAGTCGTTACTTCAAGAATGATTACATATAAGGATATAATACAGGTAGAAAGAATCAATTCGTATAAAGAAACGTATAAAGCAATTTTAGTTTCACAGTTTAAGGGAAAACAAAGAGTGTATAAACTTACACCATTAGAATCGATTCTAAACCATGTCTCACACAGTCTCCAACTATTGATTACGATAGTCACTCAAACTCTAACCAAGTATTCTGTATTTGTCAACATGACTCAGACTAAAAGTTAATGACTTCAAACAATGATATCACATTTTAATTTGACCGACCCTAATTTTCTTTCAACTATCCTCTAGATGAACTCAAAGAATCTATGAAAGAGCCAAAAATATTCCATCCAATCATATTTTCAAAGAACATTCCAGAATCTCAACATGTATCTTCTCTATTAGACAAATACTAAAATGTACTACACTTGGATCGGATGATCATAGTGATGATTTCATTTTGACCTTCTCATTTGAGTTATGGAGAGTTCTAGTATTCGATTTCTCTGGTAGTATACAGTATAGCAACTCACATTCAATTGAGTTTGCTCTCATCTAATTCAGTTAAGCCCTTTTATTAACTTTATTAAACGGACAAAGTGACCTGCACTATAATAACTTATTGTATCCTTATTACTGTTGCGAATGTATGTACCTTTATTATTGTTATCCTTGTATGAATATGTATGCTCAGCAAGCCTTACTGCCTATGCATTTATTCACGCTACTAGCTTTACTATTAACCGCTTAATTGACTTGATGATTGATTCATTTCACTATGTATATATATGTCCATGTTATTCATATTCATGACTCGCTCGCTCGTCCATTCACTCGCTCGATCTCTCGCTCTTGCCCTTGCTCTCTCTCGCTCGCTCGCTTGCCTGTTTGCCTTTCGGCACAACTATTTCATGCTTGCTTAATGCATCTGTAATTTTGGATATCTGTGTGTGGTCCCTTAATAAACGTAATTAACACTTTGTATTCGCCTTCTGATTAATATACCGTTGGAGCATTATTTAGTGACGGTTACCGAGACGAACTGTATACGGAGTTTAAGGAATATATCGAACACCGACCACCACAACAGTATACCAAGAATCTAAGCTCTTAAATATAAGATTCATCTTAAATCAAAGTGAAACAACATTTATATATTATAGTAATATAACATACTTAATAGAATCTGGCATTGGTGCAGATAATCTTATCCAATAATCTAATGTTCCTATTTTTATCTTTTCATTAACATTATTCATCTCTTTTATATTCATAGAAATAAGGTATAAATCTAATTGATCATGTCGACGGATAACACTACCATGACCAGGTAATTCTATATTATCATCTAAAATGGAATAGAATAAAGAAAAAAGAAAATCATTATTGTGTGCTAACATTCAATTCATGAATTCAATTACTTATTTATTTACGCCTTTTACTGTCAATGGATTGTAGGCTACCGACCAGCATTCTACAACCCACTCTATCCTAGATCTTTCTTTCTTGTTTCATCCAATTCATGTTCATTCTTCTTATGTCTGTTTTCATTTCTCGGCATAATGTGTTCTTTGGTGTTCTCTGGTCTTCTATCCTTTGACCTTGAAGATTCCATGTAAGAGTTTGCCTTGTGACGTAGTTGGGTACTCTTCTCAATGTGTGTCCTATCCACTTCCAGTGCTATTTCGTGATTTATTCCTTCTCTAAGATTTCATATGTTCTCTCTCACAATAGGTTGTTGTTAATAGTGTCTTCGATCTTTTTAAACTGATGTTATCAGAAATTTCACTTTCGAATGATGATACGCCTACTGCTTATATCTGTCGACTTATATCAGTAGGATACAGCATATCATTTGTGATTATTGCAGAGTTTCCACTATTATGGCATATATTATAATAAAGGAAAACTATCAGAACGGGTTTTGTGGAGATTGTAGTAATTACAATAGTTGATATCATGAATCAATTGAAGCTAGACCACTATGGATGTGCACTGCTGAGGAGTGTCACAATAGAACGAAACAGCCATCCAGTGCTTCCAGGTTTTCCATAGTGGTCTAGTTTCAATTGACTCATGAGCTCAACTAATGTAAGAAAAAAAACTCTTTATAAAAATTGATTTGACTAGAAGAACATTTAAGAACCGACAGATGCTCACAACTGAAGAGTCTCACCATGGGACGAAACAGTCATCCAGTGTTTCCAGGCTTTTCATGGTGATCTAGCTAAAATCGACTCATGATCTCACCTATTGAAATTACTATAATATGCACATAAACCTCTTCTGAAACTAATAGATAGTTATTCTATCCTTGTCAAAGTATACGGTAATCTAACGTCGATTAATGCTACATCGTGTTTAACATAATCTTCATACAAAGAAAAACCAAGAACAAGTAACCATGGTGATTAGTTATCTTATTCAATATGAAAGACAATTTTAATAGTTGTGGTATCCAAGAAAAAAGAACTAAATGTTTTTTTTAAATTCAATTCATTCCATAACTGATTTAATGTTACAAACTGGAAATCGATAGTTCCCTTTTCATTGTTTAGATTATTTGATAAATTTCTTTAATATATTTCATTAAATTTTGAACTGAATATCATAACATAGAGTTTTGTTGACCCCAGATACCCTGGTACTGAAGAGGATGGGAAGAGTCACAACTCTTCCTCTCAAAATGTTCTCACATGGCCATACATCTACAATCATTGGCAGGGAAGCCAATCGTTGTTGCTACCTTGACGTGGTGGTCGAGGTTGACTATTGTGGTGAATCAATCGAGCTATACTGGCTGCAACAATTGTTCCTCAACTTTCTACCATGCCAAACAGGTTGGTTGAAGAAAAGTAAGACTAAAAGCAGTAAATCCAAAGTCTGAGGGCGAAGTCGTACTGCCGGCTGTACAGAGGTGTGATAGCAGTAAGGTGTTTCCTTCAGACAACCAGTATGGCAGTGATGCTGCCTTCCCACAAGGAGGTGTGGGGTTAGAAATGGTCGACCTTAGAAATACACACCTCGCCTTATCACACGAATATCAGTCTCCGACGGTAAGGTTCAACAATTACGGAGCTAATACGAAAATTACTCACAAAAAGGTCATGTGTGACCGACCTCACTCTGTTGTAACTTGGGCACTGCGGTCACGCTCTCAGGTTACTAAGGCTACCCCTAACCCACTTTCGTTTTCAGGTACCTCCAGAAGAACCCTTCCATGGTGTGGGAAACCGTGGCATCAGTTGATAAAGTTACGAACTTCTAGTCTGAGCCATGTTGGTAAATACAGAATACTTGGTTAGGTTCTGAGTGACTATCGTAACTAATAGTTGGAGACTGTGTGTGATATGGTTCAGAATCGATTACAGTGGTGTAAGTTTATACACTATTTGTCTTCCCTTAAACTAAAATTGCTTTATACCTTTTCTTTCTACAAAATAATTCTTCATTCCTGTACTATGTCCTTATATACAATCTTTCTTTAATATATTACTACCATTGAATTAACTAGTTCTATGAATCCGGCTTTCATCTTGTTATGCTAATGAGTCATCGGTTGCCATGGGACTGCATCTTGCTCCACTGCTTTGTGGATTAGACCTATAGACCAAAGGCTCAAGGTGTTATTCTAGTTCATTCATTTCACAATGAATATCTGGACTACCTGTTCCTACTATCTAGATATTTTAGCAAGTTATCTGTTTCCTTGTTTGTTTCTTCTAACTACTAACATCGAACTGAAGATCACTTAATAGTTATCGTCAGGATCGACTAAGAAGTAAAAAAGAGAAATTTGTTGAAATACTTTGTCCTGAGAATTCTATGTTAGATTACCGTTGAAAACCTGGAAGCACTGGACGGCCTTTTCGTTCTATTGTGGGACTCCTCAGCAGTGCGTATACACGATCCTGCTTGCGGGATTCGAACTCAAGGCCTTCAATCTTGCACACAAACGATTAAGCTCTAGACCATTGAGTTATCATCTAACGATGTTAGTGTTCAGTGATTCCAGATGGTCTAGCTTCAATTGATTCATGTATTCAACTATTAAATTACTACAATCTCCACAAAACCTCTCTTTGAATATGAATTAATTCTTCAAAATAACTAAGGGATTTCTTTTACCTTTACCAGTGAATAATTGTGAAAAATTAAGTTTTCCAACAGCGATAGTACGATAATTAGAATTGATAACTTGATGCATTTCCACAGTGCATGGTTCCTAGAATAAAGAACAAAGATGATTTAAAGGTGACCATATTAAATAACGATCATATACCTGTCAATTAGTTTGATGGTATATATGTGTAGTGAACGAGAACATCAGTAGGGAGAATCAAATATGGTACAATCTTAAAAACTATACTGTAAATATTTCATTTATAAAATGTCAATCAACTGTCACAGACTTAACTTTTACTTGCTTTCTACAAAGATCACTCTATGATCTCGTTCTCTTTTCTTTGATTTTCTCAACCTTCTACCATCAGGTATTCCACATTCGATGGATGATACATGCTACTTATATCTGTCAATATCAGTAGTACACATCACACAAGCACATCAATCTTACACAAGGTTAGTAAAAGCCTGAATAAGTCATCGGGTGACATTGATTTTTATTCACTAAGTAAGACCTGAGCCAATAATGATGTCAACTAGCACAAAACTTAATGTCATAGAAGATCTAGTTGTCAATACTTAGTTATCACATCACAATGAAGAAGATAACTCTCGACGACTATAAACTGCTGGAAACTGTATGCGTAAAAATCAGATATATACTGTATAATATATACAGACTCTATTGTAATTTATATGTCTCTTCTAACTTCTAAATGAGTAAACATTACAACTAAACTTCTGTATTATAAAAGTATATTTTTTAACTCAATAATTGTTGTAATATCCCGACGAGAATAGTGGATAGTAACTGTTGGGATCTGTTTATGAAATAATACTATGTATATTCATTTTCCTCTTAGTATAAGCTTTATTTTAACCCATAGACCATTATCATATGATTTACCGTTCTTAAGTTCTTTCCAAGTTCATTAATTACAGTCTACTACAATCACAGCCGCTTTTGGCTAGATTTCATGGTATGATGTGGTCTGTTTGGTTTGTAGATAAACTCAGTATGTTCGAAATACATGATTTATACTACAGAGGCTGAGATTAGCGTTCTGGTCTCAATAGTCAGACAGGTCTACACAGGAAGAAGGACCGATGAAGATTCTAGACTAATCGTACGGGTTTTATGAATCATTGGTCCGGTCTATAAATCACTGTTCTCTAATTGGCGGTATCATTACATTTATATATGAATAGGGCAAAATCTTGAACGACTGTTGTAGTGCAATATGATCTGTTTGGTTTGTTATATAAACCCATTATGTTTAAAATACACGATCCATATCGCGGTGGCTGAGATTGTTGTTCTGGACTTAACAAGTAGGGCTAAGCAGGAAGAAGGATCGATGAAGATTCTAGGCTACTCGTACGGATTTACGCATCATTGATCCGGTCAATAAATCATTGTTCTCTAATTAGCGGTATTATTGCGTCATATATTGATAGGGGTAAAAAGCAACAAGTTATACCACTTGTACATTTCACCGTATAAAAAATCTATACAACACACATTTATGAAAAATGTAATGTATCTATCGAAAATTCAAAAAAAAAATCCATTTAGGTGTTGTGAACATTGTCAAGTTTTTGATTGAGATCATGAACCGATTGATGTTAGACCATCATTGAAAACCTGGAAGCACTGGATGGCCGTTTCGTCCTATTGTGGGACTTCACGGCAGTGCGCATCCACGATCATACTCGTGAGATTCAAACCCATAGCCTTCAGTCTCAAAATCCTTGGAGTTCTAGTGAGAAGTCATGACCAGTGGAACTAATCCGTGTCGGGTAGAAACAGATGTCTACCTCAGTACAATGGAAGGTGGTCGAGCAACTTCGTGGATTGATTAAGGTCATACATTAACACTCTTGGATGCCGGTTCAGTAGTCCAGTTGATTAAGCAGGATCGTGGGTGCTCGTTGCTAAGGAGTACCACAATAAAACGAAACGGTCGTCCAATGCTTACAGGTTTTCAATGATGTTCTAACATCAATCGGTTCATGATCTCAATCAAAAATAATCATCATCACCCCTTCCCATGTCTCATTCCCCCTTCCCTCCAAAAAAAAAGGTTAATCAACCATTTTACCTTAATTAAATAATTCATTAATGTATCATTCACTTCTATAGGATATTGTATTGTCATATTGAAATCAATTGAATCATGTACAAGTTGAATTGATGTTGCTTGTGTTTCATAATCATAAAAATCCCATGTTAAAAATAATTGAATTGGTTCTTCATTCTTATGATTATTATCCTTGATATTAGAGGATATGATTGGATAATGTTTAGATAGTAACGATGGTAACAAATATAATTGACCTATATGTAACTATGAGAAAAGAGTAAAAACAAAAAACAAAAAAAAGGAAAGTGTAATCTATAAATTGAATCATTTATTTGATTATTATGTAATATCAATAGTTGAAATCATGAATCAATTGAAGCTAGACCACCATGGAAAACCTGGAAGCACTGGACGGCCGTTTCGTCCTAGTATGGGACTCCTCAGTCTCGCGCCAGGCGCTTAACCAACTAGACCATTGAGCCGGCATCCAACGGTGTTAATGTCTAATTTCAATCAATCCACGAAGTTGCGCCACCGTCACCATTGTCTTCAGTGAGCTGATATCTCACAACAGACCTGGTTGAACTCCACTGGTCACGGCTTCTCAGTAGAACTCCAGGAGTATCAACTAGACCACTGAGCCGGCATCCAACGGTGTTAATAGAATTGAATATAATGTTAGATTTAAGTTTGATTGATGTATCAGTTCAGTGGTATAGTTATTAAGTGTTCGTGAGCGAAATCAATAGATCTTGGGTTCGAATCTCGTGAGACGGGATCATAAGTGCGCGCTGCTGAGGAGTCCCATACTAGGACAAAACAGCCATTCAATGCTTTGAGGTTTTCTATGGTTGTCCAACTTCAATTGACTTATGATATCAACTACTGAAATTACTATAATATTTACAAAATCCCTTCTGATACTAATTAACATATGCTCACTAGTCATTGTCTGCAAGAGGTATTTTCTGATGAGAAGCCGTGTCCAGTGGAATTAAACCGCTTCTGTTGTGAGATTGTAACTCATTGAAGACAATGATGGATGTGTCGCTTCATTTCGTGGATTGGTTGAAGTTGGACATTAACACCATTGTATACCAGTTCAGAGTATTAGAGGTTAGGCATTCACACGCAAGACCGATAGGTCCTATGTTCGAATCTCGTAAAGTCGGATCATAAATGCGCGCTGCTGAAGAGTCCCATACTAAGACAAAACGTCCATCGAGTGCTTTCAAGTTTTCTATGATTGTCTAACTTCAATTGACTCATAATCTTACCTATTAAAATTGTAAATGGAAATATCACATATAGCGAACAATACAACTACTTCTATATACTACTTAAAACGTTTGAAATTACAGTGAATAATTATTTCTTTTCATTATAGATTGCATATCCTTAAATCCTTACTATATACATTCTATCCTGAATTGAAACATTGACAGATTATGTTAATCAGATGGAGCTTCTTTGATTTTTGAACAAAATTGATGTATTCATATAGTTACTAGTTATATTTACATTACACTTGATGTTACTTCTTAATGAAAACTTCAATTCTAGCCGTACTCAAAAAGACATTGAAAGGATTCTTGGAAGTTTATTTGGATTCTAATAAGAATTAGTGATGTGTGAATAAGAATGATCATGATTGGTTGTCTGCTTAGTGAAACATGTTGTGTTGACGTCCTGTAGAATAGACACTGAGAGGGGAATCTAGTGTAGATAATCGTTTAAGGTAATTTAACATCCCATATATGTAAAAGTGGAAACCCAGCCGTTATAACATTAGACGAAGTAAAACCGAGAGTTATAATAGTTAGATATAGACTACATACTATATACCTTTGAGGATGACTTTAGACATCTCTGTTTTTAGATCTGCAACCATAATAACCTTCAGAAGAGTGTTAAAACTTCATTGACCATTCTCTTCCTCATAAATTATTCATTTATATAAACTGTTTCCTGAGTGAGCAAAGATGGATAGTGGCTAGCAGTGGAATCCAGTTCGACGCGCGTTTCGTCCTATTTAGGACTCATCAGCTGGATGTACCTGCATCTCAGAGTTGATGTTCACTCCGGGACTCGAACCCAGTACCATTCGCCCCAAACGACTTGCCGGGGAACCAACATCCGACCTCCACCCGGCACCTGGGACGTCTACTCCTGTGCTCCACCGGCCTGCTGAGCCATCTACATCCGATGTCCGCCCAGCAGCCGCACGTCCCACCGCTCCTCTCCGTCGACAGCACCCGCTACGGCCAACGCCGCCCCGCCAGATCACTCCACCAGACGCCACCTCCCCGAACCCAGACTGCCCCAACCTGCGCCTCAGCTCCAGGCCCGCAACGGCGTCCGCAGAACAGCACCCTCCTCCCCTCCTGGTTGGCAGCGACACCAAATGTAGTGAGATAAAACACCAGTGGGGACAATCCAATGTATTTAACAACAATTTACAGAACTAGTTAGTAAAATCAAACGACCATATATTGAATCGGTAATTTGCAAATTGTTCATCAATTATCTCAAATCACTCAGAATCCCCTTGTTCTTGCATTTTCATACAAATTGCCTTCTGTCTTCATTCTTTATTGTTCGATCTTCTTATCTCTCTGCCGCTAGACATTCTGTTCAGTGCTCACGTCATATACTACTTATGTCTACATAAGTAGCACACACCACAACACTATGAGTTATATGTTTTCACTCGTGCTAAATTGATATTGATGATTTAAATGTTACTCTAATAAAATAGTTGAATCCATAAGTTAATTGAAGCTAAACCACCATAGAAAACCTTGAAGCACTACACCACCGTTTCATCCTAGTATGGAACCCCTCAACAGTGCGCATCCACGATCCCGCCTCGCGAGATTTCAACCCAGGACCTATCAATCTCGCACACGAACACTTAACCTCTAGATCACTGAACCGGCATCCAACGATGTTAATGTATAGCTTCAATCGACCCACAAAAATGCTCCACTGTCCACCATTGTTCTCATTGAGTTACTGTCTCCCAACAGACATATTTGAAATCAACTGGTCATGGTTTCTCACTGGAACTCCAAAAAATACCTCTTGTAGATAGTCACTAGTGAGCATATGATGATTATAATCAGAGAAGAGTTTTTTGGTTCCAGGTTTTTCATGTTGGTCTCAGTCTGTAACAACAAATAACTTCGTACGTACATACATCAGTTCGAGTTGCCATACCACATTAGCACAAACATACAATTGTCGACTCAAATCCCATAGTGATATAGGTAGTAAAAGTATAAGCAGTATTCGAAAAGATTAGGGTTTGAAGATTTTATTCAAGGAGTATAATCCAGTGAAATAAATTTGGAAAGAGAAAAAAGAAAGGGACATGTAGAATTCAGATGATTAGAATTTGGGAGAACACACAGAGTGGATGCACCTGCGACACATTTCAAACGATTTCGAGCCATGTCATTCAAGGTCTCTAACCATCGGTTGCTATTTATTTATTTATTTTATGGCTTTATTCAATATTACGGATTTTGGTACAATATAGAATTCTCACCACAAAAATATTTCAACAAGTTTCTTTTACAGAACAAAAGAAAAAAAACGGTTAAAAAAATCTGAAAAATAAACACTGTACAACTTTTCAATTAGAGTCATGTTAAGAATGCAGATTATTGACTAGGTTAACTCTAACAACCTGTTCGTCACAGAGTACATTTGCTAGGTAAGGTACTATAGAACGTTTATACTTTTGCTTGCGTGCTTGGATTTTAATGTAATTTCGTCTCGTTCTACCAGAAGATATACAAGGAGAAAGATATGAGTGAAGGGGATGGTTAGTATCTGATAAAATAACATCTGCCAGGAGTTTGCATGACTTTAGATGTCTATCCACAATCATATTAATTATGGTCTCGAAAGATTCACCACATAACTTGTTAACTGCCTTCAGAGCTCTCCGCAGTACAGCAAAGTCTTTTCTCAAAAGCCCGGGAAAGAATAATGGAGAGCTGTAAAGAATAATACGTAATATGCAAGAATTGACAAATTGTAGGAGTAAATGACGAGTGATCCCAAAGGCATGCAACCTCTTAATGTAGTAAGTCAGACGGAAAACCTTCTTCGATAACAATAAAACGTGAAAAGACCAAGAGAGATCAGAGGAAAAGGTAACACCAAGATAATTGACCGTCGACACTGTGTTTATCAAAGAGTCGCCAATGGCACAAGCATTATGAGATCTCAAAAAGGTGTATAAATGCCGATCATGTCTCATGCTAAAGTTAACAGCTTGACATTTAAACGGATTAAGTAGGAGACCATTAACGACAGACCAGGTATCAATGCGAGATAAAAACTCGTTCATTTCTATAGGATGGAAAGAGGAAGAGATAGGCATACAAACAGTGAGATCGTCTGCATATTTCACGAAAGTGTTTACTGTGGAAGATGGCAGATCATGCAGAGAAAAAGAGAAAAGAAGAGGTGAAAGAACAGCTCCTTGTGGTACACCTTCATAAGACACTAGAGACTCTGAACACTTTCCTCCAAACACCATGTACTGTTCCCTTCCAGAGAGGTAGGAACATAGCCGGTTGGTTATCCAGCTGTCAGTGTTGACGCTGATTAACTTGTTAAGTAAACGTTGCCTTGATATAGAATCAAAAGCAGAAGTATAGTCCAGGAAAGCGCATCGAACATACTTCTTACCCTTTTCTAGGTTGAACACTATATTATGATGCAGAACAGCAACAGCATCTAGGGTGCTTCTTTTGCATCTGTAAGCAAAATGATACTGGTCAATGTGCTCTTTTATCGCAGGCTGAAGTGAAAGTGTCAATAATTTTTCCATTGCTTTGAGGAAGGTTGAAGTTATTGCAATGGGTCTGAATTTCACATTCTTATCACTAGATGATTTCTTGGGTATAGGGATTATTTTCATCTTTCTCCACATTTTCGGTATGAGATTAGAAGAGAAGGATCTGTTAAAGATAGTGGTGAATGGATAGCATAGAACGTCAGCACACTTCTTGAAAAGGAGGTTTGGGATGAATTTAGTGACTGGAGACATTTTTGGACATCAGTTTCCGTGAAACTAGGAGCACAGCTATTTTTTAAACCCGTGAATAAAGGGAGTATCACATCAGATGATTGACGTAAAAAAGACTTATTTAAGTCACAAACATCCAGCTGGTTATCGGTCCTAATCTGTCTGTCACCTGTAAGTTCTTTAAAGAGTTTCCGCATACTTGAAGAGTTTTTACAAGACAAGAGTTTTTGAGCAAACATAGTGTTGAGACGACGAATTTTGAGGTTTATCAGACCATTTAGCTTACGAACTTCACTAGAGTTTTTCTTTTTGTACATTATTTCTTTCACCCTCCGTAGTCGTTTTAGTTGTGAAGATGTAAGTCGATCAAAACTTACAAAAATAGTTTCAGTGGGACAACAAATATCAAAACAGAATTTAAGGTAGCAAGTGATAACATCAGTAGTGATTTCCAGTGAGTCATCTGTAAATAATTCCCAGTTGGTCGTATGAAACATGTCTTTCAGGTTTCGGATATTTACTTCTGAGTAATTCCTATATTTGACTTTCTTGCTTTGATTTAAGAGTGCACTCTTTCCATGCTTTCCATATACTTTAGGTAGAACACGAATTATACAGTGATCCGAGCTAGACAATGGAGCATGTTTACGAGTCACATATATACCTACATCATTAATGAAAACGAAGTCTAAATGAGCATCCAACCGAGTAGGAAAATCTACTACATTTTGGTGACCTAGCGATGTAAGGAAGCTACAGTCACATGAATTAAAATCACCACATACAACTGAAAGTGAATCACTGAAGGCAGTAACAGCGAACTCAGTGAATTCATCAGCGAAGACAGATAGCGCAGATGATGTGCAGTCTGGGGTCACATAGATATTGGTAACATAAACATATTTGTATTTATTTAGATGTTTTGGACGACATCTTAGAGTTAGACAGTCGATAAAGTCATTTGAAAACTTGAAACACGCAAACGTAGATCGACACCAGTTCACGTTTACAAAAGTAGCTACACCGCCGCCACACCTCTTTTTATCGTTTGATCGATCCTGACGATAAATTTTGAAATCATGTAGGGATACTAGGCAGTCGTCCTGTAAATCGTTTAACCAAGATTCTTGAATTGTGATGGCACCACAATTACGATACATATTTTGACTTAGTAGGGATTGAAGATAGTCTATCTTGTTAATTAATGATCGGCAGTTAGAATTGAGCAATTCGGGAATCGACATACGATTAATGTTCATTCTCTTCAACGCATATTGCCAACCACCACGATGTCTTTTATTGTAGGTTTTTGTAACTTGTGCAGCGAAAGGTCTTAGGCTTTTCATAAACGCGCCTGTATATGTTATGCGATTAATGGACATAATGAGAGGTTAAAACAAAATGAAAAAACAGATAACCTGTTGAAACACTTAGATGGCAAAAACAGGCAGCCAGATCATGTCATCTCGCGGTCCCCAACCAGGTAGTCTACACCTACCAACATGGCTCAGTCCACTTGTCAGTGACTTCATGGATTTGTGTCATGTTTTAGACTGACCGCCCCTATCTTTCTTCCATCCTGCTCCCACACTATAAATCATCGCTCGTCGGGGCAGTCGGTGGTTAGGCATATGTAACACGTGTCCCATCCATCCTTACCTAGTACCTGTTTCCTAACAACTGCATTGGCTACTCGGTTGTCACAGGATATACGAATAGTGTTTCCAAGACACCTATAATCGAATACTAGTAACCTACGAATATCCTCTACTCTAACCGGCTATGTTTCACTGCCATAAATTAGGACGGAACGAACTGCCGCGCAATAAACACGTCTTTTGTTTGATAAACAGATAACTCGCCTACGCCATAAATGATGCAAGTTGGCTAAAGCTAGTCGAGCCTTCTGTTTCCGTCCTTGTCTAGCCTCAGCTGATTCATGAATTTAACAATTAAATTATTACAATCTCCACAAAACCCTTCTCAGGTTATTCTAATTGTTGATCGTTGCACTTGGAAAATCATTGAAATATATCTTTTTGAATCTGAAACATTTCATGACCTTGAAAAGGTACTTTAGTTAAGAAATATCATACAATGATAAGAATTCATATTGTTTTATTTGCTACTTGATAGATATAAGTAGTATGTAGCATCAATCGGAAGTAGAATACCTGACAGCGGACGGTTGAATTGAAGAGAACAGTAAAAGCAACAAAGAAGAATTGGAATAACAACGGAATTCAATGGATGAAAAAGTATGTACAGAACATTTGAAAGATGTGCAAATGATGTCATCTTTTACGAAGCCATCGTATAAGCTGGTGTTGAACAATTATTAGTTATCTTCATCAAGTCTTCGTTTTCTCTCGAATATAACCAGCCTTTTGTTTGACGTACTTAATATGGCATAAGTGTTTGCGGACACTTTAATATCACGGTGACTAAATTCGACAGGTCATCACTAGAATTCCAGTAAGAAGCCTTGATTAATAGAGTCCAACTATGTCGTGAGTGAGGCGAGTACCTACTGATGAGATCAAAATGTAGTTACACAATATTTTGGATTGACTAAAGTTACAAATATGAACTACTGGATCGCAGCGAATGTCCGGCACTTTAACCGGGCCGGTGGACAGGATGCGTCCACCTAGGATAGTTGGAAAACCCTCATTCCAAACCAATGGTGCACATGGGCTCCACGATCCTGAAGGAACATATGGCGTATGAACTAATTATTGGTCACCAGCTACCATGAGACCGCATCTCCTGATGTTACATCACTGTCTTGTAGATTAGACCTTTAGGTCAAAGTCTCCGAGTGTAGTCCTCTAAGTAAACCACCTGGTTGGGTTTGGGCACCCGAGTAATATTCAAGCTCTCTCAATGTTTATGTGTTTAAATAAATAAATAAAAAATAATTGTCTATTTCTACATACCTCAATTAAGCTTTCTCCTGGTTTTAAAGCATCTTCTGTTGTTAGCGTATCATTTGAAAATTGATCATTCTGTTAGATCCAAAATTGGATATTGAAAATGTAATGCAAATAAAATATACACATAGTCATGTTTAGAATACCCCCCCCGCACACACACACACATCAAATAACTTATATACAATTAATCAATTACTGAGTAACGAGTGTATCGGTTTTTTAAAGCAAATCTGTATCGGGTAGAGACAAGTATCTACCTCAGTACAATGAAAGATGGTAGGGAAATTTTGTAGATTGATTGAAGTTAGATATTAACACCATTGGATGCCGGATCAGTGGTCTAGAGATCGAAGATGTTGGGTTCAAATCCCACGAGGTGGGATCTAGAATGTGCATTCCTAAGGAATCCCATAAAAACCTCTTCTGATATAACAATCATGTTCAGCACAATAGTCATAATTCAATTTTAGCAGTTACTGAAGTGTATATTGTGTTAATCTGTTTCAATAAACAATTGCTGACATCATGTCTTGGCTTGAAAAATAGTAGCCTTAGATTTTAGTTCATAAGTGGATACCACTTAAGATGCATGAAATAGAGCAAAACAAACTTCCAGTTATCACTAGCTATCAAGAGTTCGTAAACTATTATCAGTTTGTAATAGAAGAACAAATTAGCCATACTTAATGTTTACAATAAGAGTGCGAACTGAGGTGCTTAAAGTTAGAATAGAATAGAACCAAAGATCCGGTTTTAATATGATGATCCTTAATGGTGACCTGGAAGCACTGGACGGTCGTTTCTTTCTAGGATGGGACTCCTTACGTGTGCATATCCAAAATGTTGCACACGCGCACGGATACAGGACTTTCGATCTAGTATGCTAACGTTCAACCCTTTAACTCACTTAATTACTAATTTATGCCTGCTACTCCCAATCGAGGAGCATAGGCCGCCGACCAGGGCCTTCCTTTCTAGTTCTATCCAATTCTTGTTAATTCTCTTCCACAAACTGAAGTCTCAAAAAGTTTTCAAATCAAAACTGCTGATCTGTTCTCATAATCTGAATGTCAGTAGTATTATCAGTGTAAAGCTGACTTGTTATTATTGGATTAAAATAATTTACTGATCATATTCAGTAAGCACATAGAAGTAAAAATTCATAAAAATTTATGATGATATGCAAACATGTATGGTGATGGAATCCAGCTTGACGCTCATTTCATCCTATTCGGGACTCGTCAGCTAGATGTAGATGCATCTCAGAGTTGACGTTCATTCCGGGACTTGAAACAAATACTTTTCACTTCGTACGTCATCGCACTATCCACTCAACTACTGAGTTCTGATAACCACCTGCTTGAGAAATGGGGTGAAGTTTAATTGACTTAATATTATTTGCTTGTATTTTCCCATTGTTTTTCAGAACTGCAATTGTTCAGTCTGTTGTTGGAATATATGCGTGCGAAAGGCACTAAGTTCGAGTCTCAGAGTGAATATCAACTCTAGAATGTAGGTACATCCAGCTGACAAGTCTCAAATAAGACGAAAAGTGCATCCTAGATTCCACTGCTAGCTACTATCTATCTTTGCTTATAAAGCTTATAATTTTTGGCAGTATCGAGGTAATCCTCTCAGGGTTCACATATGTTTATAAGTGACTGATCGATTGCGATCCTAAACCTCGATGGAAAGATTGAAGCAAATAAGAACAAGTGAATCTAAACTTCACCTCATTTCACAACCAAGTGGCTATCAGGACTCAGTAGCGAACGGTACTAGGTTAGAATCTAGTAACCATCTCTGTGCTGATGTACGTACATACAAAGTTCGACGTTGTTACTAATTGACTGACTAACTGACGAGTCGCAGAATAAACATCAACTCTAGAATGCAGATACATTCAAGTAACGAGTTTTAAATAGAACGAAACACTAGTTAATCATGGATTCCACTACTATCCACTATCCATCTTTCCTTTGAACACTTATAATCTAAGACAATATCAAGGCCAGGAGTCCCTCAGGAGGTGACTGCCGATCGCAAGCCCGGACAAAGGAAGAGGGTTAGCGACCTCATCCTGTGGAACACTGATTTCAGTCAGTTAGTCAGCTGCAACGTAGGACCAGGCACGTATATGCATCGGTTCAAGTTGCCATACCGCATTAGCACAACAAGATGAACACCGGATTCATAGAAGTAGTTAATTCAGTGGTGGTAATATATAGAAGAAAGAGTGTGTTTAAGGATATAGTACAGGAAGAAAGAAATAGTTCCTAGAAAGAAAGATTTGAAGTGATTTTAATCTCTTAGTTTAAAGGAAGACAGAGAGTGTATACACCGACGCCATTGTGATCGATTCTGAGCCATGTCTCCAAGAGTCTCCAACCATTGGTTACGATAGTCACGCGGACCCCAACCAGGCAGTCTGCATCTGCCAACATGGCTCAGACCAGAAGTTAGTGACTTCAAGCACTGATGCCACGTTTTGGTTTGGCCGCCCCTAACTTTCTTCCAATCATCCCTAACACCGGTTAGCATTGCGCGCTGTGGCAATCGGTGTTCAGGCATACGCAACACGTGGCCCAACCATCTCAGTCGATGAAGATTCATAACCTCATCAACTGATTTACCATCATTCTAATACCCTGCGTCTTACGTCACTATTACTTACCCGATGATCCCAGCAGATGCGAGCAATATTTCTAAGACACCTCTGGTCAAATACTGGTAACTTACGAATATCTTCTACTCTGGCCGTTGTTGCTACCTTGACGTGGTGGTCAGACTTTCCTATCGTGATGAAGCAACTGAGCTATACTGGCTGGAACAACCGTTCCTCAAGGTCCAGGCAGGTCGGTTTAAGAGCGGTAAGACTAAAAGCAATAAAACCAAGATCCGAAGGCGAAGTCATACTGCTGACTGTACAGAGGTGTGACAGCAGTAAAGTGTTCCCTTCAAACAACCAGCATAACAGCGATACTACCTTCCCAAAAGGAGGTGTGGGGTTAGACAAAGTTGACCCTAAAAATGCACACCTCGCCTTATCCCATGGATATCCATCTGCGGCGATAAGGACTCAACAATTACGGAGCTCACACAAAAATTACTCATAATAAGGTCATGTGTGACCAACCTCAAGCAGCTGTCCCTTGGGCACTGTAGTCACGCTCTCAGGTCATTAAGACCACCTCTAAACCAATTTCGTTTTCAGGTACCTTCAACAGAATCTTTCCATGATGTAGGCAACCGGAAAGGGATAACCACCGTCATATCTCTAACAGCACTCAAGAACACAAAACTTGCCCAAAAATTAAAAATCAAACAAACAAACAAAAAACAAACAAACACAAACCAAACTCTTAATAAACATTACCTTATGTTTATTAAATCTATCATAAATGAAATTCGATAATTGATATTCTAATTGTTTTATTCGTTTAGAACTTATATCTAATAATTGTTTTTGTTCTATTAAATATTGATTTGATTGTAATTTTAATTCATTATATTTATCATTTAATTGTTTTAATTCTATTTGATAATCTTGATTTATTTTATATTGAATATTTAATAATTTACGTGTTTTTTCTAATTCCATAATTGTATCAGCATGTAATATTTCAGCTTCATTTAATTGTTTCATAAATGAATCTAGAATATTAAAACAAAAACAAAAACAAAAACAAAAACAAAAAAAAAACAATTTCATAGATAAAATAGATAAATAAACATTCTGTTAGAATTTGAAAAGTTAACAAGTTCATTTAGTTTATGAATGAGAACGAAGTTCAATGATCAAGGTTCAGTGAGCTAGCTAATGAACGTGTCCCAGTCCTAGTTAATTAGAAGGAGAAGCTCAAGCTTGAAATGAGCAAAGTGTATTCTACAGCAACCCGTTTTGATTAATACTTAGGATAACAAATCACATACATGAACAAATACTCACAGTGATAACAAATCATATGCTGAGTATAGTTTATAGTCAATGGAATACAAGAAGATTGTATATGATACAGAAGAAAAAGATCATACGAGAAAAAGAAAAGAAATATTACATTGCGTAATCATTACATGGAATCAAACAGGATGTAATGATGAATCAAACTTATATTAAGTAAATCAATCGAATATTGATTTCTCCTCTCATCATACATTCTTTAATGTAACCATGGAATCATATTAGATGAAGAAACATTTGATGATATTGTTATAATTCTTTTGATGTTACGATTTTAAATGAGTGATTTCTTATTGGTTAGTAGTCTTGGATATTAATTCGCTCGATAAAGCGCCAAATCAAAATATGGTTGAACAAGAAGAGAGATTATATTTTCAAATAAGAAGATTAGATAGAAGTGAGAAAGTACAATAGGAAAACTGTTAGTATATTTATAGTTTTTTACATAAGAAGATATTAGAGTCTTCGCCAAGTATCGACTAGCTCTGATTGGATAAGAATTAGCCAATCAATGTGCGCTAAAGTAATCATGCATTGAGTATGCTTTAATCCAATCTATGTCCCGCTAAAAGATGAATAGAGTTTTATATATCTGAATGGTATCATGTAGATGTGATAGTGTGAATCGGTAAATCAAGAGTAGTATATCTACTCACTGGCTTGTCGTGGTGAGGGTGTTGTTTACGAAAATGAGAGGACGAAAATCAAATATTCGGCGCTTGAACCGGATCCCAAATCAATGGTGCATATGGACTCCAGTATCCTGAGCGAACAAATGGCGTATGAACCAATCGTTGGTCACCGCCTACCATGGGACTGCATCTGCTTACGATGCTCCACTGTCTTGTGGATCAGATCTTTAGGTCGAAAGCTTGGAGTGTGGCCTTCTAAGGAAACCACCCGCTTCGGTTCGGGCACCCGGACAGTATCAAAGCCCTCACACATATCAAATGAGATTTGTGTGACGCATATATATTTGGTGTCTCCTTATACCAATATCTATGTGTTAAAATAAAGTAAAATAAAATAAGTATATCTGCAATTGATAAATATCTAGAATTCAAAACAATACAACTGTCAACCAATACCAAAGTCAACATCTTCAATTCAAATGTCAAGATAGTTCTACTTTGTATGGGATGGAGACTTGGACAAGCACTAAAGCTATCATTTAGAACATATAAGTGTTTATTAACAATTACCTACGCAAAATATCTTGGATCCATTCGCCAGGCAATATCAGCAACAATCTACTGTGAGAGAGAACATATGAGATCCCAGTAAAGGAAGAAATCAAGAAGAAGCGCTAGATGTGGATAGGACACACATTCAGGAAAGCACACAATTGTGTCACAAAAAAAGCCGTCACATAGAATCTTCAAGGTTAAATGAGAAGCGGAAGACGAAAAAACACAATACTCCGAGAAATAGGTATAGAAATCAGAAGAATAAACAAAAATTGGATAGAACTAGGAAGGAAGGTCTTGGAGAAAGTGAGTTGGAAAATGCTGATTGGTGGTCTATGCTCCCTTGGGAGTAACAGGCGTAAGTAAGTAAGTAAAATGTCGACAGATATAAGTAATAAATATCATCAATCGGAAGTGAAATTTCTAGTGACAGGAAGTTAACAAGATCGAACAGAAGAGAATGAGAACAGACAGCGATTGATGTGGAAACGACAGAACAATGAATTCTGAGACGATTGATTGATATCATGTCAATGAAGTACATACTTTATAGTTTTCAGATTTTCTGAAGTGATTCTGTAATATATCCAAATGCATTTTGATTTTCTCCATTGCAGTATAATCTTGAATAGGGAACCATTGAAATCCAAGAAGTTCTGAAAAATTGTTTTATCTAAGTATAGTGTTCACCTACGAATCCACTAGAGTTCGAACTCAGGACCATCAGGTCATTCTTGGCAAATACTTCATTCACTTTGATGTACTCTAGAATCCCTTGTGTTATACTGTCACTGATATAGTTAGAAATATGTCAGGCAGTATTCTTCATCTATTATTCTTGGTGAAACAATTGTTACTATCGACATTGGATGGTTATCACCTTAAGTTGTAACCGTTCAATTACATGTAAACTCAATGATACTATGAGTTAATTATTTTCCCTGATATAAATATGCACCAGGTTCTACATTGTAATCAACCAATCGACAAAGCTTCAATTATGAGGGAGATAATCGTTAAAAAGCAAGAATCATCTAAAAAAAATATCTGGAAAAAAAATTGACGATTGAACACGTCTTGAAAACATCTAGATTTCGTTGAAACGAATTCATATGACACTTAGAATAATCTTGAAGATGTACCGATTCAGAAACGAATAAATTCAGATGATCTAATAAAAGATAACAGAAAATTTGTATTTACTGACTTGCTTACTTACGCCTCCCGAGCTCCCGATTTTGGGGAAGCCGCCATAGTAAACTTTGGGGAAATGGTCTCAAAACCCCGAAATTCCCCTTTAACCTTGGTGAAGGTCATTTGACTTTGGAGGTTTCCCCAAAATTTACCCAAACTTGGGAGATTGGGCTGTCATCCCTCATAAAGGAGCATGGACCGCTCACCAGGATTCTCCATTTATATCTATTCTAGGGCTACTACCGTTCTCAAGCTCAAATAAAGGAGGAGGATTGAATATGGGATCAGTAACCTCATTCATTAGAAAACAATGATCACCAGAAAACTTCTAACAATTATTTAGATATCAATGGTTAATATCATGAGTCAGTTGAAGCTAGACCACCATGGAAAACCTGGAAGCACTGGACTGCCGTTTCGTTCTATTATGGGACTCCTCATGACTCATGATCATAATCATTGAAATTACTACAATCTCCACAAAACCCCTTCGAATAATTATATAAGTAGTCTATAATTTTTATTTGAATGACTCTCCTAAATGGTAATTGAAATGATAGTTTTGACAGTTTCCTGTATATTCACATATTATTAGTTACTATCATTAAACTTACCTTTGTTTTGATCTAATACATTCGGTAGTAGATCATCATTAACTGATTGAGATTTGGATTTACGCTCTCGTAACATCATAATAGCATCTTCCAGTTCTTCAACAGTGAATCCAGTAATCTATATGAAAATTGATTAAGATGAAGCAAAATATTCATGATTTCAAGTTATTTACTTGAATTTTCTCATTGATGTTTACAACTGTAATTGATTAGTTTCTTATTCACATATGTAGATCCTGTGAGAATCGCCTCGATATTGTCTTAGGTGAAAAGGATTCTAAGCAAAGATGGATAGTGATAAGCAGTGAAATCCAAGATGAGCATTTCGTCCTTTACTTATAATGCACAGTATGTACATATGCCAACAAGTGACTGAACGATTGCGGTCGTAAACATCAATGGGAAGATTTAAACAAACAATACAAAAATGAATTTAAATTTCGTCGTATTGCATAAGCTAGTGACTGTCAGGACTCTATAGCTAAGTGGATAATTTTGATAGTTGGATTCATCAGTTGATGTAAGTTAAGTAATCAATGAAATCCTTGAAAGCACTAAACGACCATTTCGTCCCAGAATGGGACTCATCAGGATTCATAAATACAACTATTAAAACTACTAAACTCTCCACAAATTCTTATTCTGATAATAATCATTTACTCCGGAGAGGGAGCCTGAGAAATGGCTACCACATCCAAAGAAGACAGCAGGCGCGAAAATTACTCACTCCCGGTACGGGGAGGTAGTGACGAAAAATACGGATACGGGACTCAATTAAGGCTCCGTAATTCGATTTCTTTCACACTGGTGGTTGCTTTACAGTGTTCTCGAGGGCCATTGCCATTGGAACATTGTAAGGCATGTCGCCATTGCTAACATTAATGAGTTTGACTGTCGTGTAAGCTGAATGGGTCGATTTTGACCTGTTTGTGCTGTGCATAATTGATTCACGCGATCATTGATCAGAATAACTATACATATGATGTGAATGTGTATGTGAAATAGTGTGAATGGTCCACCAGGATGATCGGTACCTGCGTGGTTGTGCCACAGGATTGAGCTGCACTGCTCGGATTGTAGCGTTAAAGCCTATACGATGTCTGGTTCTCCTATGAAGCGGGAGTGAGCTGTACTGCTCGTTTTATAAAACCTAAGCCTGATTAGTGTCTGGCTCTCCTGTTATACGGGGTTGAGCTGTACTGTTCCAGTTGTCACTTGAAAGTCTAAACATAGTCGACAGAATTCGATCTGCACTAATAATAAGGACTAGACACACATGAGATTGGTCACGACCCAGTGATCAATCAATTGTGAGTGTCTGGTTCTTTTGAAACTTACATACGCCTGTTACTCCCAATGGAACACAACACTTAAAACTACCGAGCCTGTATCCAATGATACACATTTTCCCCTCCTGTCAATTTCTAACATAGTGTGATCCCTTTTCAATGTCACCAATTAATTATTATCTCACATTTTTATCTAACATCCTTCTCCTAAACTCTACTTACTTACTTACTTACGCCTGTTACTCCTAATGGAGCATAGGCCGCCGACAAGCATTCTCCAACCCACTCTGTCCTGGGCCTTCTTTTCTGGTTCCATCCAATTCTTGTTCATTTTTCTCATGTGTATCTCCATTTCCCGGCTTAATGTATTCTTTGGTCTTCCTCTCCTCCTTCGACCTTGAGGATTCCATGTGAGGGCTTGTCTTGTGACGCAGTTCGGTGCTTTCCTCAATGTGTGTCCTATCCACTTCCAGCGCTTCTTCCTGATTTCTTCCTCCACTGGGATCTGATTTGTTCTCTACCATAGTAGGTTGTTGCTTATAGTGTCCGGCCAGTGGATCTGAAGTATTTTGCGTAGACAACTGTTAATAAACACCTGTATCTTTTGGACGATGGATTTCGTAGTTTTCCAGGTTTCCGCCTCATACAGTAGAATTGTCTTCACATTTGTATTGAAAGTCTTGACCTTTATGTTGGTTGCCAATTGTTTTGAGTTCCAGATATTCTTCAGTTGTAAATATGCTGCTCTTGCTTTGCCAATCCGTGCCTTCACATCTGCATCAGATCCACCGTGTTCATCGATGATACTGCCCAAATATGTAAAGGTTTTTACATCTTCCAAAGCTTCTCCGTCAATTGTGATTGGATTGGTGCATGCTGTTTTGTATCGAAGAATCTTGCTTTTCCCTTTGTGTAGATTGAGACCTATTGCTGCTGAGGCTGCAGCTACACTGGTTGTCTTCTCCTGCATTTGTTGTTGCGTATGCGATAGAAGAGCCAGATCATCTGCAAAGTGGTTCTTTTGAAAACCAATGTAAAATTACCCTGGCCCACAAGGGTATATTATATAACATAAGGGAATAACTTCAAGATGAATTTTCCGGAGTTCTTAGTAAGAAGTTATGACTAATCAAGTTCAATCCTTGCAGAAGATTATGAATTGATTGAAATTAAACATTAACACCATTAGTTGTCAGTTCAAGGATCTAGTAATTAAACATTCACACATCAGACCAAAGAACCTAGATTTGGATCCACAGTAACAGATCATAGATGTGTACTTTTAAACAATCTCATCTTAGAATGAAATGATCATCTAGTATTTCAAGAATTTCAATAATAATCTAACTTGAATCAAATCATAAATTTAACAATTAAAAGTAACTATCTACTTGTGCAAACATTTGTGTTGTTGTTGATGTTGTTGTTGTTGTTTTTATTCCAGTTGATTGTTCATTTGAATGATCTTGTTTCAATGGAACACATTCTAATTGATTAGATTGATGTTTATTCAATAGAATTTGTTCTTCGATTGATTGTTTTCTTTGTTGTTGTTGTTGTTGTGGTGGTGGTGGTGGTGGTTGTTGTGGTTGTTGTTGTTGTTGTTCAGTTTGTTTTAATTGTTGTTGTAAATTATGTACCATCATTTCTAAATGATCAATTTGTTCACGTAATCTCTGTTCTTTGATTGTCCAATTTTGTTCAGGTTTTATAGAAAATGCACTAGAAATAAATAAATGATCATTGATCATTCATTTCTTGAATACATTTGAATATATTTCATAATAATTAATTCAATGAGTATATCAGATTGTTTGTCTAGTAAAGCAAAGACAGTATTTCTTTCAATTGATGAATATATAGAACTCAAAACAACTGTTTCTCAATCAATATCAAAGTTAGAATCTTCAATATTGAATGTCAAGATAGTTCTACTGTACGAAGCTGAAATGTGGAAAACTAAAACAATCATCATCAAGAAAGTACAAGTATTTATCAATAGTTATCTATACAAGATAGCCAACATCTATTGACTGAATACTATCAGTAACAGCCTAGTGTGAGACAGAACAAACAAGCTTCCGGCTGAAGAGGAAATTAGGAGACGATGATGGAAGTGAATAGGACATACAATACGAAAATCACTAGAATGGGTTTTGTGGATAATTGGTAATTTCAATAGTTGAAATCATGAATCAATTGAAGCTAGACCACCATGGAAAACCTGGAAGCACTGGACGGCCGTTTCGTCCTAGTATGGGACTCCTCCACGATCCCGCCCCCCGCGGGATTCGAACCCAGGACCTATCAGTCTCGCGCCAGGCGCTTAACCAACTAAATCATCAAAGTTCATCAAGAGGCAAGCCTTAACATAGAATTGTGAATGGAAACGGAAAAGAGGAAGGTTAAAGAACATATTACGTCGAGAAATATAGAAGCAGATATGAAAAAGATAAACAACAACTGGAAAGAGCAGAAAAAGATTGCCGAGGACGGAATTGGATGGCAAATACTTGTCGGCGGCCTATTCTCCTCCACGAGGAGTAACAGGTGTAAGTAAATAAGTTTAGACAATCACTAAAAGATATATAGATCTTCAAATTAAGATATTTATATTTCAGATGGGTTTTGTGGATATTATAGTAATTTCAATGGTTAAGATCATGAGTTAGTTCAAGCCATTGAAATTACTATAATATCCACAAAACCCAGCTGATATCAATCAACATATGCTCACTATTGACTGCCTTCAAGAGGTGTATCGTGGAGTTCTAGTGAGAAGCAGTAAACAGTGGAGTTCAACCAGGTCTGTTGTGAGATAGTAACTCACTGAAAACAATGTTGGATGTGTCGCTCAATTTCGTGGATTAGTTGGAGTTAGACATTAACACCGTTCGATGCCGGCCGGCTCAGTGGTCTAGTGGTTAAGTGCTCGCGCAAGAAACCAGTAGGTCCTGGGTTGGAATCTCGCAGGGGGTGAGATCGTGAACACGCACTGCTGAGGAGTCCCACAATAGGACGAAACGGTCGTCCAGTGCTTCCGGATTTTCTATGGTGGTCTGGCTTCAACTAACCCAATGATCTTCAACATTGATATTTATATATAGTTAGAATAGTTAATGATAAGATAAAACATCTTTCTAATATTTCCCTATTTCTATTGTTGTTTTCTATTCAAAATCTGTTTGAAATGAACTATTGTCCTAAGAAATGGAATCGTTATTTGATCTGTTTTTCATTTTACTACAGACGATTTAAATGTTGGTAATATTAACCACATGTATCTTTAGTAGATCAAGTTAACAATAATCAATGAACCATTGATAAGTAATGAAGTCATTTATAGCTATTTGATTTGACATACGGACACCCCCCCCACTAGAATACGTTCGTACACAAAACCGGTTCTTAAAATAGAACCCAACACAATATCATTACAACCTATACCTAAATTAATTAATGGTTGCTTTGGTTTTCAGAAGGTTCATCAACCTCGTGACTTTCGAATGAACTTAGTTTTCAACATGAAGCGTCATAACTCATCTAAATGGAGACCTTCTAACTCTCAGGACACAGTTTAAATAGTTTGAATCATTTTTCTTTTGGTTAGCCCTTTTTTAGCGAGTTAGTTTTCTAAAGGATGGGGGTCGCTAACCTCGTGCCAAACCCTCTCCCTTTATCGTGTGTTGCGACCGTCAATAGTTCCAGAGGGTCTCCAGTTGGAGTTCATTACGACCTACATGTTTACAAATGTTATGTGATTTTGATTATCAGTTAGTCCATCGAGAAATACTATATCACCATAGTAATTTTGACATTATAGTTTCTAGATAAATAACAGTTTTAATTATGTAATAATCACCTAGTTGATCATTCTTTTTGTTTCCTATTTTACAAGTTAATTAAGACTTTTTAGTATTTAACATTATAAAAGAAAGTGATCATTTCGGTCAGCTTGTTAAATATTTAATAATTATCATTATATGCTCACTAGTAACTATCTACAAGGGGTATTTCCTGGAGTTCTAGTAAAAAATTCTGACCAGTGGAGTTCAACTACGTCTGTTGTGAAGAAGTAACTCACTGAAGACAATGGTGGACAGTGATGTAATTTTGTGGATTGATTGAATTTAGACATTAACACTGTCGGATGTCAGTTCAGTATTCTAGAGGTTAAGTGTTCTTGCACAAGATTGACAGGTCCTTGGTTCGAATCCCGCATGCTGGTTCATGGATGTGCCCTGCTGTGTAGTTCCATACTATGACGAAATGGTCGTCCAGTACTTCCAGGTTTTTTATAGTGATCTATCTTAGATCGACTCATGAATTTAACAATCAAATTAAGTATTATGATAAGTTCAATAATTGAAATCATGAGTCGATTGAAGCTAGACCACCATGGAAAACCTGAAAGCACTGAACGGCCGTTTCATCCTAATACAGGACCCCTCAGCAGTGCGCATCCACGATCCTGCCTCCCGCGGGACTCGAACTCAGGACCTATCAGTCTCGCATCAGGCGTTTAACCAACTAAACCACTGGGCGGGCACCCTACGTTGTTAATGTCTGACTTCAACCAATCCAAGAAGTTGCGCCAACGTAGATGCGCACTGTTGAGGAGTCACATACTAGGACGGAACGGCCATTCAGTGCTTCCAAGTTTTTCATGGTAATCTAGCTTCACATGACTCATGATTTCAACTATTGAAATTACCAATGCTCCAGAAAACTCCTTCTAATATTACGACAAGGTATAAATCATAACAGAACACAGAAAGAAGTATCAATAGAATTACATTGAATGTGCAAAGTTAACAATTATAAATCAAGCACACACACACACACAGAGAGAGAGAGAGAAAAGGAGAAAGAGAGGGAGAGAGAGAGCGAGAGAGAGTTAAAGAGATATGAAATGAACAACTGATGTGCATTTGTGATTTTTGTTAATTGAATCATTGAACATAGTGTAAGACAACATACAAAGTTCTATTACAACAATAAACTTAATAAAATTTACATGTTCTTGGATCTATTCATAAAATAAAAATTTAAACATAGAATTCTTAGATATACTTGAATAAATTCAATGGATATAGTCTATTATTAAGTTATATATATATATTGTATTGTATACAATGACAATACTGGGTGATGCTTGAGCGATGTCATATATGTCAGGTCGTTCTTAATGCAGATCAAATCTTATTGACTAAGTTAGCTAGACTAGTGGTCAGATTACAATTTAATCGATCAGCATTAAGAAAGACTTGACATGTATGACATTGATCATCACCTAGTGATCGATCAATTGTGAATACATTCCAGTCTTGTAGAAGGTCAGTCGCGGCCCAGATAGCCTAGTGGTAATGTCTTTGACTGTGAAGCTGGGTGACAACTTGTAGTAAATAAGAACACCAGTGGGAATAATCAATTGTATCTAGGCACATAATTACAGAGTATCTCCATAAAATCTGAGAACCATATATTAGGTCATTAATTTGCAAAATATCAATCCATCTTATCAAACTTGACTGTTGCTGTTGCAAATATCAATCCATTGTCTCAGATTTTATTGTTCATGCGTTTTCATACAAATTGCATTGTGCTCCCGCTCTTCTTTTCTTGATCTTCCGCTATCTTCTGCTGCCAGACATTACGTTCCTAACTCGTGTCATATACTACTTATATTAATATAAGTAACATGCACCACAACGGGATCGAATCCGTCAGGGAGCACCAGTTCTCTCAAGATTACAGGTACACCTTGTTGACGAGTGGCGAGTAGAACGAAACTTATGTCCAGGGTTTCCTGTTGACTACCTCCAACCACCATATTATACTTTTAATGTAATAATCTAACATCTGAGCATAGTTTACATGATTTCTAGTTAATTAGACTAGTGGTTACATTGTAACTTGATCGATAAAATTCGATCAATATTAAGGATCAGATATTGATGACATTAGTGATTGAGAGGAAAGCAAAAGTTAAATCGGGATCATGGATTCGCACTGATGAGGAGTCCTATACTAGGACGAAATGGCCATTCAGTGCTAACAGGTTTTCCATGATGGTCTAAATTTAAATAGACTTATGGAATCAACTCTTAAAAGTTACGAAAATCTTCACAAAACCCCCTTTCTGAGGAAAGTATACGTTCATAAATAAGGAAATTACCCTCAATTGAAACTAATTTTCCTGATATTTGCTTTGATCAAGATTAATCTTTGTTCTCTGATCACAATTCTTACATATCATACATATTCATTTACATAGATCATCATGGTTTACTATAAATCATAGCGCTAAAGTGAGACAAAAACTTGAGATGGTTAATTTTTGATAAGAAATAAGATGGTGATTGAAGATAGTCAACAGGAAACCCTAGACCCGGGTTTCGTGCATTCATCATCAAGGTGTAACTGTAATCTTGAAGGAACTGGATGCGCCCTGATGGATTCGATTACATATCACCCAGCTTCACAGTCAGAGACGTTATCACTGAGCTATCCGGGCCGCGACTGACCTCCTGTAGGACTGAGATGTATTCACAATTCATTGATCATTGGGTGATAATCAATGTCATGTATGTTGGGTCCTTCTTCTTACAGATCGAATCCTATCGATCATGTTTCGATGTAGTCACTAGTCTAGGTGACTCAACATTGCGTGCACTATGCTGAGATAAGATGGTGGTTGGAAGAATTGAACATGAAGCCTTGGACCTAGGTTTCGTGCTGTTTGACACTCGTCAGCAAGATTTACCTTTAATCTTGAGAGGATTGTTGCTCCCTGACAGTTTAGATCCCGTGTCATCCAACTTCACAGTCAGGGATGTTACTACAGAGCTATCCGATATAAAACTAATCTATTAAATAATCAACGGTTGATATGAAAAAAGAAGAAAAACAGTAGACTTTCCGGTCGAAGATGATGAAATATTAGTATTCCACACGGAAAATTATCCGATCATCGATGTATTTACTCTTTGTTTAGATTGTAATCTTTAATAGGGTCATGACTGAGCAGTACCAAACATTTCCATAGTAGGATGAAACAGATATCCATAGCTTTTTTCTACTCTTACTTTACTATTACCAACAGTAAGACAAGTATATCCGGCTGCTTTGTCTTACATTTAATTAGATCTGATCATTTTAAAGTAGTTACATGTAACGGGCTTTAAGTTAATTTATGGTAGCTGATGTCTAAGAAAGATCATATCTCTGTTATATATAAACTATTGTTGACAGTGGAATCCATGATGCATATTACGTTCTATTTAAGACTCATCAGTTCAGTATGATTGGTTCTCAGTGTTGTTGTTTTCACTCAAGGAAATCCGCTTAAGCTGCATATATACCAATAGGAATTGATTGATTCTGATTCCGAATAACCTTTATTGAACGAGAACAAAAGTGGGAGGGGGGGGGCAACCTTATATATTGAATACGTTATTTGTAAATTTCCATCATTTATCTTTTGTATTCTGTATGATTCTTCCAATTCACAATTTTTTTTCTTTCTAATTCTGTTTCTGTTTTGTTTAAGTCGATATTTAAAACCGTTTCTTGCCAGGTTCCCGATTACCGATTGATGTTACATACTACTTATATCTGTCAACATAAGTAACCGAACTAGTTGACTAACTTATATTGATTTCCTCTTAATCTCACAATTATCCTTCAGTATAGAACTTGTAATATATGATACTACAATGTGTAATACATGCTATTGAAGTAAATAAAACGATCATTTCACTCGAAGAATTCTCTTCAGCTTTATATTTACAACATATACAGTAAATGGAATGTGGTTAGTATTGAAATCTAAGACGCGTATTTCACCCTATATGAGATTCGTCAGTCGGATGTACTTGCATGTCAGCATTGATCTTTACACTGGGGTTAAAATCCATCGCAAATTGAAATACTGTCATATGGTTCTTACAAGATACTACTAATTAAAGTTTGTAGAGGACATTAAGATTGATCATAGTAGTATTATTCGTTTCAAGCCAACTAAGGATCGGTGATGACGTTGTACAAAAAGGACAGTAAATTCTAATTCTTCAGGTTGTCATTTATTTAAAAGGGGCAATGGAGTGTGGTATCTGACATCTCATACTGATACACAATCTTCGTATTTATTTTATTTGCTTATTGGTATAAGGAGGCCCCAAAAACATATGCTCCACATAAATCCTTCGACTTATGTGAGGGCTCAGATACTGCCCGGGTGCCCAAACCGAAGTAGATAGTTTTCTTAGGTGACCCCACCTGGAGTCTTCGATCTAAAAGTCTAGTCAATAAGGCAGTGAAGCAACGTTAGGAGTTGCAGTCCTATGATAACCGACTTCTTGTTTCCTTAGAATTCTATAGCCCATGTGCACCATTAGCTTGGAATGAGGGTTCTCAAACTCCTCTAAGTGAATTCTCTGTATCCATCAACCCAGTTAAAGCGCCGGACATTCGCTTTTTGTCCTTTCAATTTATTAAACAACACCTGTGGTGCGACGAGGCAGTGAATAGGACTTCCAAAGTTATTTTAGCTAATAACAAAACTGACTATAACTGTAGCATCGTTACCTTCATTTAAGATATCATACAAATGAATATATTTAATGGTGTTGTAACGAGCGGTGTCTAAAAATCTGATATTGATACACAATGTGGTACGCGCTGACTCCCTCCCCCTAACTGACTACTTTAGAAAGAACGCAAGAGTGAGCTGGAAAGTATATTAGGCTACTGAATAGAATAAAGAAATACTCATGTATTTATATCATTCTATCCTTAAGAAATTGGCCCATTTCTTATTCAATGAAATAGGCTTGTCCTATAGGTCACTTCTGATTGTCTCACCATATCAAAAGATAATAATCATATGATCACTAGTGACTAGCTTCAAAATACACTTTCTAAAGTCCTAGTGAGAAGCCTAAATCATTGGAGTTTAACCATGTTTTGAGTAACACAGATGTACACTACATTCATTGGAAGCACGTCGCACGATATCAAGCATTGATAGAAATCAGATATGTACAGCGTTAGAAGACAGCTTAATGGTCTGAAGGTTATGCACTCAGACCAAAGGTCCTTGATTCAATTTTCCGTGGTGTGGTTGTAGATCCACACTTACGGGGAACTACATAGTCTGGTATAGATCGTATAGTGATTCAAGCTAGGAAGAAGCTTAGTCAAATAAAGTTTAACTGAGACCATCAGCCGATAAATGTAAGACCACCACCACTAAATTGATCAGTTCATGATTTCAATGAAACTTCAACAATCTTGACAATCATATACTGATAAATAAAATTTACTTTGCTATAAGTTTTTCATTTGATTCTTTAAGTGCTTGATTTTCACGTTTTGCATCGTCAAATGCATATTGAAGCTACAAAATGAGAAAAAGAAACAAATGGATATTTAAAAGGCTCTTTTGTGGATATCATAGTAATTTCAAAAGTTGAGATGATGATGATTCAATTGAAGCTAGACCATCATGTAAAATCTGGAAGCATTGGACAGCTGTTTCGTCCTATTGTGGGACTCCACAGTCGTGCGCATCCATGATCCCACACCGCAAGATTCGAACCCAGGATCTATTGGTGTAGTGCACGAACGATTAATCTCTAGACTACTGAGCCGATAGGTATCCAACGGTGTTAATGTATAACTTCAACTAATCCACGAAATTGAGTGACACATCTATCATGGTGGTCTAGTTTTAATTGACTCATGATCTCAACTATTGTAATGAATATTTATCGAGATTTTCTTCTAGATGAGCATTTCAAAGAATAATCAAATGATGTAGTTGCCAAGGTGATTATGTAATTATTAAACGTTTGTTAATTATGCTAAAATGTTACTAGTGATGGTGACTAACAAAGAATGGTTCTTTGGTTTAGCTTTTCTTATCATCCTTACTTTCTTTTTCTAATTGATTGCGATTACTTTGTGTTCGTTTAATTAACTGTACTTCAATCAATACAGGTTTAGAAACTATTTACTTCTTGTGTTTCTATCAGCCGAAATTGTACACCAATAGTTGTATTCTTGGTATATATGATGATACTTAGACGTCATTGGTCACTTTACACATCTGACATTTCAGTGACTCAGTTTACTTGTTTCTCATTCCTGTTGTAATTCACGTTTGATTACGTCAGTAAATGAGGTAAGCTCGTCTGCAAGTTTACAAAAGAGATACATTTCTTCCATTCCTTTATCTAATTCATTATAAGTACTGAATAATTAATGTATTCTTAGTTAAGTTTAGGTATAAGGATTAGTATTATTACTATCATTACATTAATGTATCTAGTCACATCAAAGTAGATTCACATGGAAAATCACTGAACGAATGTTTATCGTCCTAGTATGACAATTGATTGGTGAGACCTTTGAACGACGCTACAGTGATCTTAAGAGTGTCCACCTAATAACCAGTACCAAATGAGGGTTATAAATCAATGTAAAGAGTTAGAATTACAATTTACGGTTGATAGTTAAGGTTAGGAATTAGATTTACGCTTTTCATTACTAACTGACATCAACTATAATGACAAGATTCTATTTAGTCAAATGGATGTGTGATTTTTGCACCAAAATCCGAGACCTATTATCTTATACCTGATTGATTCATCCATAAATTATCGTCTCGCCTGAAATCACATCTCGGTGAGACTATAATTTATGAACGAGCTTAGATCAATGCCAAAGTAACTTTGAGAATGTCTATCTACTTAATAGGGCGAAATGAAGTTTATAAAGCTGTTTAAAGGATAAAGATAATGATGTACAATTGATGGTTAAGGTTATGAATTAGATTTACAGTTTTTCATCACAAACTGACATCAGCTATAATGCCAAGAGTCTATTTTTTCCAAATGGATGAGTGAATTTCAGACCAAAATCCAACACCGATTATCTTAAACCTGATTGGTTCATTCATAAATTATAGTCTCGCTCTAAGTCACACCTTTAAATCTGATTGGTTCATTCATAAATTATAGTCTCGCTCAAAATCACATGTCAGAATTTGATTGGTTGTACAAAATCACTTGTATATTTCTTCGTTCTGATTGGCCAATTAAAATTTAAGCGCAATATTCAAATTTAAAACAAATGAATGATTCAATAAAATAAAATAAATAAATAATTCATTACTTCTAAAATTTTCAATTGTTGTTTTGATGCTAAATTATTATCTGATTGTAAATGAAATAATTTTTGTTCTAATTGACTTGATTCACGTGTTAAACGTTCAATTTCATTAATTAATTGATGATTTGTTGATTTTAATATATTATAATTTGATTCTGATTCTTTAATACGTGATTCTAAATTATTAATTATTAATTGTTTTTCACGTAATTCTCTTTGTGTACGAATTAAATCAAGATTTTCTTGTAAAACAATTCTAAAGTTTAAATGAAAGATTAATAGAAATAATCAACATTTAGGATTAGATTAATTAGAAGAGATGAGAACTGTTAAGTATCAGGAGATAATGGATATCTGCCGATAGGATTCCTTAACATTCCATACTCACAATTCTATAAGAGATAGAATTCAAAGATTTTTAGATCATAGGGACATCCAGCTGACGATTCCTAAATAGGATTAAACGCATATCCTGAAATTCCAGTGTTAACTACGATCTATCTTTATTTATAATACTTATGAGTTAAGGCAATATCGAGACAGTACATACAGGACTGATCAATCGCAATCGTAAAACATTTATGAGAAGATATAAGTAAACAACTTCAAGTGAATATTTGTTTATGTCTTAAGCATCACATAGTTCATAATTCAACATAATTACAATCCAATTTTAGTAACTTTAAGTTATTGTCTATTGTTACAGTGTATAAGTCTTATTTCAAAAATTTATAATGGTGGAGTAGATTTGCAGATCAGATGGATGATTTTGATAAAGTTTTGTTCTCTAATCTGAATGATTTGATCGTGGATCTTTGCATTTTTCTTCTAAATGACAACATCATCAGTACAACCTTTAGGTAGAAGTGAAGTGTTTAAATTTTTCTACATATGACTCACAGTTTGTCCTGTAGACCATGATGTTGATTGGTTCTATATCAATGCAATCCATACAGGATGTTTACAAATCAGTCAAGACTGAATAAGTCTTAATCAAAATGTATTAACATAAAGATAATTCAAATCATTTCAAAATTAAATTATCAGTATGGGATTGTGAAGATTATGAATTTTTTTGGTTGAGATCATGAACCGATCGATGTTAGACCACCATTGAAAACCTGAAAGCACTGGATGGCCGTTTCGTTCCATTGTGGGACTCCTCAACAGTACTCATCCATCATTCCTTTTCACAGGAATCAAACCCAGAACTTTCAGTCTCTCACGCGAACGTAAAATTAGCTTCATGGAGGAATTCTCGGATTTTCACTAAGAAGCAGTGACCAACGGAGCTAATCCATATTGGGTAGAAACAGGTTTTTACCTCAGTACAATCGAAGATGGTCGCTTAATTTCTTGGATTGGTTGAAGTTAGACATTAACACCGTTGGATACCGGCTCAGTAGTGTTCGCCTACAAGACTGAAGGCCTTGGGTTTGGATCTCACAAGTGGGATCGTAGATCAACCCTGCTGAAGAGTCTCACAATACAACGAGACAGTCGTCCAAGTATTCAATGGTGATCTAACATCAATCAATTTATGATCTCGATCAAAAAGAATCTTGAATTAGAAACTTTCTTTTATTAAATCACCTTTGTTTTGATGTGACTTGTTCACCAAGTGTAAATAAATCATTTGTATGAATTTTCTCTTTCATTTGTAATTCTTGTTTTAATTGATTTATTAATTCATCACGTTCTTTTAATTGTTCAGATAATTTTTGTATAGTTTTTTCACTAAATTATAATGAAAAAATAATTAAAAAAGATAATTAATGTAAGAAATTTGTAGAGATTATTACATTGTTATGATATGTACTACTGATGTCGATCGATCTATAAGTAGTATATGTATCATCAATCGAAAATGATATGTTTAGTGGCAGAACGTTAACAAGATCAAAGGAAAAGGGATGACAACAGAGAATGATTAGTGTAGAAGCGATGATGATTGGACCCATAAGCTGGATTTGCTTACATTCCACAGTCAATGATCACTATAGGACTCAAACCTAGTATCTTTACTATCAAGCTACTCGTTCTCTAGCTTGTCCAATGGAACAAATTTGATGATCGTAATCCAATCCTTAATATCAATAATGACATTAGTTGAAGGTTTTAGTATGGGTATTCATATTGTGTTATGTGCTACTGATGTCGACAGATATAAGTAATATGTGTATCATCAATCCAAAATGAAATACCTGGATGTAGAAGGTTAGGAAGATCGAAGAAAAGAGTATGAGAACAAAGAATGATTGGTGTGGGATTGAAGGGATAGTCAAGTCTGAGACCACTGATTAATATATTGCGAGTGAAATATTTACTGTATGGTTCTTAGATTCGACTAAAATATTCTGTAATGTTGCATTCAAATGCATTCGATTGTCTCCACCAGTGTTCTTATTCACTACATTATCAGTAACTAACTTTATATAGATAGCTGTTGAAAATAAAGAATCACTGGAAAACTGTTACATTGTAGTATGATATCAATTAACAATGTAAATCACTGAATATGAATTGAGTGATTTAAAGATTAAGCACTGACTGAAAAATCTGAAGTTCTCAGTTTTAACCTGTTGTATGGCTTTGAATAGGCACTGGTGAAGAGTTCGGTTCTAGGATGAAATACATGTTTATTATTCATTTATTCAAACACATAAACTGTAGTACATACAGGCACCAAATATATATGCGAAATACAAATCTCATTTGATATGTGTGAGGTCTGGGATACTGTCCGGGTGCCCAGACCGAAGTTGATGGTTTTCTTATGAAGTAACACCTCAAGCCTTTGATCTATAGGTCTAATCCACAAGGCAGTGAAGCAACGTCAGGAGATGCAGTCCCATGATAGCCGGTAACCAACCATTGGTTCATACGCCATTTATTCCTTCAGAATACTGGAGCCTATGTGCACTACTAATAGACTCTCCGTGTTCACCAACCATGTTAAAGCCCCTGTTGGACATTCGCTTTTCGTTCTCTCAATTTCCTGAACAACACTCGTGGTGCGAGAAGGCAGTGTGTAGAACTTCCCTGCTAGTGGTTTTATGCACGTCGCCATGTGAGAGCGTTTGGAGAGGGAGAGCTGCCATTCCCCACTCTCGGCCGTACCAGGGAATTTGGGGGCTATAATATCTACATGTTTTAAGATTATGTGTATCAATTGTTGAGATATCTCGAAATACAAGAAAGCAATAGTATAATAGTGCTTCTCAATTTTTAGGTTCCTTAACGAACTCTAGTCTCCTGTGAAAAAATCTCCGAAATAAACATACTTACGTGAGTTCATCTGACTTATAAGTAACAAGTTGGTGTCTAATTAATGTCATAACAGTCAGTTGGTTATAAGCCGCGTACAACCTAACGCCCATGTGTACCACTGGTTTTCCCAACTTCCCTAGGTGGATACTATATGTCCACCAAACCGCTTGAATTTCCAAACACTCACTGTTTGTCCTCTCAATTTCTTAAGTAACATTCCAGTGGTGAGAAGTCAGTGAGTAGAACTTCTCAGGTAGTGGCTGTGTGAACATAACTATGTGAGAGTATTTGGAAAAGGAGAGCAGACTTTCTCCACTCTCAGCCGTACCAGGGAGTTTTTTTTTGGGGGGGGGGGTTAATCAAACACATATACAGTCCTTCTTAGTTTTTATTCAATTTTTTAATGTAAACTAAACCAAATTGTGAATGTTTCAAACAATGATGATTGTTTTTCACTGATAATAAAACATCAGGGTGTTAATCGATAGATTATTGATTTTTTACAATGGTTACCTTATGTTTAACCGATTGGTTACTATGTCTAATAAACATACAGACTGGGGTTATAAAACTTCAGCATTTTATAGAATTCGGAGTATTATTATCTTACTCTCTTTATGATGTTTATCCAAGATGATTGTTTTTGGTGTTATGAAGTTCTTTGAGGTAGATGGTTTCCTTGAGTTGCTTTTATTATCATATTGGATAATATCTCTAGGGCTTACTTCATGTCAACGTGTACATTGTAGTTATTGCAAAAGCTTTGAATTAGTTCTTCATGATATCCTTAGTTGTAATTGACTGTCTTCACAGTTTTTGATGATTTCCATTGCTTCTGTATTCAATTTATTTGTCTTGTTCCATTGACTTCCAAAACATGTAGTTGGTTAACATCTTCGTATGGTTTGATTGCTCAGATCTATGTCAATGTAATTATGAACTTTAAATGAATCCAGAAGGCATGATTCTGGCTAGAGAATTTTGAGAAGCATGGCTTCTGGATCCATTTGATGTCAGTAAATGCATCAACATAGATCTGGTGAAGGATGACTATCTGTTCTGAATGACTAGACTTAATCACCTGTGATTTTATTTGAGCATCTTTACTTCTCAGGATAAACAGGAAGTTAAGACAAATGTACTCCCATAAATAGAAGATATTCTAATGGAGTTTTGTTCTCTGAATTGAATGATTCGGTCGTGGAACTTTCATCGTTTTTCTGAACGACTTCTACCTAAAGTTTGCTCTGATGATGTTGTTCAGAAGAACAATGCAGAGATCCATGACCAAACTATCTAGCTCAGAGAACAAAACTAAATCAGAATCATCCACCTAAGCTGCAAATCTTCTATACCATCTCAACATCATATGAGCTTAGTACGCTTCTTATTGTTCAGAAGAATATTCTATATAAAGACCGGGAACATGTTGATATACATGAATCAGGAATATATGACTTATTCGTGGGTTCGAATCTCGCGGCCGTAGACGAGTACTGCCGAAGAGTCCTATACTAGAACGAAACGGTTATACAGTGCTTACAGGTTTTCCAAATGGTAATCTAACTTTAATTGACTTATACATTCAATTGTTAATATGAAATTTATAATCTCTCTATGTATTCTATAACTTACAATGCAGAATTTTGAAAGCGTAATGTTTGTATAACATTAGAATTGTTCATAGATTTTTCACCAACATACGAATTACGGCTTGTTGTTTGAATAGTTGCAGAACTTGCTTTTCTAGCTGAAAGAGGCTAATAGACAACAACAAAGAAACGGTTTGATCAAATCGATTATCATAACCAATGGTTGATATGACATACAAGTTAGGTACAATGATACAGATTCATTGACAGTATGTTGTCTTCTACAGTTGTCTATGCAAAATACTTCTGGTTCGTTGACCAGATACTATCAGGAACAAACTATTATGGAAGAGAACAAACCAGATTCTAGTGAGGGAAGAAATCATAAAGAAATCCCCGAAGTGGCTAGGGCATACGTTGAGGAAAGCAACCAACTGTGTTACCAGGAAAGTCTTCACTTGGAATCCTCAAGGTAAAAGGAGAAGAGGAAGACTTGTAGTGACCTACTTTTGTCAACAGAACGCGATTGGTTCGATGAAAACAATTATTATTATAACCAATTGTACCAGTGACTGTTTTACTGTGCTCGTTTGTTTAACTGTGCTAATAACAGCCATTTTTGGGCTTCCATTGTATTCCGTTGCTTTTACGCGGTTTTTGGACTACGCACGTATCTTATCTTGCCGATCGCAACTGTACTCCTTTGGCACGATCTCGGTATTCTTTCGATACCACGAGATTGCCAACAAATATATACGACTACTACAATCATCTGCCTTCTGATATTTTGGCCTATCGGAATTTTATTGGTCTATTGGCAAGTAGTCTGGTGGCGGTGTTCATAGTTCAGCTCAACTCGACACCACGCTACAGACTAAAGAACACATTGAGCCGAGAAGTGGAGACAGACATGAGAAGAATGAACAACAATTGGATAGAACAGGAAAGGAAAGCCCAGAACAGAGTGGGTTGTAGAATGCTTGTCGGTGGCTTATTCTCGATTAGTTATAACAGGCGTAAATAAATAACTGATACTGTTACTATTCTTACTGTCATGTAAGCTACTTATACGGAGATATAGGTAGTATGTAGAAAGAATTGAAAATGAATTGCTTAGACAGTAGAAGATTGATATAACGAGAAAAGGAAGAAAAACAGACAGAAATCGGAATAAACAACAGAATTGAAAGTCATTCACTAGTGAGCATATGCTGACTAGTATCAGAAGCGGTTTTTGGGGATATTATAGTAATTTTAATGGTTGAGATCATGAGTCAATTGAAGCTAGACCACCATGGAATATCTGCATGTACTGGACGGCCGTTTCGTCCTATTATGGGACACCTCAGTGGTGCGCATCCATGATCCCGCCTCAAGAGATTCGAACCCAGGACCTATCGGTCTTAGACATTAACACCGTCGGATGCCGTCTCAGTGGTCTAGAAGTTAAGCGTTCGCGCGCGAGAACAGTATTGAAATTACTACTCATATATTAGTTTCGATAATTTCATCTCGTAACATTGATGTAGTTTATGATAACTTAAATCAAGTACACAGATCCCATGTTCTATATTGTTTTAACCTATTGATTAACTGATTGTTTTAGTTGGACAGTTTGTGAATGCTAGTTCAACTTAATTGATAACAATGAAAAAAAAATTGGTGGAGTTCAATCACGTTGTAAATGATGTTACCACTAGCCGATGAGAATAGATGGTTTTGATCTAGGCATGGAAATGAACTGCATTTGAAATATATGTACAAATGAATTTCAATTGAGTAGTCTGACGATAACGTTTTTATCTTTTAACCTGAACATCTTATGTCCAGCCCTATAGTCAGAATATCGGCAAGCCCATGATAAAGAGTTTCAAACTAAACTAAAACAGCTATAAAATACATCCTAGTTTTTCATTGATTCGCTGGCTATATTCATTCCCCAACAATGTATCTTCAAAGATGAATTCTCGGGAATTTCAGGAACTTTCAGCTTTAATTATATGATAACAAGTAACTTGGGAGAACCAAAGGAGTAGAACAGATAACAACCCTTTAACTGTAAAACTTTATGTTTACGTAGACTAAAAGTATGCCTTGATTTATAGTATGATCCATATGGAACACAAAGCAACTTTCAACCAATATCAGAATCAGAATCTTTAATACGAACGTCAAGATAGTTCTTATGTACGGAGATGAAGCTTGGAGAACTAATACAACTATCATCGATAAGGTAAAAATATTTATAAATAGCTGTCTACTCAAGATACTCAACATCTATTGGCCGGATATCATCAGCAACAGCCTTTTGTGGGAGAGAACCAACCAACTTCCAGCAGAAGAGGAAATGGATAGGACATACATCACGCAAATCATCAAACTGTATCACAAGACAAGCGTTAACTTGGAATCATGAACGGAAGAGGAAAAAAGGAAGGCCAGGGAACACATTACGTCGGGAAATGAAATCATAGATGAAAAGAATGAAGAACAACTGGGAAGGATTACCCAGGACATGGTTGGATGGAGAGTGCTGGAGAGCAGCCTATGCTCCTTCATGAGGAGTAACAGGCGTAAGTAAGTAAGCAAGTATTTATCATTGTAAAGCAAACAGAAACTAACTGTTACCTATTCAATTATTGATAAACACTTACTGCGCTGCCAATTCTTTGTTTTTGAACGTTCAATTGATTTTGTACTAATGCTAACTGTAGAAAAAAAAAGGAGAAACTTTAGGTTAAAATTATGAAATGATGGATCGACATAACATTCTTCACTAAATCGTTTATTAAATATTAAGAAAAGATAAATATCGGCAAGCGATAGAAACCATGAAATATATTTCGTCCTGTTTGAGACACATCAGCATACCGAAGTTGATTTTCACCGGGAGATTCGAACCCGGTACCGTTAGGTTCAGACATAAAAGGCAATATAGGGGTAATATGCACAGAATTTATATATGCCAAAAGTGATTGATCAACTGCAGTACTAAACATTGATGGAAGGATTCAAATAATCAAGTTGTATGGATTTATTAAGTATGATAAACTATGGTGGAGAAGACTTGTAGCTCAAGTGCATGATTTTGATGGATAAATTTTAATGCTTTACTTCTACCTGAAGTTTGTGCTAATGATGTCGTTTAGAAGAACGATGACAGCTCCATGACCAAACCATCCAGCTCACAGGACAAAACTCTATCAAAAATGACAAACTATCAGTTACCGTGGGACAAATTGAATACGGTTGGAATAATAGCCTTATTATAGTAAGACATGCATATTCAACCAAGCTATGAAGCTCTAGTGAGGTATGTTGGTGGCGTCAATAAAACTGTACTGCATCATTAAGATATATTAAAACTTCGTTAATGGAAATTGCTTAGCACAATAAGTTAGAAAGCATCAATCAATGTTAACATTACGACCTTAAAGTAGGTCAGTCACTGCCCTAAAAGCTTATAGATAATATATCTCACTGTAACAATGAATAACTTAGGTATGAATCCTAAGTAGAGTATTTACCAATTCGAAATATTCAGATAAGCCATTGTGGATGATCTTCAAACTAATACGAAACTAAGATTCAAGCATTTCTAAACCTGAAGTTATTCGCAAGTTGACTGAATGCAACTTTCTTAACACCCTGGATTGGATAGAATAAGGCCATACTAAAGCGTAATTTTCATCACAACTGTTCGATATTAACCTGTTCAGTGGAGTGTAGAATGATATGGCGGATAGAAAAGAAAGATAAACAAAACATTCAATGAGAATTACACTCTGATATAGACCTTTCACTCTCAAAATGAATAAGGAACTGACCAAAACGTTCGTCTACAATACACTTAGAGAGAAATTCTTTCAACCCCAGTAACAAATCAGTTACTGTTTCAAAGTTAATCTATTTTTATTTGTAAAGGATTGACAAACAACTTATTAAGATTTTTTTATATCCTAGCGAAAATTAAATTACGAGTAACTTCTGAGAACTATTAATGGACCCATATTACCTATATATAACTATTCAGTAACTAGATTATGTATATTTATATTGCTCTTATTATAAGCTTTATTTTGACCTATAATCTATTATTACATGATTTACCGTTCTTAAGTTACACCCAGTCTATCAATTATAGTCTCTCACATTCACAGCCACTTTTTGGCTTGATCCTGTAGGAATGTTATTTCTTATTTTATGGTGTCATGTGATCTATCTAGTTGGTATATAAGCCAAGTATGTTTGAAATAAATGATTCACAGAGTGGAAGCTATTATTAGCATTCTAGACTCATCTAGAAGGTTTAGGAGGACAAAGGAACCAATAAGGACTCTATACTGCTCATACTGATTGAACTTCATTGGTTTTGTACAGTGTTAAGATTACATAACACATGTTTTGATTAGCGGATAAGCTACATGACAAATATTCGGACTTAAAGTCATAACAGATTCATTTTAATTTGTTAAACATACAATTATATAACGTACTTTACGTGTTAATGTAGCATTTTTCCTTTCTAACACTTCAATTTGTTCTTGATAATCTTCTTTCCATACAGTTCCAGGATCAGATTCTTTCTTATCATTAGCTAAACGTAGAATTTTAGTTGCCATTCTGTCAACAACAAAAACAACAACAAAAAGAAGAAGAAGAAACAAATCAAAGAGAAAAATAGATTGGTTTTCATTGAATGTTAACTTTATTTACTTTTTAATACGATCCTCTTGTTTACATGCATGTTTTTTTAATGTTAAATAATCATCATACAATCTTAAGTATTGATCTTCTAATTTTTCTTTGGACCATGAACTAATGGTATTTTTATTTTCCATTCTGATAATTGGTCGTTGGCTTTTAGCTTTAATTGTAAATCATCAATTTATCAGATCTATGAAGAAGTATTAAAGAAACGGAATAGACATATATGAATTTATTATAATGTATATAGTAGTTTATGATAGATAAATATAATAATCAGGAAAAAGTCATCAACAATTTGAAGATAGATCCTTAGTTTGATCCCCGATATGATTGTAAAATATGATTGAAGAACAGTCATATATAGATATAAAACAGCTATCCAATGCTCTATAATGTTTACTAGTTACCTGGCTAAGGTTAGTTGGTGGCGCAAAGTAATAAAATTAAATAAAGTAAATGAAATACAACGCAAAGGAAATGAGTAAATGATATATTAAATGTATGATTTCCATGTTTTAGCAGGCCATTGTGTAATTTCCCATTGAAAAGACAAATTGTTTTTCTTTACTTAGGTTTTCGTTTACTACAACACCACGTTTTGAGTTAGTTGCTCATATCTTTCTTCAAGCTTAATCCTACACCAGCAAACATCACTGGTCTAGGTATATCGTAGTTAAGCGTAGGTAACAAAGGTCTTAATTACATCAATCGATGAAGATTGATGGTTTGATCAGCCTAATTACCATCTTTGCCTGCAATCCTGTATCTAACATCTTCACTGCTGACTCAACAGTTCCACGATGCGCCAGTGATGTTTCAAAGACACCTATGACCAAAAAGTTGTAGCCAACTCATATCTGACAGTTGTATGTCCTTATTTTATAGACGTAGAGTTGTGAAGGTAGAAATGATACGCAGAATACATAATAAGATATTTGTTTGGTTCGATACTGTATATCAGTTAGGCACAAACAGGCTCCATTTATGACTAATGTTAAGATGGGGATTACCACTAAAACGTGTGTTACGTATTTGGGACTAGTTGTCGAAATATAACATTCTTACTGCTTACTAGAGCACGTTTTAAACTGAGTGAACAAGTGTTAACCAAAATATACACAATCTAAGAAGAAAAAGAATGTTTAAGTGGAAAGTAGCTTTGGGAAATTTTGAAAGCCAAACGTAGATGTGCATTTTTATCCACGTGTGATTTAAATAACATCAATTTTCCCAGACCCATACTTATTTTCTCAGCGTTTTCGCACTTGATTTGTGCTTTTTGCGTTATATTATCTATATATATATATATATATATATATATATATATATATATATATATATATATATATATAATATGCCTCTTTGAAATTTTGTAATAATAAAGTCAATGTTTTTAGAATTACTCAATCGTGTTTGCTTTCATTGGTTTCAAGTAATTAGTTGATAAAATTTGGAAGCTACTGATTTGAGTGACATAATATGTTCTTGAAGCGTTATGCTGTACTACTTAACTAGTTTTTAAATACAGAAAGTTGTGAGTACTTTGTTTATATCTATCCTGTTTCTTAATAAATGGTCATATATGTTTAGAGCGGAACAGTGCTGAACGTAACGTATGTGGTGTAGGAATTTTGAGTGAAGGGCAAAACACTGATCATCTTAAGGACAAATATATTCCTGTCTACAAAGAGAAAATTTATTGCTTTGACATGCAACTTCCCATTATTCAAGAGCTTTGTATCAAAAGTGAGTAAATTCGTTAAGACTTAGATGTGGCGAGATACAGTCGCTTAACCAAGTTCAGCAATAATGCTAAAACAGGAGTAGAGTAAAAAGCAGTCTAAAAATTTTCTCTTTGCATGCATCTAGTATTTTAGATATTGTTGAAAAAAACATATAAACAGTACAGATATCTGGTTTGGGAACGGATTTTTTGCGAGAATATTCACAAACGACACAGTAAAGATAATCTTGACGTCCAAATATACTATATCATTCAGTAAAAATCTTTACTTCAGATAGCTGGGTAATGAGATTTCAAAAGATTTTAACAGAAAAATGTCACGAAAGATGATGGATTGAGAGTAAATATTTTCATCCATCAAGACATATTCATTTGAATAACGATAATCAGACAATATAGCCTACATGACTCCAAACCAAAAGTTATACTAGAAACAGATCCACCTGATCAACACATTATAACAAAATCAGGGTAGGCAGGACATAATATTTATTAAAGATTTGTTAATGAAATGGATGCATCGCACCGAAAAAAAGTGTAGATAAGTTCAAGATAACTTTTTCTGCTGGTTCATCGATCAAACCCTGTATTATATTTGAAAGCATATACTGAATGGTTGTCTATCACATTGAAAAGTTTGAGGAAAGAGATAACAACCTGAACGATTGGCAGTGGATGTAGATGGAGTCAAAGGAGCTGATTTTTAGTTACGAGTCTTTAACAGTAATAGATTACTAACACCATATCTTTAGGACACAGGTAATGACAGTAAGTTAGCATGAGGTATTATTTTCAGTCTTTGAAGAGGTAGCTAATATCACCCCTCAAGACTCAGGTTAAGTCGCATCAATCACATACAATAAGAGCGCAAGATCACCACTCCTAAAGATTGGTGAATATGTCAACAACAGATATTGGTTAGTGAAATGTCACTGAGCCCCAGCTAAATCATCCCCGCAGTTGGGTCACTAAATGTCTAGTTGTTCGTCAGTGAACTTTCTAGAACTACTGTGCACTCCTCTATATAGTTTACTTTGTTTAATGAATTTACTATATGCGCCACTAAACGTTAACTTGATCAACCACATACCTTTAGCTAGAGGTTTATCCTACACTTGAGCGATTAAAATTCTCCTACCGTAACGATGGTTCTATAGTGACGGTGGAGAGACACTAAAGAACAATAAGAACGCGACTCTTCACATAAACCTGTGAGTCTCATTTTCGGGCGTTAAGATATGGATTAGAATAACAGGAATCAAGTTTAGAGCAGGAAATTTATCGAAAATCCTTGTGTATCACATTCATTTTCATGTTCAGGACGTTATTTTATCAGTAGGTATGCAGAAATTCTTCAAACGCACTTATATATCACATAAAAGCTTACAGCTGTGACAGGTTACTATAGGGTAGATAATGAGATGAATTGCAATAAAATTATGCAGACAGGACAGTCACATGATGATCAGCCAACAATTTGATATTCAGCTCGTTATTAGCATAAATAAATGCACTGAAACCGACCACAGGACTTAAGGCCACGAACTATTTTGACCCTCTTAAGTGTCAGTTTCTGTGGATTTACGAGTGGCCTCTGTATAACTCAAACAAATAGTGATTTCGAGTATTATGAACTTGCTATTTCGGCGTCTTATTGAAGTAAAATTTCGATTTTTTGGATACACGCAATGTATCGCGCCATGGTGTCGGATAATCTAGTATATCGATTGGGCGTCAATTATCCTTTGTAGTATTCCAATATCAGCATTGCTATCCATTTCCTACAGTGAGTCCAGAATCTCATCGATTTATTTCTCCAAACTCTGTGAACCAGTTATTTGACGTACACGTAATACAGTTTTACTGAATATCTATACTGTATGCTTATGACACAGGAAGATGAGGTCGTTAGATGGAAAATTTTCTTCTATTGAAGATACTCGTGAGTGGACAACTCAGAACGTCAGAAAACTTCTTAAAAAGGAGTTTCGGGATACCATTTTTTTTCTAAATATCGGGATGGATTTAGTGACTGCAAACATTTTCGGACATCAATTTCGGTCAAAATAGAAGCACAACTATTCTTCAAAACTTCGGATATAGGGAGCTTGACATCAGATGACTGACGTACAAAAGGCTTATTTAAGTCATAAACATTCAGCTTACTAACTCCTCTAACGTGCCTGTCACCTGTAAGTTCATTCAAGTTTCCACAAACTTAAATTTCACAAGATAGAAGATTCTCAGTAGACATAGAATTGAGACATCGAATCTCTAAATTTATTAGACTACTTGGCATACGAAATTCAATAGTTTTTTCCTGGTACATTCTTTTATCCCCCGTAGTCATTTCAGTTGTGGAGATTTAAGTCAAAGTGACGTAATATAAAAAATATTGTAAAGTACAACCATTAAGTGCCTTAGAGTAAACAAAGATACTACCCATAAAATGAGGTGGAAACTTCTGTTTGACAAAACCAAATCAACTACCAAGCGCAGCCGGTATCATACAATAAAATAAACGAAGAAAGAACGGTAAATAACCAAAAATAACAAAATATTGAGAAACGTGGAAATACGGTTCCACAAACTCTGAATGAAATACGGTATACAAAGCAAGGACTAAAGTTCAGCAAACAGATACATTATTGAGGAGGATATCTCGAAAGAGTGCCCGTAGCATATATATTAAGTTAAATTAGTTCGGATTGTCTCACTTGTAGTGTCTGATCTTAATATGACAATTAAGAATATTTAGAAACATGCGTGCCCATTGCAAAATCAGCAACTCGGAATCTCAAGCATCTAAGCTTAATTTAAACAAGGATATAACTGACAAATCAAAACCGCTAATGATGATGATGCATGCTCAGTACGTGCATACAAACCAACACTTTAAATTCAAAAGTACAGCATGGGAGATCGTTGTCAAACATGCTTACTCTAATAGATTATGAGATGTCGGAACAAACGAATCCGATATTAAGTATGGTTGACAACATCCTAACAAAAAGCTACCAGTGACATCGCGAACGCATTGAGCAGCAGACCGTATTGATAATGGTCAAAACTTAGCACCAACATTCAGTTCGAATAACTTAAATACTACTTCTGGTTTTAGTTATTACTCGGTATTCGGTTCCACTAACCTATAGCCAACCAAACAATTTCTTACACATAAATCCGCCCATAACACTTATAACATTACCAAAATAGAAACCAGATAGATTGCTTAAAGAACATTTAAGATGATGTCAGTATTTAGAGTTAAAACAGATGGACCATAACAAAGACAGTGCACTCAATGTAACTATCTTGTGTTCTAACATGTAGCTATACTTTATGGATTTCCAGAAAACAGAACTCATTCTTTGTTTGAAGTAAATCTTTTCTTCTTTTTTAAATAATCATAAGCAAATAAAAGTGATCATTTCAGAGAACACTGTTGGTGGAATTGAAGAATTAATAATGAAGATATTTTATGCATTAATTGATGAACTAAAATTGTTAAAAGAAATATGAATATTTGTTTTTTCTTCAAATGCTAGAACTACATAGTTGTAGTAGTAAAGCTTTTATGAAAATCATGAAAACTAACGAGGAAGAGGACATAGATGTAATAATAAGAAGAATATCCGTAAGCCATAAATGCACAAATTATCACAACAACAACAAAAAATGTAAGGAACAAAAAGGAGATTCTGTTAAATATATAATGAAGAAAAAGGTTATGTAAGAGATATAAGTATATGTATATGAGATAATAGTATTCTGAGAATTCTTCACGTCATATAATCCATAGAAATTCACTACAATTAAAAACAAAGAAAATCACGTAAGATTATTCAAAACATTCAATTGAACATCGTATACTATTGATATATATGTAGAACGGGCATTTAATTCTATTCATTGTGTATACAGTTGTGACAATAGTTGTAACGATTTTCCTCTAATAGTTGAATTCATGTGTCGATTAAAGCTAGACTAACATGGAAAACTTGGAAGCATGGGACAGCAGTGAGCATCTATGGTGGTCTAGATTTAATCAACTACTACAATCATCACAAACGTTCATTCTAATTTTCCATTAGTTTGCTTCAAGGTTTAGGACAGGTGGTGAATTCGTGTTGTGAAATGAACGTTGTTAGAAAGAGATACATGTGTTTTTGATGTTTGAAGTGTAGACGCAAATAAATATTTTAAAATGAAGAAAGATCAATCCCAGATTTATCATCTATTGCTTAAGTATACAGGTATAAATCAACGTGGTGATTAAATGTGATTTTCATCTATACATAATGACAGTAATAAAATTAATACCTGTGATAAGAGCCTAGGTTCTGAATTATCAATTAATGGTGTATAGTTTAAGGTTGAACTCGTCTTGCCCTCAAATGCCCTGGTATGAAAGAAGGTGGGGGGAGTCAGCTCACCTTCCTACAAATACTCTCACATGGCCACGCTCATACAGTTACTGTATAGGAAGTCCTACTCACTGCATTCTTGTGGCAAGGGTGTTGTTTACGAAGTTGAGAGGACGAAAAGCGAATGTCCGGAGCTTTAACCAGGTCGCTGGACACGTAAGATTCACCTAAGGGATCTGGAAAACCTTGATTCCAAATCAATGATGCACAAGGGCTCCAGAATCCTGAAGGAACAAATGACGTATGAACCAATTATTGGTCACTGGCTACCATAGGACTGCATCTCCTTACGATGCTTCACTACCTTGTAGATCAGACCTTTAGGTTGAAGGCTCGGAGTGTGGTCCCCTAAGAAAACCACCTAGTTCAGTGTGGGCACCCAGGCAGCCTACACACAAATCAAGTGACTTGTGTGGCGCATATGTATTTGGTGCCCCCTTGTACCAATGCTTATGTGTTTAAATAAATAAATGAACTCGTCTTAAAATCAAGTATATAATTCATTATATAATAGTACAATCTTATAGAAGTTATGACAAAAATTTGTTGTATTAAAGTTGATTGAAAATAAACAAGTTAGTTTTGATGTTGTATCACCTGAGTGTAATCGGTGCAACTACAAACATAATGATGATATTAATGTCTATTTTATGTATAATTATGACTGTTGTCAAACAATGAATCAGGTAATTTATATTATTGTCTAACATTAGGAGTGAACAGGTTTTATTATGGATCTTGGCAGTAAGTATGAGTATATTTGGTATAGCTGCTCAGCTACTTAAAGTTACAAATAAAAACAATAATATGAGTAATTGGACTAGAAATTCAGATGAAACTAACAGTATTTATCATAGAGGTCTACAGTTCATTTATATGAAATGTTACTGCTCATATCTATGAGTAGTTTCACATTATTCATGAGTTACAGAAAGCGAATAAAGAAGCATCAGTGACAAGGTTTCTGTCTAAAAAGTCAGGATTGACGTAACCGCGATGATAGGAATTACGTGAGCCAACTGCGTTAATATTTGAAACTGATGAATCTAGGCATGGGGATTGTGTAGAGGGGTAAAAAGAACTCCCTATAACAAGAACGTTTCAGGAGTGGGCAAGTGGAGACATCTTTAGAGAATCTATGGAGTGCGAAGAGAAACACGTCAATGCTTACATGAATATGCGTAATGGGCTTGTGTCAACATTCAATTTTGCATTAGAGACTAGTGTAACCAGCTACAGTTAGCGAGGCTATCATCATCAAGCAACGAAGGAGTGAGGTTTGTGGAACGGATGAACAAGAGATTGTCAAGGTCAACTGTATGGTTAAGTGACGTAGGTTACACAGGCAAGACAGATAAATGTATGGAGTAAATATTAAGATCAAGATATGATGATGCGGTTGACGACAAGCGTTTTGCATTCGGATCAGCGGTCTCTCAATCGTTGTGTTGAGAAGGTAGGAAAGGTGAGTACGGGTACTACAGTAAGTCTTGCTCGCTACTTCTGCATCAAGAAGTGCGAGAAGCAGCACTGAGTGTTTGAGTATGCACGTGGTTCACTTTTGTCATTTTGTTTTTCTATAGGCTCTGTCATTAGAAAACCATCCCGAGACACAGAATTGGTGAAAAACGATTGTGAACTTTTCGTTTAGTGGGATGTGTAAAGTAAGATAGCGTACTGATGCTAAATTTACGTTTAGTCGCTTCAAAATTTCGATTGTGGTTGTTGTCGTTTGACATGTTGCAAAGTGCAGATGAAATAAAACACTAGGAATCTATCAAACGAGCTTATTATACAGCTACAGCAATTAGATGAAAACATCAGATTTTCACTAAAGATATTATTTCTGTCTAATATTACCTAAATGGAATGAGATTGGAAATCACTATAATTATATTTGAAGAGAACCCGAATGTGACTGAATACAGTCACAATGAGTTGTATAATTACTGTCTATCTATTTCAAACAAAACAATAGATTATCCGATAGTGCTTGTGAATAGCTGCACTTACTCTCGGACATGATTGAATTTGATCAGTCGCCTGTATCTATTATGATCAAAATCAATATAGAAGTTGATGGTCAGTGATAATATGGTGATCCTCTGGGTGGGATATTTAAGAAGATATTCAGATTGAATGTAGTTTTCATCGCATACATCAATCCTTGACATCTTTGACTATCCATAGAGTAACTATGAGATTGAAAATTATCATTCACTTAAATAGCTAGTATAACTTAGTTCGAATTTGAAGAACCGAGGGCAAATCGATACGAGTACATAAATCTGAAGCTATATTTCTCACTATAGGACTATAGGATTTTATGGTGCGGCCACCATATTTCGAAGAGTTGGCATGCACAACTGAGAACTTTGAACTAAGCCGAAACAGTTGTTCAAATGTATTTGATGTTGAAGAACAGTTAGCATCAATCCATGACATAAATGATCAAACAAGCAGATAAGTCAAATTGATTAAATACATATTATTTAAGCCAATATGAGAATAAACCAGAATTACTTCCAGAAAAGTATGTGTATACATTCAAAAAAAAACTAGAGATTATAATAATTGAGGTCGAAATCAACAATAAAAAAAAGTAGAGACAATTAATCCAGAGAATCTAAGATGATCTTTTATTAAACGAAACTATGAAGAATCATTATCATACAAGATGTTCTTACCGTTGGTTTCTCACTTTCAGCCAATGATTTCTTCTGTGAAACAATAAGAACAGACAAAACGGAGTGAGGTATAGACACAATCCGGTATATATATATATATATATATATATATATATATATATATATATATAGCCCCCAAATGCCCTGGTACGGCCGAGAGTGGGGAGAGTCCTCTTTGCCTCTCGAAATGCTCTCATATGGCCACGCGTACATAGCCCCTGCCAGGGAAGTCCTACTCACTGCCTTCACGTGGCGGGGGTGTTGTTTACGAAAATGAGAGGACGAAAAGCGAATGTCCGGCGCTTTAACCGGATCCAAAAACCAATGGTGCACATGGGCTCCAGTATCCTGAAGGAACAAATGGCGTATGAACCAATCGTTGGTCACCGGCTACCATGGGACTGCATCTCCTCACGATGCTCCACTGCCTTGTGGATCAGACGTTCAGGTCAAAGGCTCGGGGTGTGGCCCCCTAAGACTACCACCTGCTTCGGTTTGGGCACCCGGGCAGTATCACAGCCCTCACACAAATCAATTGAGATCTGTGTGGCGCATATGTACTTGGTGCCTCCTTGTACCAATACCTATGTGTTAAAATAAATAATATATATATATATATATATATATATATATATAATACCTTGAAAACGTACCTTCAAATTTGTAGAGCCCCAGGTTTGCTGACCCCCTAAACTTGAAGCCAAATTCGACAAAGTGCTGTCTAATGCATCAAGTGGATTCTTGTTTTGTGATGCGGATATAACAACAGCAGGACGTATTGGAACAGTTGAAGGAACAGGTTTTAAACCTTTTTTTTCAAACAGTAAACAGAGATAAGTTGTCTGCTTAGTAACGATAGTGTATTGAATTATAATAAGAAGAAATATTTGGAAAATGAATAAAATGAACAACAACAACAAAAAAAATCTAACTAAATCAGTAATTTTTCACGAAAGTGGTGCCAATTTAAATCTCATACAACGTACACTACACAACTGTTTTGTCCTAGCACACATCTTCTTACAGAAGTGATATGAGCTTACGACCTTATAAACGAATAAATCTCAATTAGTCAACACTTGTTGCGAATATATTTTTATCGAATCTCTCAACTAGGTTCTAAGTTATGTATGATTAAGTTGGAATGTGTAGATAGTTATCATAGTGTTGAAAGTCAATATTTTCTTATACATTCTTTATGACAATTCACTATTTGAGCTGGAAAGTTAATACACCATTAGAAGTATCCATTTTTTTAAAATTTCAAGTACATCTTACTGACAAATACCAACACAAAACTAGGTCAAGAAGAATCTCTTCTAGAATATCTTGAAGTAGCTTTCATTTAGATATCGTATATGTAATCTCGAATAATTCGAGATTCAGTAATATATTAATTTAGCCCCCAAATATCCTGATACAGAAGAGGGTTGGGTGAGTCAGCTCTCCTTCTTGAAATGCTCTCACATGGCCACGCGTATACAGCTACTGCATGGGAAGTCCTATTCACTGCTATCTCGCACTACGGATGTTGTTTACCAAATTGAGAGAAAAAATATCGAATGTACATCGCTTTAACCGTATTGATAGACACGGAGGATCTAACCTAGCGGAGTTGGAAAAACCCTGATTCCAAACCAATGGTGCGCATGGGCTTCAGAATCCTGAAAGAACAAATGGCTTATGAACCAATTGTTGGTCACCGGTTACCATAGGTCTGCATCTTTTAACGTTGTTCCACTGCCTTGTAGACTAGATTTCTACGTAAAAGGTACAGAGAAAGGGTTCCCTAAGACGGTCAATCGCTTCGCTTTAGGCACCCGGATAGCATCCCAGCCTTCACACGAATGACGAAGTGTGGTATATATATAGTGTCTTCTTATACCAATGTTTACGTTGATCATGACTGGTTGGTAGTTTAGTGGTTAGCAAATAGTAGATCTCAGAAAAGATGAAAATTTGTTAATCAATAGGGTTTGTGTGTATGTGTATGAGTGTATAATGTATCTATTCAATTGATTAGTTAACATATTATACTGTTGCATAATTGTGAACGATCAATGATACGAAAATTTTGAAAGTATATCTTCAATTTTATAGTTGGTAAAGACAATCTGGCGTCAAGAGGTATTTCCTGGAGTTCTAGTGAGAAGCAGTGACCAGTGGAGTTCAACAGGGTCTGTTGTGAGATAGTGATTTACTGAAGACAATGGTGGATGTGTCACTCAATTTTGTGGATTAGTTGAAGTTAGATATTAACACCAGTTCATTGGTCTAGAGATTAAGCGTCCGCGCGCGAAACTGATGGATCTTGAGTTCGAATCTCGCGGGACGGGATTGTGGATGTGCAGTGTTGAGGAGTACCATACTAGGACGAAACAGCCGTCCAATGCTTCTAGGTATTCCATGGTGATCTATCTTCAGTTGACTCATGAATTCAACCATAAAATCTAATAACATCTATGTATCATATTAAGACACTTCATGATGAAAATGTAAACCATCTTAGTAGATCCAATAGTTTCCTTGACGTTATACAAGAAAACATATCCTGTTGATTCTATCCATTTTTTTAATCGAACAAAAGGAAACTGTGAAATACTAGACAACAATCACTCCAGGAACAAATACTAGGCAATAATAAACCACAATTTAACTGAACAAATAATAATGATATTAATCAATACAAACCTGGAGGCAGTGAATTATTAAACGATGTAGGGGGATTATTCACTGGTATCTTTGTAGCAGTAGTAGTAGTACCACCACTGACGGAATCTTTCTCCAGAAGAGGATCTAATGACAATAAGTCGTCAAAAACTTCAAACAGAAAAGAAAATTATACAGAACAGTTATAAAATGAAACCACAATATAAGGATCATTGAAATCTTCAACGTTAAGAAACTTTATAACCAAGTATTATCTATTATATTATTATTTGGAACATATAGATATTGGTATAAGGAGGAACCAAATACATATGCGCCACATAAGTCGTTCGATTTCTATGAGGGCTGGGATACTGCCCGAGTGCCCAAACTGAAGCATGTGGTCTTCTTAGGGGGCCACACCCCGAGCCTTTGACCTAAAGGTCTGATCTACGAAACAGTTGGCGACGTCAGAAGATGCAGTCCCATGGTAGTCAGTGACCAATAATTGTCAGTCAGTCAGCTGCAACGTAGGACCAGGCACGTATATGCATCGGTCCAAGTTGCCATACCGCATTAGCACAACAAGATGAACACCGGATTCATAGGAGTAGTTAATTCAGTGGTGGTAATATATAGAAGAAAGATTGTGTATAAGGAGATAGTAAAGGAAGAAAGAATTAGTTCCTAGACAGATATGAAGCGATTTTAATCTCTTAATTTAAGGAAGACAGAGAGTGTATACACCGACGCCATTGTGATCGATTCTGAGCCATGTCACCAAGAGTCTCCAACCATTGGTTACGATAGTCACGCGGACCCCAACCAGGCAGTCTGAATCTACCAACATGGCTCAAACCAGAAGTTAGTGACTTCAAGCACTGATGCCACGTTTTGGTTTGGCCGCCCCTAACTTTCTTCCCATCATCCCTAACACCGGTTAGCATTGCGCGCCGTGTTAATCGGTGTTCAGGCATACGCAGCACGTGGCTCAACCATCTCATTCGACGAAGATTCATAACCTCATCAACTCATTTACCATCATTCCCTAACACCTTGCGTCGAACCTCACTAATACTTACCCGGTGATCCTAGCAAATGCGAGCAATATTTCTAAGGCATCTGTGGTCAAACACTAGTAACTTACGAATATCTTATACTCTTAAAGGCAATGTTTCGCAGCCGTATAGTAGAACGGAACGAACTGCCGCGCAGTATACTCGTCCCTTAATTGATAGACGGATATCTCGCCTTCGCCATAGATGACGTAAGTTGGCAAAGGCCAAGCGAGCTTTTCGAATCCGTGCTGAGATTTCGTCAGACACCAACCCATTAGGGCTGATCAGACTTCCAAGATAAGTGAAGTTGTCAACGCGTTCGACTACTTCACCCCCTATCCTTAGTTCAGGTGTTGATGCAGACCAGTCCTGAAGCAACAACTTGCATTTAGAGGGAGAAAATCGCATCCCAAACATTCTGGCATTGTTGCTCAGTGCTACCAAAAGACTCTGCATTTCATCAGCGTCTTCACCAAACAGGACTATGTCATCTGCGTATTCTAAGTCAATAAGTGGACCTCCTGGTAGGAGATCAATACCCGAGAAGTCAGTCGATGAGAGCGTTATTTCCATCAGGATGTCTATGGTTTATACGTCATTTGTTCCTTCAGGATTCTGGAGCCTATGTGCACAATTGCTTTGGAATGAGGGTTTTCTAGATCCCTTAGGTGTATTCTCCATGTCCACCAACCTGGTTAAAGCTCCAGACATTCGCTTTTCCTCCCGTCAATTTGGTAAACAACACCCGTAGTGCGAGAAGGCAGCGAGTAGGACTTCCCTGACAGAGGCTATATATGCGTGGCCATACGAGAGCATTTCGAGAGGGTGAGCTGACTCTCCCCACCTTCTTTCGTACCAGGGCATTTTGGTTGCAATAACCAAGTATACATATTTTCTTTTACTTTCTTTTTTTTGTAGGACAGCTTGTAATTAAGAGAATGTAGTTGTTAAGTACACATATGTGATATTTGTTATTCAGCTATACTGTCAGTACAAGGTTTTGTGATATTATTCCGTTATGTATAATGAAATAGTCAGTAGTCAGCCATAAGTTATATGGAACTTAACATACATGTATACATCGATTCACATTGTTACACTCCATATCAATACAGTAAGACAAAACTGTTAATACATACATATCTTACATAAGGTATACACACATATGATTCGAGAATGAATGGATTTCTGAGATAAAAATATATAAGATCATTTGAAAAATTATAATTGAATAGATCTAAGTCATTACAATTAATCCTAGAACACGCTAACCAACGTCTCCTCCAAACATTAGTTATGGAGGTTATGATGTTAGTCAGTCAGTCAGTCAGTCATACACAACTTAGTATTATCCATTTAAGTTGTCATACCACACAATGAGATGAACTTATTTCAAGACAGATGCTAGACTAAATAGTAACAATATCAAGAATATCAAGAAAGACAAAGTAAAGAAGAAAAAAATGGTTTGAAAATATTTTAGGACTCCAGTTCTAAAAGAATATAAAGAGTGAATGTGTTTGTCATGGATATCTTGGACGATTTTGAATCATGTCATCTAAAATCTCTAACAATTGGTTACGATAATCATGTGAATCCCGACGATCGAGATGGGTGGCTAGGTTAATGCATAGATGACATACATATACCAAACACTTCAGTATATGAAGATTTATTACTTCATTAATGAACTTTTTATTTTTATTTAATACTCTATATCCTAGTCCCAGAACTGCTCACTAAAGAAAATTATAATGAAACAAAAATATTATGATTTTCATAAAAGTTCTTCTATATGTATATTTCTGTGTGGATGCTGTGTGAGTGTTGTTTACAAAGTTGAGAGGATGAAAAGTAAATGTTCAACGCTTGAACCAGGTTGGTGGATAAGGAGGATATACTTTGGGGGGTTGGAAACCCCCACACACACACACTTCAAAACAATGGTTCACGTAGACTACGGGATTCTGAGGGAACGTACAGCGTATGAAATTATAGTTGATTATCGGCTAACATATTTTGATGGAGTTTTGTACTCTGAGTTGGATGGTCATGAAGATTTCATCGTTCTTCTGAACGGCATCATCAGCACAAACTTCAGGTAGAAATGAAGTGTTCGAATTTCTTCACATGTGGTTCATAGCTTATCTTGTACAGCTCGTTGTTGATTGGTTCTTGTTGACCTTAAATCTGTCATTGTTGTTGATATGTGTGGGTCGGCTTTCAATATACTTGAGTCTACAGTTTTCCTGTATCGGTTCTGCGGATTAATATAAGCACATAGGAAGCCGATCCACACACATCAAATTCTCAATTATAGTAGCAACAACCCAACAGCTCACAAAATCAACTGCGTACAAACCCTGCTCAAGAGGGCAAGGACACACTGCAGCACACTGGCAGCACGAAAAAATGAAGAGAAATACCTGAAGACTGTCTTTCAAAAGAACGACTACACCATCAACTTCATCAAAAAATACCATTCGAACACATCAACAGAAACAAAGTCAAGCACAGAAATCAACAAACGGATCACCCTACCATTCATAAAAGGTATATCAGAAATTACGAGACTGTTGAAACCTTTCCGAATAGTTGTTGCGTACGAACCAATAAAATCACTACAATCAATCCTATGCAAACCAAAGGATGAAATAACAAAAGAAGACAAACCAAACATCATCTATAAAATAAATTGTGCCAACTGCGAAAAACATTACATCGGAAAAAGCGGACGCCCTCTTCATCTTCGCCTGCATGAACATCAATTAGAGGTCAAACGCCATGACATTTCCTCACATATATCAATGCACGTGGACAACTGCGGACACAAATTCGACTGGAAAAATGTGGAAATCTTGGATAGAGGAAATTTCAAAAGCACAAGAGAATTTTTGGAAGCTTGGCATTCAGATCAATCAACAAGCACATTAAAATCGATCCAATTTATCAACCAATCAGGAAAATTATGCACGAACATAGGACCAAAATCAAACTAATGGGAGATACAACCAAAACAAAGAAGTAAACAATGACAAATTTAAAGTCAACAAGAACCAATCAACATCGAGGTGTACAGAACAAGCTGTGAAACGCATATGGAGAAATTCGAACACTTCATTTCTACCTGAAGTTTGTGCTGATGATATCGTTCAGAAGAACGATGAAAGATCCACGACCAAACCATCCAGCTCAGAGAACAGAACTCCATCAAAATCATCCACCTGAGCTACATATCGTCTCCACCAATGGTTACCATAGGAATGCAACTCCTAACGTTGCTCCACTACCTTGTGAATTAGACCTGTAGGTCAAAGACTCGGAGAGTGACCACCTACGGAAACCTCCTGCATCGGTAAGGACGTCCGGGCAGTATCACAGACCTCACACCAATCACTGATAACAACTACTGGGCTTATTTTTGGTGTGTGGCGCATATGTATTTGATCTCCCCACATTCATGTGTCCAAATAAATAAATGTGGGTAATATATTCATCATGTATAGGGATTTATGTGCTAGGGGCTTTGAGCAATAACCTTTGGTGCTTATTTGTACATGAAGGTGAGTGGTAGTAAGCACACACACATACACACAGGGGTTTGAAAGTGGAAGCTAACCAATTGAAATTAAGCCAGCTTATACGTAGAGTGAAACAATGGTTGATTGTAAATACACCTATTCACACCTTATTTTTAGTTAGAGCAGTTGGATAGTAGTATCATCAGTAATATTAGTCATCAAATATTATGACTCAAAGTCAAGTGCATAAATCTGTTACCTAGGAAATACATTCCATACACATATTGGGTAAACACCATCAAACGACCTGATATATTCAAGGGTAAGGAGAGTTCATTCTCTCTTCCGAAGTGCTCTCGTAAGGTCGCTACTCATATATAGCCACTTACTACTTTCAAATGATAGGCGTGACTGTACGAAAATAAATGGAGATGAAAATCCTAAACCGAGTTAATGGGTACTTAGGGTTCAACCTAGAGAAATCGGGAAACACTGATCCCAAACCAATGATGTACATGGGCAAAAGGATCCTTAGGGAAAGAACGAATGACGTAAATACTCATTCCGGCAACCGGCTAACACGGAATTGAATCATGTAACGTTGTTGTACTGCTTTGTATATTAGAGTTTTAGGTCAAAGGTCCGGGGAGTAGTCAACTAAGCAAACTACCCTTCATACCTGAAGCAGGACCTGTTGTATTAGTAGTAGTAGTATTGATACCTGAAGGCTTTGATTCACCCTCCCTTCCAACAGATTCAGTTTGAGCTGTGAATGGAATAGGTTCAATATTGGTTTGTGGAATAGAATCATCAGTAGACAATAGGTCAAGACCAAGTAAATCATCAATTGCTGAATGTTGATTGCTACCATGCATTGGTTCAACATGAACTATGGAGAAGAGAAATGGAGCATAAAAAAAGACAAATTATATAATTAATAAGTCAATTCTTAAAAGTAGTATATTCAATAAAGCATAAAATTATTAATATACTATGATCGACAACCAGATAAATTTGATTCATTGGTAAAATCATAAGTTTCCAAGAAAAAACAATACAAAGAATAAATACATTTCTAGCCTATTCCAACTGACTTTTGAATTGGATCACCTTCAATCATTCATTATAACTATCTCTAGGATAGCATCAACAAGAAAATTTGTAATTACTTTCCTATCTACCTACGTAAGAACATGCTAGTTAATAAAACTATCAATGATTTTTTGGATTAATATCATGTATTGGGTTTGAAAACACTTGACTTTCTCTAAACCTACTCTTCCTCCAACCTAAGAGAAGAGATAAAGAGTGAGTGAATCTGCGCCATATCATGTTATCAACTATTGATCAAACTTATCGTGCTGAGCCCAACCAGGTAGTCTGAATATATCAACATGGTTCAGATTAACAGTTACTAACGTCATATTACCGATGGCATTTCAAAGTTTGGGTGCCCCTAGATTTTTTCAAACAAACTACTACGCCGCTCATGAATAAATACTGAGGTAGTTAGTGAGGAGAGCTTATATGAAAACGTCTTAACCATCTCAGTCGATAAGGATACACTAACCTATCAACCAATTTGGCATCTTTGCATAGTATTAGCATCTAACTTGTTACTCTTTAGACATTAATCTTTTCAACAGTGAACATCATTTCAACTATTCAGTGAACATAAATAAGGATATGATATTGGAAGAGACAGTAAAAGAGATAAAAAGTGCAGCGGCAACAAATAACTGTAGACAATTATTAAAACTAATCAAGTAAACATGTGTTAAACATGTAATTTTCAGGGAGATTAGGTCAGTAGATGTAACTGTTTTTCACTCTCAGTTCAGGATATTAACCATATGAGAACATTTTAAGTAGCAATTCAAGAAGCTTCCAACTGCCCTTTAGTTACTCACTACGTCAGTAACAATATAACCCAATTACCCCTTATTACCACGGAAAATGTATGGTGTAGGAGTAGGTTGGGAGAAAGCTAAGAGCGGCCAAACTATAAACTGGCATTAGTCTATGAAGCCATTAACAATTGGGCTGACCAATGTTAAGATGTTTAGACTATCTGGTTAAGGTATGTGTGACTGTCACAACCAATAGTTAGACATTTTGAATGACAAGATGCAGAATCGTCTATGATAGCGCAAATGAAAGTGCTTCTTACGTTCCCTTAGTCCCTAAACTCTGAAATCTCTCTACACCCTTTTTTCTTCTCCCATACTTAATCTTCTCTACTACTACTACTTTAGTGAACGAGAATTCAGATGAGGGAAACGAATCTATTATTTGATACAAAATTAGTGTTTTCATAAAATATGAAAACCATATATCAAATACATAATTTGCATATCATCCATCAGTTGTTCTTTACGTGCTTCAAAATTCTTTTAATTCTGTTGTTATTACGATTACTTTCTGTTTTCTTCAATTGAATCTTACCAATATTCTACTGGCATGCATGCCACTTCTGATTGATGCTACATACTACTTATATCTATCAACATAAGAAGCATACGCCACACTATTACTAACATCGTTACTACTTCTATTGCTTAAGGATTGGTCTTGAAATAACTCCGTTTCGCTGTGTTAATATGGTACGGCAACTTGAATCAACGTACATATGTCGGGTTCTACTCTATCATGTCACTGACCCTACATATATATGTGTATGTATTTATTGAACAAATAACTATCAACAATTTAAACTAACCTTCTGATGACTTATTTGACCATACATTAGTATCAGTATCAGTTACCGGTTCAACTGGTTCTTCATCACCGGCAAAAGGACTAGCACATATAGATGAAGCATCAGTCTGTGCATTCACTTCTAGATTAAGACCTTGAAGCAGTAGACAAAACAAACAAGGAGTAGTTTATGAATGTAGAAGACACAACAGAACAAAATAAGATATCTTGATATAATCTTGATTAGCAAACAAACAATTTCAATCTATCATACATGTATACATCGTGTTGTTGATAGATCAGCGACCAACTTTGCTAATTGAACGGGTTAGCAATGAGAAATACACATTAACAGAACCAAAGCCTAGTACAATTCGAGAGTATGACTTCTCACTCAATCATATATGTATTACTCCAACGGTAGTTCTTCTGGGATAACCGTAGGTATACCAAGCTGAACAAACTGTTTTCATTTTCGATTCTAAGAATATCTTAATCTGAGACTTGTGTAATTTTTGATCGTTGCTGATTGCTTTCGTTATTAAATGTAAATGCATTGTGTGCGCTTGCTGAGTTGTCAACTTGCCTTTTCTTGTGTTCTTATTTTTCCAAACCCTCTTCCTTGTTCACAATACTCTACATTCTTCCCTAGTATACAAAGTACCTTCTGGCTAGACGCGAAGTGTGACATTGGTCCCAATGTGAAATAAAAGAGGATTGACCGTGACGTCATATCAGTATATAAATGAATTTATTATACAAAAAAATTAGGGTTAAGACTTAGAGTTACAATCGAAGAATAATTTGGAATTAATCGTAATGTAGTAGACGCGACACACAAAGATGTTTGTAAGTAGTGTACAGCTGAATATGACGTCGAGGTTGCAACAATTATGAAGGCTTTCAGTGCATTAAAAGCACGGCATCGATAGAACATTTGGAGACCAGATGAGAAGACAGTATAGATGACAGAAAACACCCAAAGATGGACGATTATAGACTATGAATATGTGTGATGTAAATACCTTGAAGCTTTTCACAATAACCATACATTTCTACTGCTTTTTGTCGTATTTTACATTGGTTATGGAGAAAGTTCTCTGATTTCAAGTCATTACAACGATTGAACAAGAATTAAAACAAATTATTCAAATTAATTTACCTAATGACGATGAGTTATGTTTTGTCTTACTGATACCACCATCAGTATTGTCATCATCAATTGCTTCACTATCGCTTGCACTGATTGATGGTTGTTTCAGTGTAGTTTTCTCATATTGACGACTAGGTGAAGGGGGTGGACGAGCTGGTGATGGTGATCGTGAACGTGTTGGTGGTACTGATACAGTTCGATGTTCCGATCTGTGTAATAATTTTTTTTAAATACAGTTTTAACATGATTTGAAAAAGTAAAAAGTTTACGTAAGCATTAAGGAACGGACTTGAGTTAAAAACCACTACAATATCTCCGTCTAGTTATGTCGATTGCACTAGGCTGTAGGTGAATTATTTGGAAGATATCTTTGTCCAAGAATTCGAGTTGATATACGGATCTACATGCTACGAATTATTATGCATCGTGATAGATGAAAATCCGATCCTCAGCTAGGCGTGACTACAAAATATCCTGCAGCTCCAAAAATGCCCTTAAGATGTCATCCACACACAAGCTGAGCAATCGTCCGTTCAAAGTTTCGTATCGATAAACCCGTACATCGATTCCCTGAACGTGTAGAATAAAATAGTCAATGCTTTGGATTATGATACATAATTTTAAGCCAGAGCACAAACAGTCTAGCACAAAGCCAGCTGTGTGTCAGACAGAAAATTCGTGAATGGAAAGTCAGACTACATTACACCAATAGGCGGAGTTCATATAAATAGTATACGAGTCAGAATGAGCAAGCACATAACAATCGCTTTGTGTGATTTCCGTTGCCAGACCAAGCAACCTGAAAGTAACGAGAACACCAGTGACAGGCTAGATAGTTGAAGTAGTGGCTTAGCATTCAACTCTTAACCAATGGGGTTGCAACGTCTCATCCCGTTCAACCTAATTCGGTTTGAGTGACCTTTGGTCACAGCTCAAGAAATAGTTGTTTGGACTCAAACGGGTTTTTTAGTGAATATCAGTGGTAGTTGATGTCAGTACTTTGCATACTTTATCATCAGCACCATAGAGCGGTAAGGTGCACTGTTTTCTTAAGCCAAACTTTACCAATCCATCATCCGATTGTAGTAGAACAGTGAGACTGAAGATGCTAGTAATACTCATGATGAAACACCTAACTGCCAACACCAATCTCCTCCAGTACGGTTATTAGTACAAATCTACTCTTCATTTCTCCAACCTGTCTAACAACATAATATATCAAAGAAAAATTATCCCTATAACTCGTTACTACGATCGTCAAACCAGATAACGATCGCCATATTAAGATGCTAGTAGCAGTTATGATAATGTCCAGATATGAACTCAAGCTGACTGAAATTACAACACTTTATTTATTTCATTTAAATGAATAAAATTGGTACAGAGGCATCAAATATATATATACGCCACACTTCGTCATTCAATTGATGTGTAGTCTGGGATACCGCCCGGGTGCCCTAGCCGAAATAGGTGGTTCTTCTTAGGGGACCAAACCTGGAGCGTTTGACCAAAAGGCCTAATCCACAAGATTGTGAAGCAACGTTATGAGTTATAGTCCCATTGTAGCCGGTAACCAACAATAGGTTCATACGTCATTTGTTTCCTTGGGATCCTGGAGTCCACATTCACTAATGGTTTGGAATGAGGGTTTTCCAACTCCCCTAGGTTGGCTCTCCGTGTCCACCAACCCGGTTAAAGCGACGGACATTCGCTTTTCGTCTTCACGATTTCGTAAACAACACTCCACTGCGAAAAAGCAGTGAGTAGGATTTCCCATGCAATGGCTGTACACGCCTGGTCATGTAAGAGCATTTGGAGAGGGAGAGCGGACTCTCCCCACCCTCGGTCGTATCAGGACATTTAGGGAGGAAACACTACACGACACTTGGAATTATTTTACAATAATAATACATAAAGATTATATTTAATATGATAGCATTCACCTGCCCAATTGTGTATGTACTGGAACTTTAACTGCACCTTGTTGAGTTGAACGTTTCACAGCTTCGGAACTCTTGACAAGTGTTTCATTTAAGTGACCTTTAGCAGTTGCAATTATCTCCTCTTGTAAAGCAGAAGGTAATCCATCTGAAATATAAAATTATTGCAAAGATTATAGAATCTTTTTTTTCGGATCAAAAACTGATCTTAGTTAAACCATTTTTGGAAACTTAAAAGAACTGGACATCTCATTTTGTTCCAGTATAGTACAAGCTACTAAGTTGTATGTAAGCCAATTTCACACACACACATACACTACTGCTAGTCAGCAGTATGCAACACAGAACCTGTAACGCGTATACACCGATCCAGGTTGCCATATCTCATTAGTACAGCGAGATTAAATTGTCGAGGCGAATCCCAGAATAACAGAGGTAGTAACAGTATTAGTAATAATAAACATTCAAGAAACAATTCGAGAGGAAAACATGGACTAGTGGAATAAAAAGGATCTATAAAGCAATTTAGAGACTTAAGTTTTAGAAGACAAATAGTGAGTGCAATTGCGCCGCTGAGAATGGTTTTGAACTACGTCACCCTAGATCTCTAACTATTGGCTACGCTGATCACGCTAACACTAAATAAGTAGACTGCATCTACTTATATGGCGAGAAGGTAGTGAGTAGGACTTCCCATGCAGTGGATGTATACGCGTGGCCGTGTGAGAGCATTTAGAGAGGGAGAGAAGACTTTTCCCACCCTCGGCCAGGGGGGGAACCACTGGTTACACTGGACAGCAGTTTCATTCTATTATTAGACACTTCAGCAGGAGTTTACACGCAAATCCGTCAGTTTCTCTTTCTCTAAATGTGAAAAGTTGTTTCACGACTGGCCTGAGTCAGCGCCTCAACTAATGATGGAGAGTGAAGTAGTTGAACATGTTGACCACTTCACCAATGGTGAGTTGGTGTCTGACGAAGTCTCGGCACAAATCCAGAAAGCTCAATGGTTTCATGCTAACTTTCATCACTCGTAATGTGAGCGAGATATCCCTAAAGGATGAGTAAACTGCTTGACAGATCACTTTATAGCTGTGAAACGTAGCCTTCAAAAATAGATGTTCGTAGGTTACTAGTATTAGTTCACAGGTGTCTTCGAAGCAATGTTTGTCTATTTTGGGACCATCAAGTTAGCAACTCTGGAATTAGATGCAGAGAACAGGGTCAGCATTACAAATCAGTTGACGAAGTAGTGAATTTTTATTGACTGAGGCGGTCAGGACATGTCTTACCTATGCCCACCAACCGACTAACTTGGCGCACAATGATGGCTGGTTTAGGTATAAGTTGGAAGAATATTAGGGGCGGTCATGACAGGACATAGGATCAGCTGATGAAGACATTGATTGTTGGACTAAACCATTTAGGTAGATGCAGACTACTTAGTTGTTATCCTCATGATTATTGTAACCCATAGATATAGCCCTGACAATCTTATCTCGCTGTGCTAGTGGAGTATGGCTACTTGAACTGATGTACACATGTTGCAGATTTAACGGTGCACTAGACGGACTCACTGAACACACAACTGTAGTAAAAGAGGATTACATCGTTTTATCAAAAATTGGATAGATGAAATCAGACACAATGATTTAAAATATACAGTGCCGGATGCGAAGCCTGGATTTTCCCAGTTAACGACTATGAGAGACTGTAGTATGTGAGCAATGTTGAATGAGGATTTTCAAGGATTATAACGAGAATAATCTCCATGACTACACTTTAGTTTCCAAGTACCACAGTAAGACATTGATTCCTGATAAAAATTACCTTCTAAAAACCACAATCATTTCATTGACATTGTGTTCAAGAGTACCCCATAAAATTTTTATTTATGAAATAACTTTTCCTAACTGACCTTCATCATTTAAGACAACAGTTGGATATGATGCCACAGTCGGTTCAGTTGTATCATCATTCAATTGTTCAGATTGATCCAGAATATTAGAATCATGTGTTTTGTTTATTGATTCAACATCGTCATTGTAATCTCTGTTTCGGTTAGGTGGATTATGGCTAGAAACTTTGTTAGCTTCAGTGGAGATTACGGTTTGACTTGGAATAGGTACAGGGAGTGTTGGCTTCTTTGGTACATTTGGTTTGGTTGAAGTATGAGTTTCTTCATCTTCGTCATCTGATCTAGAAAACAAAACATATTCGCCATCAAGGATAAATTTTCGAGAATTTCCAAAAGTTATACATGAATTCATATGGGATAGTTTAACGTAAAATTCATAGGTTACTGGCATCTGATCATAGATGTCTTCGAATCGCTGCCTAAGTATGTTCAGACTACTATGAGAGCAACGACAAATTTTGGTGTAGTGCACCTTCCAAGTGTAAGTTAATTTTACAAGATTAGCAAAACCCTGAACCTGCGCTCACTCCTGGTATGGGGGAAATCGAAAAGTTCGTGTATTTAGGTAGCTGTGTGTAAGTGCTGACAACTGAAGTAGTTAGGACGTGTAGTAAGTATGGCCAACCACTGTCTGCCTCGACAAGTGATGTTGGCTCGTATAGGAGCAGGATAAAAGAAACCGAGAGGCAACAAAAAAGGACATTGTATCAGTCCATAAAGTTATTGAATGATAGACCTGTGTTGACCTTGGTTGAAATTCACACGATATCGTAATCTGTGTTTTCCAAGCTTTGAACCACAAAACTTCACAATTATATGGTAAGTTTCTACTTGTACACTATCTACTTGCTCATACTGAATTAGGGTTTGAAACTCATGACTTACAGAAATTTCAATGAATAAAAAGCATGAGACATGACTTAAAAACAACGAGATCATTCTTTGAAAAGAGGAAAAATAACATACCCTTTTTTACTTTCCAAAATTTGTAAGTGTTGCTCCATGGCTTGAATAACTTTCTCTGGGACCTGAATGAGGGGAATCAATAAAATCAAGTATTGTAGAGATAGGAAATGACTAAGCAAATAAACATTAAGTAGATATTGTCTAGTTAGCAGTTTGTATCAAGTATTGACTTTAGAAAGAGAGCTAGAAAAAAAATCCAATTGTTTCGAACTACGACAGAACTCTCCTTCAGAAGTGCGCACCCACGATTTTCATACATATTACATTAAAATAACCAGTAGAAGATATTCGAAGGTTACAGGCATTCGATCATGTCTATTTTCGAAGCATTGCTCGTATATCCTGGGATCAACGAGTAAGCAATGCAGTTTTTAGGAAACGGGCATTAGGTAGGCATCGCGAATCAGTTGATGAAGTAGTGAAACTTCATCAGTTGAGATGGCTGGAACACGTGTCACGTATGTCCAACCACCGACTGCCCCGACGTGCGATGTTTTATGGTGTAGGAATAGGTTTGAAGAAAGCTAGGAGCGGCCAGAACAAAACATGACACAAATCCATGAAGTCACTGACAAGTGGACTGAACCATGTTGGTAGGTGTAGACTACCTAGTTGGGATCAGCGAGATGATAGCAATCGATGGTTAGAGACCTTCAGTGTGACATGGCTCAAAATCATTTGCAATGGTGTGCACAGGTGTATCCACTCTTTGTATTCTCACAAATTCTAATCTTCTGAATTCTTCATGTCCCTTTCTCTTTTTTTCTCTTTCCAAATTTATTTCACTGGATTATACTCTTTGAATAACATCTTCAAACCCTAATCTCTCTGATTACTGTTTATACTTTTACTACCTCTACTACTATGGGATTTAAATCGATAATCGTAACTCTGTGCTAATGTTGTATATCAACTTGAACTGATGTAAGCACGTACGAAGTTCTACGTTGTTACTGACTGACTGATTTAGGCATTCACTGGAATTCCTAATCCTGTTAAAATCATGCGATAAAAATAATCGATTTTCCGGAGAGGACAGTAATTTGAAGTTTCTATGCTCCATATCGCATAGCCGGTATAAATAATCAAAAATGTAACTTCGATAATACATACTTGTAGAGCATAAGTTGGTATCAAACTTTCATGGATTTCATTTATAATTTATTTCTGATATTAAAGTGTTTAAATTACTGAGCTACGTACTTAACAGAACGTCAAGATATGTTTGGGTTATTAATATGATTTAACCAGGGTAGGTATCATTCTAGTGTTAACTCTCCAGTTGAGTCTTGTCCCAGTCAAACGATGAAATGTATAAATTATTCACGATTAGTCACTAAGATTGTGAGAGATACCACAGTGTCAGATTCCACTTTACGTGAGTAATTTTAGTTACCAAAAAAAGTGATTACACACGTATATGGTTAGACAACTCCGCCTGTAGCTCTTCTAGAGTTATTGCCGGTCCCAAAGCCGGATAAAGGAGGAGGGTTGGGTATGAGGTTAGCGACCCCATCCTCTAGAAAAATAACTTGCCAAAAAACGCTAACCAGTAAGTATGTTTAAACATCATTATCAAGTTGAGACTTACCGGTTGTAGACCTAGACTATCCTTATCGCCAATTCCTAAACTCTATAAACACAAAAAAATTAACACGAAGATATTCAAAAATTATGTATTGAAAAAAGGGTTACAGAACTTTTCGGGAAACGACATGATATAAATAGATGTACAGTACCGAGCGCTTTAGTAATACAGTACAATTACTAAGATAGCGGTGAATATATATGCAACCGTATAAGTTCAACCACCTTCCATTAGTGTGACCTAACAAATTGCCCAAAAGAACTTGATTAGTTCTCAACTAGGGGATTAGATTTAATCAATAGTGATTTTTTTTCGAATTTTAATAATCCAGCTAGGTGGATTTGTGAACTACTCCTGTTGTGTTCTTGAATGAACACATAGCCAGTTGGATTGAGTACCAGTGCATTATAGCGAAGAAACGCCAGTGATAGATGGATATAAACAATTCAGGGGATTCTATTACAACCTTACAAGATCACAACTATTAATCTGTATGATGTACCATCAACCAGGTTACTCATACATGTTATCAAGGTGATCCGTTATATCTTAGACGTTAAACATACTATTATATATGGATTTCCGTTAATACATGCAAAACTGAGTCCAATATGACTTGAACTCTACAAAAAAGACAACATAAGATCAAACTACGAATGTTCATAAAATGGTTATCAATAAAAAACAGAACTCGTTATTACGTTTAAGAAAAAAGGTGTAGTTGAAAAGCCTTTTTAATGCAATCTAAAACTGAATAGTGGGTAAGTACTAACAATAAGAAATGACACATACCTCAGCAAGTGTAAGGAATTCAGTAAGCTTCGATAATAAACCTGGAAAAGCATGATATAGGTCCAAGCCAAGACGACATTGTCTTCGTTTCAAAGTAAAGTATTTTTCTATACATAAACACACCAATAATTATAAGTATAGGGTTATGGAGATTGTTGAATTTCATTGAAATTGTGAACTGAACAATGTTAAATCATCATTGAAAATCTAGAAACATTGGATGGCTATTACGTCCAGGTATGGAACTCCTCAGCAATGAGCATCCAGAAATCCACACGCAGAAATCGAACCCAGGATCCTCAATCTCTCTCTATACCACTGACCCAGCATTCAACAATGTTAATACCTAACTCCGATCAATACACGATACTGCATGAGAGTGGTCCTAGGTTAGATTCCTGTGTGCAGAGTCTTGGATGCATATTGATGAAGAGCCCTATAATAGGACAAAATGGCTGTTTAATGCTACAAGGTTTTTGATGGTAGTCTATCATTGATTTATTCATGATTTTAATAAGCAAAAATGAGCATAAAATTTGGGTTGATCAGGGTTTTTTGAAGGCCGCCTTCAATCTCCTGAAGCCAGCAATACTCCACCTGAGGTCGTCCAAACAGAAATATATAGTTCGGACAAACTAGTTAACTGTTAAATAACCTCAACCACTACTTAGGTATCACTTGCATATGAATAGATTGTGACATAAAACTATCAGTAAGACTACGTACAAAATGTAGTTATGATTTAAATTTACAATTACAGGGCACACGAACACATATGTACTAAGCCGGTGATGTATAAGAGATTATATTGTTTTAAGATAGTCTACAGAATGCGGTAAATAAATACAACACGAATATCGAGTTGCATATTGTTGGAAATGTTCAATTTCCAAATACAACTACTTATGGTGAAGGAAGTTAATATCGATTTGACATAAATGTTAAGTCCACTTTTAAAACATATGCGTTTATAAATTTTAATCGTTGTAACCGAAACTGGACTTTTCACTCGAGTTAGTAGAGTAGAGAAGTAATCACGTTCATTAGATTGAAGTTCTTAAATACAGGCTTAATGAAAGAACATATCACAAACACACTTTAAAACACAGTTAGGAAACAAGATAATTTTTAAGCTTTACATACTTGTTATATGAGTAGATCAATCCATCATTGTTACAATAAGGATGGATGATTTGATTGTACAGTACTTGTGAAATACAGCTTTGAATTTGTTTCAACTTATTCGCTAGCTTGTTAGAGGGATATCATGTTTTCGATGAGATTTTGCATTTTGACTAATTTAGCTGATGATATTACCATAAATCACCTACAGAATGTTAAACTATTGATAAAGAGCATCTTATTTAGTTGCAGTTAAATCAATGACATTCGGAGAAGACATGAAGTTCATAGATGAGGTTGCTTTACAAGCATAAGTTTCGAGGGTTACAATTAGGATGTTAGCATTTCAACAATCTACATCCTTTATAAATTCATCGTTCATTAGAAACATTTCATTTACAGACGTGTCATAGCAATTAGGTGACATTTAATCGGTTGATTTTCAGATCAACCTTAGGGTTACCCAAGGTCGCCATTATGGTTAAGTTCTATAGGATTTATATTCAAGGAGAGCGGAGACATGAATCATAAAATAGAAACGAAAGAATGAACACCATCATAATATTACAAACACATACATCAATTTCAGAAACATCGATACGATCATTCACAAAATCACGTTAGCGTTGTTATAGAATCTCATTTTCATAACAACTCCAAGAACTGACATTTTCAAATTTGACACTAATTAGCATATGGTTATTATTGGAGTGAGGAGTTTGTCCAGATTATTGAATTTCGAAGTTTAGATCAAGGACTAACTTGAGCTAGAAAACCACTATAAATTGGGGGACCGTAATCACCTGTCGTTTCCTAGTATAAGACACAATCATTCCGGACTTATGACTGACAATACTGTTCTACATGTGGGGTCGTGAGTGAGCATTGCTGAAGAGTCTTTTACAATGATGAAACAGTCATGTTAATGTTCTCTGATTTAAAACAGTCTTCTAGCTAAAATCAACTTGTGATGCAAACTATATGAGAAAGAAAGAAAGAAAGAAAGAAAGTCAACAACTATACCAAGCTAATATTGAAAAACTTACCTATCAAATTAATCATACCCTCATTATATGAAGCGAATAAACGAATCAGATCTTTATACAACAATAGGAAAGCAGCATTAATAATTGCATTGTTCAAATCTTTTTCCAGAGCCTATATAATAAATGTAAAATAACTAACATTCAGTAATTAGCTAAAACTCATACAGAACTATGGGTTTTATTTTTTCCAAAAAATACATGTAACACCACAAATACTTATTATTTATTATTTTAACATATAGATATTGGTACAAGGAGGCATCGAATACATATGCGCCACACGAATCTCAATTGATTTGTGTGAGGGCTATGATACTGCACGGGTGCCCAAACCGAAACAGGTTGTTTTCTTAGGGGGCCACACCCTGAGCCTTTGACCTGAAGGTCTGATCCAAAAGGCAATGGAGCATCGTAAGGAGATGCAGTCCATGGTAGCCGGTGACTAACGATTGGTTCATACGCCATTTGTTCCTTAAGGATACTGGAGTCCATGTGCACCACAAGTACTTAATTCAATTTAGTTCACTATACTGAATAGTTACATTGGAAAATAAACCACTTGACAGTTAGTTGATTCAGTTGGTACACAATAAAAACAAATGAATCATGAGTAAACACAAGTTTATAAAGGTGCGGTAGAATAGGTATGCATAGAGTAGGAAGGGTTTGAATAGTGTATGATAAATCTTAATATAACAATTCAGTTTATAAAGAATGACGATTAGGTAAGGAAATAACGCTGTATTCAGATGATGAAGGATAGATTTGGATGTTAATCAGTTATGTGTAACTTGGAACCTGATATAGTCGCATCGGTTTAAGTTGAAACACTATACTAGAATGACAAGATAAAATTTTCTCAGGACAAATTACAGAGTAGAAGTAGTAACAGTTTCAATAGATAGTGGAAAAGATTGGGTGTAACAAAAGATAAACAAAAGGCATAGGGAGATTGTGGAGTTCAGTTTCTAGCTATTAGTTATGATGGTTGAGTGGAACACAACCAGGTAGTCTACATCTACCTAAATAATTTCGTCCAACTGCTAATAACTTCATGTTTGTTTGGACGCCCTAAGCTTCCTTGCAATCTACTCTTATACTAAGAAACATCGCTCTCCGAAGTACGCGGTGGTTGGGCAGACGTGATACACGTCCCATCCAACTCAGTTGAAGATTCACCATTTTTATCTTAGTATCATATGCTTAACTTCGGCATTGAGTACTGGGTGCTCCTAAAATACACGCGCAATGCTTCGAAGACAACTTTGGTTGAATACTATTAATACACAATAACCATCTGTTCCCAATGGCCATGATTCGCACCAATAAAGTCGAGTAGATCGAACTGTTGCACGATAAACTGTTCCTTTGTTTGGTAGACGGACATCTCGCCTATGTTTCAGGTGACACAAGTAGGTGAAAGTCACCCAAACTTTCTCAATCCATAGATTTAGATGAACATAATTTTCAGGTTTTTAAAGTAATAAATAGATTGCTAGTTGTAATGATGCACAATGTGATCGACTATTCAAGAGATGGAATTATTCTTACAAAAGCTACTGGATGTAAAGACAGGGAGATATGTCTGGATATTTTCAAAACTTGAATGAATATAAAAATGACAGAGTTAATATTCTTATCCACAAAACTTACATCAAATTCTAATAGAGTTAATATTTGAGATTGCATCACAGGAAGAGCTTTCAATAACTGAATAGAAAAGAAAGACAAATGATCAAACACTAAAATGATTTTGGAAATAACCACTAACTAAATAAACCAATGTAGTTCCATAATGTCAAGTGAAAGTTACTCACTGAAAGCAATAAAGGACATCCACCATAGAGGGATTAGTTTGACTAAGATAGCATCTAGAATGCTAGCCTTAATAATTATCGGACGCCTAACTAAGACTCGTGAACTGCAAACACGAGAGAATCAAGCTGGCTTCAGACCTGGCCGTGGATGCATAGACCACATATTCACCATTCGTCAGGTTCTAGAACACAAGCAAACTTATCGGCGTCCGACAATGGTGGTCTTCCTTGACTTAAAATCAGCATTTGACTCTGTAGACCGAGAGTTTCTGTGGCAGTGAAGGGTGTACTTCAAGAGTACATAAACCTTGTGAAGGCTCATTACTCGAACACTAATAGTTGAGTCAAAGCTTATGGCGAACTGTCATCTGATTTTGCAACCTCAAGTGGTGTCCGGCAAGGCTATCCATTACCTCCATTTTTGTTCGACTTCATCATAGACCTACTGCTGAAAATAACGCTCTCGTCGACTGAATTTTCGGGCATTGATATCCTACCAGGATGTCCACTTATCGGCTTTGAATACGCAGATGTTATAATCCTGTTTAGTGAAGACGCTAATAAAATGCAGTCTTTTGATAGCACTGAGCAACAATGCCAGAATGTTTGGGATGAGTTTATCCCCCTTTAAATCCAAGTTTTTTGCTCCAGAACATGCCTGCGTCAACAGTTGAACTAAGATTAGGATGTTTAGTAGTCGAATGTATATACTTGAATCATGTATGAATGTTTCGGAGACACAGCATACATCAGCCGTACGAGATTCTAGAGTTTTAGCCAAGGGGGCCTGCTGACTGATTTGACACAGGTTGCATACGTTGAAGGCCCCACTGTGTAGTTTGTAGCGAGGTTTCAGGAGACCTCGGACAGTGTTTTGCGCACTAGAATCGCTGGCTATGGTGACACTTGAGGAGGAAGCCAAAAGAGGAAGCTTACAGTAGAAAGTTGATATAGGAAGAATAATAGGGATTGAAAAGGGAATTTGATTTGAATACAGTGGTCTTGGGTACTGTTAGAGGTATGAGGGCGGTCATCACTTCCCGGTTGTCCTCACTGTGGAAGGGTTCTTTTGAGGTACCTGTAAACGAAGTTGGTTTAGAGGTGGTTTTAGTGACCTGAGAGCGTGACCGCAGTGCCCAAGAGACCACTGCTTGAGGCCAGTCACAAACCACCTTTTTATGAATAATTTTCGTGTTAGCTCCCTACTTGTTGAGACCTTACCACCAGAGACGGATATCCGTGGGATTAAGCGAGACGTGCATTTCTAGGGTAGACCTTTTCTAACCCCACCCCTCCTTGTTGGAAAGTAGCATCGTTGTTATGCTGGTCTGAAGGAAACACTTTACTGCCATCAGTCCTCTGTACAGTCAGTAGCACGACTTCGCCTTCGGACCTTGAGTTTGCTGCCTTTAGTCTTACCATTCTTCAGCCGACCTGTCTGGCATGGTAGGAAGAATTTTTTCGGCCAGTATAGCTCAATTGGTTCATCAAAATAGGCAAACCCGACCACCGCACCAAGGATCGGGCAGCAAAGGTATACCTGTAATCTTGAGGTAACTGGTGCTTTCTGGAGGATGCGATCCCGTGTCATCAAGTTTCACTGTTGCAGACGTTACCATTGAACTATCCGGGTCACTACTAACCTGCTGTATGACTGAGACACATTTACAATTGGTTGATTAGTGAGTAATGACCAAATTGTGTGTAAAGTTCTTAGCGAAGATCGAAACCTATTGATCAAGTTGGAATATGGCTGCAAATTTTTTAAATATCTTCCTGATAAAACTTTAGCAGTGGTATAAACCCTATACTCAGAATTTTCCGACTAATCTAGAGAACACGAAAGCTCACAAAACTTTGCCAACGATAACAGTACAATGTAAAAATCTTATGTGGAAAAGAATCAATCACCTGAGATCTTAGGTAGAATCTCGAATTTTGAAATTTTGAATATTCATGACGCAGCATTGCTTTTTACAGTAATAGACTTGTTTGTGATTTGTCTCATAATCTAGTTGAATAAAAATTTTGCTGAGTTAGTTGAAGAGTAGTTTATTAGCTAGATGGCAAATTTTGACTGCTGACGAGTGTCGACTGGCTGAATCTAAAAGCGTTGATTACATAACGCAGATATGGTATACAAGTAAGTAAATTAGTACGGTTTCTTTATCAATAAAGATAGGTTGTTATCCTCTTACATTTTACTTTCTGTTGAATCATTGCTTAGTTTAATTCTAAGGGCGTTTTGGATCCTAAGCACTTGGAGTTACACAATTTAAGTTATTATTTGGCAATCCAAACCTAAGTACGTGCAGCAAGTTCTTAACCCGAGACATGATGGCTGAAAGCTAAGTGAATTAAAGACTGAAACATTGTAGTGTTTTAAACCATTACAGATGTTTTCTATCATGGAAGTTTATACGTATAACTAGAAGTCCATGACGTAATCTCATCTTAACACTAGATATTTTGAAATTGACATAAGTTTTCAGTATGGAATAACACGGCTGACCAATAAGTGAAATGAAGCTGAAAGTAGCATAACAGAAAAAATATTCACACCAAACAGTAAAGGCTAATCTCAACTAGGAAAATAACTCCTCACATAATTTCTCGTAGTATCTCAACTTAAAACCAAGCCTTTAAAAGTACAACAAAGTATTGATTACAAATAGTGATACAACTCATTACCCACAACATAAATGTCGTACAACAAATGTTACCTTATCAACTGGCATTGTTCGTAAAACACCGTCATCACGCCTAATAAAAACAGAGCCATGCAACCATAAAAGCATATTTAAAGTCAAAAAACAGAACAGTTAAGGAGAAAACCCGGATAAGTAAAAAATGCCCAGGTTTCTGAACTGGTTAACAACGTACAAATCAGTATAATTAGAGAAAAGTAACAGGAAGAAAATCACAAAACTGAAAGCAATAATACTAACAGTAATGTGAATCTAAAAGCTGGGGGTACACAGATAAGAACCAACAAAGTCTCGTAATTGTAATTGATAGTTAGGTCTAATAAACATTTTCTGATTACCAAAGGACACATCAACCGTATAAATATTGTCTATGAAAGCAGCTAAAATTGCAATTACAGATGACTTAATGATACTCTTCACATGTGGAAATGCCAGACTGTTAGACGTACTACTTAGCTTGGTTACAACTTTTGCAAGCAGTCAGCTTGAAATCTTAATATGGCCAGAATTCTAACTTTATTATTGACGACACAGTACGAAATAGCCTTAATATAAATGTACTTTAATTTGTGAAAAGTTTAATCGTTTTAGGATCAGTAGCTGAGCAAATAACAAATGGGACAGTGGAAATTGGACAGAATTAACGTAGGCTAGCTCTCTGTGTAGACTATTATCGGAGGATATAAAGCCATCGACAAACACAATGACAACAATCTCAAGTCCCTACATAGATTGAGCAACTAAAAGTGTCAACATAAATATAATTCAACATTCCTCAAGATACTAAAAACAACTGAACTTGAAAAGAATTTAAGAATAACTTCGACAACAAAATATAACTGACAATACTACTTTAATAAAAACAAATTTTAGATTAGAATATAACCTACCCTCGCTTCACTTTGCAGAAGTCGAAAGCCATAGCTCTATAAGAAGCAACTTTTTCACTTAAGTATTTTGAATACTTGCGAATGAATATGGACATTTCATAAGCTAAAAAGTTTGCCATCATTACTAAAAATGCATACACTGAGAGCTTGTTTTATCATTAAAATGTGGAAGGTCAATTGGACAGTTATTGGAAGCAAGATAATGAGAAAATTTCTATGATGAAACAATGGAAACTTATAATGCGTTACCTCATTCCCGAAATTCATAAGATTGTGAGTAGTTATAAGAGCTTTAAAAACAATCACCCATGACTTTTCTTGTGTCCTTTCCACAAGAAGCCCAGCAAGTAGTGGGATAGAGACATTAGGTTCATTGCTGCAGTTTACTAGATCTATTTAAACTATTATTACTGAAACTAAACCATACAATCTAGGTGCTTTTTCTTCGGAGCACCAATTTCCTCTGTGGTTGCTTTTGCTACGACTTTCCCAAGACCAGAACCTGCCAGACTATACTTTGCTTGCGTGACTCTATCCATTAAGCTCTGCCCTGTCCCACTCCCAGCTAACTGCTTAACAACCTTGCTCGCAGCTTTGGCAGTCATCACAACTGTTGATGAGAAAGTTTGGTTCTCCCACTTAAACGGCTCCCTGATATGGAGGTCAGCGTTCAATAGTTTCAAATCAGAGAGGATGGAATAGGAGAAGCATTCTCTCATCTGGCTTCTGTATATACGAGAAATAAGCAACTAACAATATCAGGTGGATACATCATAGTTTAGAAAGAGGTTTAGAAACGAATGAGAAATAACAGGCTATTGTTCAAATAAATTGTTCGCATGGTTATAAATGAGATGGAAGGAGCTTTCGCTTAACAGAATTCTGTATCTAGTAGCAGTAAATCATCGATACCTCCAGGAAGGAATTTTTGTATACTTAATGCGAAAAGAGAAAAAAGAATCAGTAAATTATAGTGCGATACTTTCCATTGTAGCGGTAAATAATTCCCCAAAATCAAATAGCTCTGTAAGTTTTCGACATTGGATGCTGGCCACAGTTTTAGTGGACTCATCTAGCTGAAGGCGCTCGGTCAAGCATCCGCACCAGATCACGTGTGGGAACGCCGTACTCAACATCTGCCGCAATCGCTAGCCAGATTAGTGAAAACGATCCTCGATATATTGATAGCTTATCAAATATATCTTCGATCTCCTCACTTCTGTCTTTTGATTTTACTTTGTGGGTGCGCTTCGTATTAGAAGGTGTTACTGGTTAAAGCGTTGTCAAACTCCGAATACCTGTGGCATCTTCATTGGTGAGCCCGATGTGATCTGGTACACCATATTGTAAATTGTGAGTCTGTTCCTTTTTTTGATTTTATATATCATTGTCTTATTTTAATCTTTTTTTAACATTAGGATATTTTTTTCCGTGTTCTTGGGTTTATATATATATATTTCCCACTCGTTCACTTTTCGTAATTGGTATATTATTATGACTGAACAGACCCCTAAAGTATTTAAATTAAAGACTGTATCCACACCATCATTCCAACTTATGCCTTTATGGCCAGACAACATCGAAGCCCGGTTTTGTTAGGAAGAAGCCGACTTCTTCGAGCACGGTGTGAACGATACACATACACAATTCCTCGCAGTGATCAAGGCACTACCGCGCGAATTTAACAGGTACGTAACACCTAGTATGTTTACTAGTGATGTTTCTGATCCATACCAAACCCTGAAACATGCCATCCTTAAACGCGGAGATCTAACCGATCGACAAAGGTTAGACCAACTACTCAACAACATCGACCTGCAACACGGTTCTGCCACAGACATGTTGCAAAGAATGCGAGAAGTCATTGGCCAAAGTACCTTCGATGACGGCCTATTCAAACAACATTTCTTATCTAAACTTCCTCAACAGGTGCAAGCTGTTTTGGTCTCGTTCCAAAACAACGCCGTAGACGAGCTAGCTGCATCTGCCGACCGCATTCTCGAAATCACTAGATCTTCTAACGCCGAGGTTTTTTCAGTCAAAGAAAAGCCTCAAACCACCCAGAATGACATAACACAGTTATGTCATACACTTACGCGTTATCTCAAACTCTGTAACGACCGTAAACGATCACTTACCCCGCGGAGAAGCACATCACGTAGGCGATCTGTATCTAGAACTCGAGAGACGGATAATCCTGATTGGTGCTGGTACCATAACCAGTACGGAATGCAGAAAACCCTGCAATTTTCCCAACGCGAAATCGGTGGACGCAGAGAACGTTTCGGGAAACTTCCAAGCCGGCACGCGTTAACGGCGACCGTAGCCGGCGAACATAGCCGTCTTTTATATGTCACTGATGTGATAACGAGAGTTCGCTACCTCGTAGATACTGGCGCAGAGGTTAGCGTTCTCCTAGCGAATTTCAACGACCGGTTACACGAGCCGGTTTTAAATCTACAGGCGGCAAACGGAAAGCCCATCGCTACGTATGGCCAAAGGTATGTTTATCTTAACGTGGATTTACGCAAACCCATTCACTGGATCTTTGTTGTTGCAGATGTTTCTATGCCAATCATTGGTATGGACCTTCTACAACACCACAACTTAATTATCGATACGCGCAAACGGAGGTTAGTTGACGGAAACACTAATTTATCTGTTTGCCTGACTTCTTTTTCTTGTTGCAGGTTATCCCCAGTCACTATTAAGCACACTATAGACCCCTTCTACCAACCACTACTCGATAAATATTCTGGCATTTACCAATCGCAACCGAAATTGCCGTGTGTAACCAGCAATGTTACACATCACATCACGACTACAAGACCACCTGTCTTCTCGAAAGCACGCCGACCGGCCCCCGAAAAGTTAAGGTTGGCGAAAAACGAATTCGACCATATGATAAACTTAGGAATCATACGACCGTCAAATAACCCATGGGCATCTCCGTTGCACATGGTCTCTAAAAAGGACAGCAACGATTGGCGTCCAACTGGTGACTATCGGAGATTGAATGCAAAAACCATTCCCGATCGTTACCCGTTGCCCCACATTCACGATTTGACAGCTACCTTGAAAGGTGCAACTGTCTTTTCAAAAAATCGACTAGGTAAAAGCGTTTATTCAAATTCCTATGGCTACTGTAGACATTCCAAAAACCGCTATTATAACGCCCTTCGGACTCTATGAATATTTGCGAATGCCTTTCGGTCTGAGAAACTCGGCACAGACTTTCCAAAGGTTCATAGATGACGTTTTTTGAGGTCTCAACTTCGTACATGCATACGTTGATGACTGCCTAATAGCAAGTCCGGACAGAGAATCACATCTCCAGCATCTGGACATTGTTTTCGACCGACTACAAAAACATGGCATTACCGTAAACATTCAGAAACGCGAAATCGGAACCGAATCCTCAGACTTCTTAGGACACTCTATAGATGCGCATGGCATTCGACCCCTTGGAACAAAAGTGGCGGCCATTCTGGATTACCCAGAACCGACCACCATCAGGCGATTGCGCACGTTTAACGGTCTGATAAGTTTTTATAGAAGATTTAAACCGAAATGCGCGTTACTTATGAAACCCCTTACTGACCAACTTCGTGGAAATGCGAAATCCATTAATCTAGATGACACTAACCGAAAAGCTTTTTCCACGGTTGAGGAACATATCGCCCGAGTAGCAATGCTTGCTCATCAGGACCCTGAAGTGCCCATTAGCATCTCAGTAGACGCATCCGACTCAGCAATAGGAGCAGTCTTACAACAATGGGTTAACCACTCCTGGCAACCTTTGGCATTTTTCTCTTTACGGTTGCTAGACACTGAATCGAGGTACAGAACATTCGGTAGGGAACTCCTAGCTATGTGTTGTGCTGTCCGGCATTTTCAATACTATATCGAAGGCCATGAATTTATCATTTTTACCTACCATAAACCACTTACCTTCTCCTTAAGCTCTTCTTCGGACAAGTACTCACCACGTGAGTCTCGACAACAGGACTACATTTCGCAGTTTACTTCAGATATTCGACACATTTCTGGAGCAAGCAATGTAATTGCAGACGCCTTGTCTCGTATAAATTCCTTGAACAGTTCCCAAGGAATCGACCTTTTAAAACTCGCCCAACTTCAAAAAGAAGACAGTGATCTTCAGCACAAGTTGGCCTCAACAACACTTAAACTGCGCATTAAACAGATGGGAACGGGTAAGGAAACCTTACTTTGTGACACATCTACAGGTAAGGATCGCCCAATCGTGCCGAAACAATATCGACGCAACGTCTTCGATACGTTGTACAGACTTTCTCATCCAGGTGTACGTGCAACCATCAAGCTTATAGCAGAACGGTTTTGCTGGCCTGGTATGAATAAAGACGTGAGGGAGTGGGCACGCTCCTGTGTAAGCTGCCAGAAATCTAAGGTTATTAGGCATAACAAATGTCCCATAGGGTCGTTTAAAACTCCCGATGCTCGCTTCGACCATGTTCATTTGGATTTGGTAGGACCTGTACCAGATTCGAATGGATATTATTATCTTTTAACATGCGTAGACCGTTTTACTCGATGGCCAGAAGCAGTACCCATCAAAGACATTACTGCTGAAACAGTGGCCCGCACGTTCGTTGAGAGGTGGGTAGCAAACTTCGGCTGTCCAACAACCATTACTACAGATCGTGGACGTCAGTTTGAATCTGAACTGTTCCGTTGTCTGACCATGAAACTAGGAATCACTCGCTTCCGAACGACGGCCTACCACCCACAAGCAAACGGGTTAGTAGAACGTTTTCACCGACAACTAAATTTAATATGCTTATATATTTTTATTATTTTTTTATTTCAAAAAAGAAAAAACAAAAAATAACGATATTATAAAAATTCTTTTTTACGCTATTACGTGAGCATGAGTTTGTTTTCCTTTTTCTTCACCCGTTTTGTGTTTTCACGCGCGTACGAGTATATTCCGACATTCACGTACATATTTTTCTTTTCTTTTCCAGGACGACTGGAAAAGACGATGAAAAGAACGATGAAGTTGCGAGAAACGAAAATCTGCATTGTACCTTTTTTTACTATATTGTACATCATGGTCCATTATAGTAAGGAAAGACGACCAGACGCTGCTAAACCTAGCAAGCTATCAGAAGAGTGTTTACCAACGAAAAACTCGTTGGGTTTAAACTTCTTGCTGGCCACGTCTTAGGGTCATCACTACCCCACTAGGGGGGGAGTGATCTGTAGCGGTAAATAATTCCCCAAAATCAAATAGCTCTGTAAGTTTTCGACATTGGATGCTGGCCACAGTTTTAGTGGACTCATCTAGCTGAAGGCGCTCGGTCAAGCATCCGCACCAGATCACGTGTGGGAACGCCGTACTCAACATCTGCCGCAATCGTTAGCCAGATTAATGAAAACGATCCTCGATATATTGATAGCTTATCAAATATATCTTCGATCTCCTCACTTCTGTCTTTTGATTTTACTTGGTGGGTGCGCTTCGTATTAGAAGGTGTTACTGGTTAAAGCGTTGTCAAACTCCGAATACCTGTAGCATCTTCACCATAATCCTTATATTATGTCGTGTTTTCTTAAAGGACTCCTGCAAAGTCACTTTAACTAGCATAGACGGCAGAGAATTCCAGAATTTAACGA